CATTGGTCGTATGTCCATAACTGGAGCTTCATTTCCTGAAATAGAAACGACTATAAAGAGTTTAAAGCGTCAGGGAAAGAAAAAAAAACCTTTCCTCTATTGCCATATATATATATTTCAATATGTTCACTTACCACTCTCTGTGTAATCCGTTGAGGTGTCTTCACTCAGAGTACTGGTCGTCTCAGAAACAATAAAGGGATCATTGAGCAAGTCCATTGTGGTTGGGCGTTTCTTGGGATCATTTTCAAGCATCCGCTTAGCAAAAGCACGAGCTTTGGTAGGAAATTCGCTAGACACAGAACGTAAAAAAGCGTCAAAGTCTCCGTATTCTTTTGTAACATCGACTCCCCACAACATTTCAAGGAATATGATTCCTAGACACCAGATATCATTCTTTCGACCGTACACTCCCGGCCGTTCTCTTACTTCGGGACTGATCCACGAAGAATGCGTATCGGCCATGATAGAATTCTGATCACCTTTTGTCGTCAAAGGATTCGACTTGTTCAAGTCATTAAGCCGTTTGGCGTAACTGACATGCGCAATCTTTATAGTCTGCTGTGGACCACAAAATATTCCACTCGATCGGATATTTTTACAAATAAATCCATTAAGATGTACATGGTTAACAGCCCAGAGAAGCTGTCGCATGTATTTGCGGACCATTGCCAGTCGTAATCCTCCTCCACACATCTTCAATAAGTCAGCAAGACTACCGCCTTTTTCGTATTCCATCAATATGTACAATGCCCACGTATTTCTTTCTTCGGCGGACCGCTCAAGTTTTGCGTCGTAAATAGTCAAAATATGAGGATGCTGTAGTGATCTAAGCCTGTCCAATTCACGTTCGACGTCTTGTAGTTTCCGTTTTCCTGCCTGTGTTTCATAATAAGATCCCGTCACATCTACTTTCTTCATGGCTAGCAAGCACGGCAGTACGAGATCGATATCTTCGGGTGTTCCGTCGTTTTTGAGTATTTTGTATCCCAAGGGTTGAACCGAGAATGTTTCTCCAACTGTGCCTTTACCAACCCTAGGACCGACCGCAACTGCTTTGAAACATACTCGGAAGGGCATTCCCAAAGACAAGGTGTTTGCCTCTGTTGAATCCTCCTCCAAAGGTATTGTCACAAGATTTTCGAAAACAATCGTTTTGATTTCACTTCCGTCCACCTGTAGTTTCTCATTCTCATCTTCTTGGAAATGTCCATTAAAATCATCATCTGCTATCGATTCTTCATTTCCATATCCAAAATTCTGGCGCTGTTGTCTGGCTGCCTTTGCATAAGCACGTTTTCGTTCGAGTTCTTGCTGAATTTTTGCATTCATAGCCTCTGACTGAGCACGCAGAGCAGCTTCCTCCTCCTCTTTACGGCGTGCTTCTTCTTCAAGGGCACGTTCTTTTTCTTCCTAAATTAGATATTTTAGTTTTTTTCATGTATATAGTTTTTTCATATAGTCAATGTGTACATATCTTTATTGTATTTTTTTTTTGTTATAAATATGAAATAGAAATAGAAATAGTAGTAGTCGCAATAGTAGCAGTAAAAAAGAAGACGAAGATGAATAGAAATAAAATCATGATTATAGCAAAGAAAAAAATCATTTTTTTTAATACCTTTAAATCATTTTCTCTTCGCATCACCATGCGTTCATGGAAACTAAGTTTACTTCCTTCTGGCGGTGGTTCATTGTAACTTGCTAGCAATTCTCGGATGTGTTCAGCGAGATCAAACGTCATTTCTTGACCAATTAAGTCCTTTGCTGTGCGTTTAAGAGATTCGTTTATTTCACGTAATGCTGCAGGTGTAAGTCCCCGACTATTAATAAGTGCCAATTCAGGTGGTTTGTTGGGATAGGTTTTCGAGAATCTATATACATGAATACAAGCGTATATAAAGAAGCAGAAGAAGAGAGCAAAAATAAAATAAGTTGGTCATTACTATTGCTAATACTACTATTACTGCCATTGCGTTTTATTATTATTATTATTATTATACAGGTATAATATCGAGATCTCGTACTTGACTTTAAGGTCTACTGTCACATGGGCCTCAGTTTCATCTACTCCATGAGGTACTAAATGAAGAATAAATTCGGGAACATCGCTTTTGATCTAAAGTTGTCATTAACTACCCGAGCTATTCGTTTTTTTTTCGAGGTAAGGAGAAAAATAATAAATCTTACCTTCCATGCTGTTTGGTCTACCACCTCATGGTAATCTTCCATAAAAATAGCTTTAAGAGCTTCAATCTCGTTCTCTTGGATTTCGTGGAGTGCTTCCAGATCCATAATCGTTTTTAAATATGTTTCAGTTTAATAAAGCCTTTTTTTCTGGTTTTCGTCGATGGAGTTATTCTCTTTCTTATATCTTTTCAAAAGATATGATATTGTATGGTATGATATGATAGATGTGTGTATGTGTGTGTGTTTAGAGTGGAATAATACTATGAGAAAAGAGGTACGTGTCAATACAGAGAGACAAGTTCACTCCATTATGCCTACTAAAAAAAAATAAAAAATAAAAATAAAAATAGGATAAAATACAAAGAAAAAGAGACAAAGCAAGAAGAAAGCTGTCAGAAGCAAGCTTCTTTGGATAACCAGCTCAGATAGTATTCACACTTGTGGAAGTGGTCACGTAAAAAGATCAGAACAGGAACGTATAAGACGTCATCCCAGGTGTGGAATGTATAGTATAGTTTATTATTATCAGTCATTAATAGATAGAGTATTCCTGAGTCATAGCCATGACTCACTTACACTCCCGGAAGTTCTTGTCAAAATATAGAATAAATTTTTGAGGATGAAATAAATAAATAAATATATATATATATATAAATATATAATAATTCAACAAAAGAAGATACCAATTAAAGCTTTTATTTGGCTTCTTCATCTTCTTTTTTTTTCTCTTTCCTACATAGTGAAAAGTATGTATTTGAGTAATCCTGCAAATAATGAGTGAGTATGTGGTGCATTTGACTTGCATAATATATAAGCAGTATACTATGGTGCAATGTCCAAAACCTCTGTCGATTGAATATTGTCGATACTTCCAAGGAACCCAAAGTCAGAAAGGATTAAATCCCGAAGGAATCCGCGTTTTATGAGGCGACTGAAAGATGAACATGGTCATTATTGAATTGAAAATATTTTTTTTTTAAAATAATAATAATAATAATACAAAAGGAGGGAACCGTATTATCTGCTTTCCTCAGCTAGCTGAGACCAGCAGAGGGGATGTGTAGAGAAAATATTGGTTGAAAGACACGAATGTAAACTCCCCGCAAGTACTTGATGTTGTATACTTGTAAAATACTTTGTACAAACCAGTCTTTACATGTACGCACACACATAAATGAATGTATCGATGAAGCAAGTTTGCTCAGGCGATTTCAGACTTTTAATTACTTAAAAATAGTCCCATAAAATCCCTCGATTTTTGACACCCTCAAACACAAGCATCTTTTTTTTTGGTAGAAAGGATCACTGTAGGAAATGGCAGGATTTATAACTCCAGACGCGTGCATTAATTTAGCCAATAACATGTCAGCCTTCAGCCTATTAGTTTTACTTTTCAGCAAGTACGAGTTATGGGATTCAGGATTGTTTTACTTTCAAGCCAAATAAAACCTCGGAATAGTTAACCTGTGCATTTATTTAGGCACTTCTAGCAGTCCTCACATTGATCCAACAAATGATTGATATTTCATATAGTGAAATAGTTTTATTTATGATTTTATTATTGATCAAAATAGTAAAAGGACAATATAGTAAATATTTAGAGTAAAGGCATGATTAATTTGTAGCTTTATATATTTACAAACTACAAAATATAGCTTTGTCCAAAAATCATACAAAGAAATTTTGTTTAATTATTACAAAAGCTATAGATATATACCATCTTATATGCTAAATATACGCTTGTCTACTTATCTACTAAATATGTGATACAATGTTTATTATTGTAGGGTATTACTACAAGCTTACAATCTAATTGTTTTATCCTCAAAAAATGATAAATTTTATATAAGTTTGTTAGTATTCTATAAAGACTCAAAGCCTTGTTAACAAGAGCTTTCTTTTCAAAAAACTCGTATTTTTTTCTACACTGATATCTCCTTGGGCCTCCCTTCCCCCTCCCTGTAATGTTAGGCAAAATCTGATGTATTTTCGTGTGTACTTCATAAGAAAAATAGGTCAGATTTGTTTGAAACAGAAACAAAAATTAATTTAACATATATATTTGTGCAATGTCTTGAGATTTTTACAATCCTGCCAGAGATCAAATACTGCTCTTCTAGTCTAATGGAAATCTATTTACGCACGCACGTAATATATCTCTATCTTTTTTTCTGCATTCCAGTCCCTTCTCTTTTCTTCGAAAAATCACCTCAAATTCCTTCTTCGTGGAAACTCACTCTGTTTATTAATAATAAACAGTTTTGGAATCCACGTTTCTTTTTGGTGACTATTATAATTCACGTAATTTAATGTAGCCTACAGATCTGTTCAATTTTTCTTTTCAAACAGTACATTCTTCTTCTTCTCTTTCTCTTTTGGGGGAGCAATAAATGTGTCTCATGTTAAATGAGCATATTTGGGTACTGTTGACAATGAATAATGTCTCTGGGAATTAATACTTTCTTAATTCCAAGCGTTTAACCTTCTCAACTTGAGGTATATTTTGCATGTCATTATAGCAACTTAAATAATATATCTTTTTTTCTATAGGTTGCACCCAATTCATATAACCAAATAGACAACTTAAAACAAAGATAACAGCAAAGACAATACCAGAAACAACGCATAGAATCATCGAAGATAGTATTTAAAGTGGAACGTAAAAAAAAGCCAAAGGGATTGGATTATAATTATGATCATTAGTATTAGTATTAGTGTTATTATTATTATTATTATTATTATTATTATTATTAATATTTTTAATATATTATGAATTACTTGTATTAAAGGCATCGCTATTTTACTCAAGTCTAGTTGGTCCGGGAGATTAGGTGGCTATTTCCTGCATTTCCTGCCTCTATCTCTCTTTGCAACATCTTGTGGATCAATTCATCGTCACTTTCGTCATCATCATCATCACCCCCACCACTGAAAGTCCCAATTCGAAGTCTTTCTAACATAGGATTATCCGATGTAGATGATATACTGGCAGTAGGATATTCGTTCTCATTAGTGTATACTCGATTCCTCCGTTCTTCTTCTTGTTTTTTTAGCCATTTCTTATCATAGAATCCAGCATCTTCTTCTAATTGGATTTTAGATAGCCCAGACGCTCGTTTGTACATTTCTCCAATAGAATTATGAGCAGCCCTAGTCTCTGCAGTCAAGTTACCAGTATTGTCTTCCGTATATATTCCTAATGTTTTGGCTTTCCCTTTTTTTATATAAAAAGAAACCAAAAAAAAAACAAACAAACAAAGAAGCCTCTCAGAAAAATGAAAGAAATATAAACTTGAACTTTCAAAATATTTAACAATAACGATAAAGAAAAAAAAAGACTTACTTTCAGCTGCTCGCGCCCTTTCTTCTTCGCAGCTTAACATCGCTGAATTGTCAGGGCAATTTTTTATAAAGGAAATATACTCATACTTTCCTTTTGAATCAAGTTCACGCATACAAAGAGCTTCTATCGCATTAAACCGTTCTGTCAAATCCTTGAGGTTGTCTTCTTCCACCACAGATATTGTTCTTTCAGTAGACATTTGCCGAGTTCGTAGAGATTGTTTATTTGATGGCTTCGGCGAATTTTGCGAGGATCTAAATGACTGTGATGACTGTGACGATTGTGCTGATTGTGCTGATTGTGATATTTGTGACAGTTGTAGTGGTTGTGAGGTAGACGGACCGGTTTCAATCTATGTAGAAAAAATAAGTAAAGAAATTAAATAAATATATGTAGATATATATTCTCACGTCAGCTAATTAAACACTATATTGACTTTTCGTTTTCTTTTTTCTTTTCTTACCCGATCCTTAAATACTGTGAAAGTGTCCTTCTTGGGGCGTTTGTATGGGTTTTGGGGGAGAACAGCTCCTTTAAAGCGTTCGGATCTGACAGTATTTTCTTTGCATTCTGGTGAGCGATGTGTGTATGGCTGCATAGATTGTGGTGGATTGACGCTTGGTTGTGAATTTCCTTCTGTTCTGTCAGAGTAGACATGGTATTTACGTTGAATCGGTAAATATGACGAACCGACTTCTCTTTCTCGTTGTGGTAGCCCACCTCCAAAGTGATATGCGTTACCAGAATTCTTACAAAATTCAGCTGAGGCATCAAATAGTACACCTAGTGGTTTTCGTCCACTACGTTCCAAGACTTGGTTTCTTTCATTTAATTGGGATGTAGAAGGATCGGACGATTCGCTATCCAAACGTCGTTGTGTTTGCCGAGCCGTGAAAGCGTCTTTGGCCCTCTTTAGGCTTGCAATTGGCTCAGCCTTTTTCTTGATTCCAGATTCAAATATTTGAGATGCTTCGTTGTATTTCTGTATTTTTTCAAAATAACTTGCATAATCTTCGTAGAATAATGCACACATTTGTCCAATATTCTGAGTAATAAGATGGTGATATATCTTAATAGGATCGCTGCGAAGTCTGGATAGGCGAAGCCAGCATTTTAGATACCGAGGATCATTTTTGTACATAAAGCTGTCTTGAAAACGAGTGGTTACTTGCTCAAGGACAGATCGCAATGGACTGGCATTAGATTGACCTTGAACGAAGATTTGATCGATCCAATCAAGATGCTTCAAATATACATCTAAAGGATCGTGATTATAATCGATCGCTTCTAGTTCTGTTTTGAATTTGCTTTCTCCTTCTTCAATAGCGTCTAGTAGCTCGTCTGTTGATTTTTGTAAAATACTCGAAAGCGTTCTTGAGTCACGTCCCTGAGGTAATTGTGCAATGTTCTCTTTTGAGCGGACAACAGTGTCAAATTCTGGAATGCTGTTAATAAGTCTTTGTCGATCTTCTTCTTTAGGTTCTGCATAGTTCAATTTGTCTCGATTCATGTAGAATTATGTGTATTTGTAACGAATTGTATAAAATGATAAGGATAGTTGCTCAATTTACATTGATTCTTAAATATGAGGGTATTGAGTAGGTTTTAATTCAATTATACAGTCACAACAGAACGGATTGACACACAGTTAATAAAGATTACCAAAAGTTGCTTAACTATTTCTCAAAAAAAAAACATACTTAGTGCTTGTATAATACAGGAGAGGAAAAGAGAAAGTACCGGGATAATTGATTACCTTTATAAACAAAGATTTTGTTTAGAATATTGTGGACATGGCAGACATTACAGGAATCAATGTAGAAAAAGTAATAAAGTTCATTGATAATTTTGGCTGTCATTCACCTTAAAGGCAACACGATACTCTCTTTTTCAAAAAAAAACAGAACAAGAAGAAAACGAACTAGATTATAGGACAAACAGGCCTTTTTTAATTTAAAAAAGCTTCTCTAAGATATCCCATTTAAAACCTACGATCATATTAAATTTGCCTTCAAGAGCCATAATAATTATTGTTTGCAGAAAAAAGGTTAACCTCTGTTAAGCAACTAGAGTTCAATTTATTCAACATATTACGTAAGTCAAAGTTAATAGAAAAGGATGATAGAGCTAGAGTTTAGTGGGCTGTGAAATAAATAAATTGAACTGACAAACATTGAGAAAAAGCAATGCAATTCGGTCAGATTAATCGCGTTTCTACCTTGAGAATAATGCTAGTACAAGAATATGCTTCTAAGAAAAAAAAAGCAGTGAAATATATAAAGAGGAGACCGATATTTTCACAGTGAAATAGTAGTGATAATATACTGATAATTCGTGCCTTTCATAATAATGTATCCAGATATGATAAGCCTAGGCAAGCCTGTTTTTGTATTTATTGGTTCTGGAGATGTATGAAATGCGTGCTCTTAGAAAGTGATAAAATTCTAGAAAATAAAAGTTACAACAAAGAAAGGATTTCGGTTAAGAGAAATGTCTATACAGTCAAAGCTCGATATAGTGATATAAATGGTGGACAGAAATTTTATCACTATCACTATATTGAGCATGTTTTTTTCTTACTCCACACATTATTTAGTGATATTTCTAATGTCACTGTAAGTGACTACTGTTTTCTAATAGGATTCATAGTATTTTGTCTAAGAAAGTGGGCTTGCTTTAAAATGCTAAATAAAATATATACTACATTTTTTTTATAGTATGCAAATAAACTCAGAGCTCGATATAGTGATAATAAGCAGGCACGGGCCCAAATTTTCCAAAAAATTATCACTATATCGAGCTTTGACTGTATTTTGAAATGATAAGTATGTTTTGACCAAAAAAAAAAAAGTAAAAATAAAGCTGCTTTAAAAAGTTTACATTTTTAACTGCTTAAAATTGGTACACTTTTTCTTAATTAAAGCCGCTAATTTTTTTTTGCTTGAAAATGTTACAACCTTCACCTTTTCTTTGGGCTTCCTAACCCTATAAACTCGTGTGGAATACCCAAAAGGAAGGATAGATAAAATCTAACTAGTTAATGAGGAAGTTATGTGCTTTAGGTATGACAGTCACCTATCTTGGTTGCGATCCCGTTAGGGAGGAAGGGGGTACTGTTAAAGACCTTTGCTTATTGTGTACACCAGATAGTGTGAACCGTGGTAAACATAACCGCAAATTGAAGAGACAACGAGACAGGCGGATAAAGACGAACGTAGTAGATTATTCACACATCGTTAGAGATTGACCAGAAAGGACAAAATTTCTGGAGCACCGACTTCTATACCTCAAATTTGTAAATACAGGGGAGACACAATGGAAGACAAACTCAACAGAAACTTAGTCAGATATATCAATATCTTGGTAAAATAGAAAGCACGCGCACAGACCTATATATACATACATATATTCCATCCATAGCTCGCAGCCGCCATTAGAAAGAACAAGATATTTTTTTTCTTAGGTAGATAGGGTAGAATATTACACGGGTATCTTTGATAGTGGAAGGAGACGTAATATCAAAAACGCTTTTAGCGATAGCCCTGATCGAAGCCTTAATCTGAACCCCATTGAAAACCTGTGAAGTTCCCTCTAAATTCCGTTTGATTAAAGAAGAGTTTTTATTAAACAATTTAATGATTTAAATGTACCCTATAGAAAAAAAAATAGGCGATTTTAGTGAATTGTTGCAAGTTTTCCGGGGTTTAAAGTGCCTTGTACTTGAGTTTTAATTAAGCACCAATTTCTCTCTCGCTCTCTTTTATATTCTACTTTTTTTTTTACCCCACCATGTTTTTTGCAGTCAAAGCAAAACATCTTTTTCTTAGCTTTTTCGACCCATTACAAAACTAAATACCAAGTTATTCAAATCTAATGGCTTACCAGCGGTAGCTTGGGTGGGTCCTAAGCGGTAACCAGGACGGAATTTTTTCATCTTCTTTGAATTCTAGTCAGTCTTTGTCTCAAACGACGACCCTCCTGGAGATCTTCTTCTGCTTGTCTTCTGATACGTCCAATCCGAATAACGCGGGTGAACCTTACAGGTATAATCCCATCATATCTCAAATTGTTAAGTATATGTCGGAAGTTCAGGACAGCAGCAAGATCCTGATTCCACAAACGATGCATAACCTCTGACCCGTCCATGTTCTCCAAACAATTTAGATTGGTACATCTAAAAGGACTTGTTTCTATTTTTTTTCACAAGGTCTAGAATTATTAAATGTCTTTAAAAGAAACATACTTAATAGTTATCAAGACTAGTATTAATAAAATACGAATCAGTAAAGTTGACAAAAGAAAGCAATCTGAGAAGAATTGACAGAAAAATATATGCATCAAGTACAATTTGGTTGTCAAGATTGCTCGCATGCTCATTAGAAATCTCGGTAGATTTAGAGAATTGCAAGGAATCTGTCTTCTTGTTTTTCAAAAGTAGGAATGAGACATGACAATGTTAACACAAAGCAGGTTTATACTCTTTGATAAAGAATTAATTAAGCAATATTCATATCTTCATCAATATCATAGTACTTAGAGAATAGCCTTTTTTTTATATAAAAAATGTAAGAAGTATTACATAGAAATAGATATATGTATATTACTTAATAAATGTATAGCTTAAGCTGCTACTAAATATCATAAAAAATAGTACTTCTTCTTTCCATACTTCTTTATATTCAACTTGTATTATTTTGATCAATAAAAAGTATGAAATTCCAATATAAAACCGTGTATTTGTTGAACCAATTATAAGAATAGAGATATCTAAAAAAAGGTATAGAGTTGCCATATTTAGAATATTTGATTGGATTATATGCAAAAATAATCTGAAATCCAACGAATTGTATTCTCCAAATGTTTTATAAAAAGGGAAGTATTTCTCTAAAAATGGTATAATTCTGCTATTTTAAAAGATTTTATTGGATTAAAAAAAAGTAATTTGAACTCCCATAAATAGTATTCGCTGTAAATACTTTTAATTTACTAAAAGCCAAGATTCTATTGGCAAACATTATAACTCCGTGAACGTAGGAATTATAATGTCTGCCATTTACTACGGTGGTAGTTTATTTGAACATTCCTTTTTAACTTTTGACTTTTTCATTTGCCTGCACCTATTTCCCTTTTATTTTATGATATCTAAGGAAACTTTTAAAACAAGACCCTAAATTATTTGTGCACTGATCTCTTTTGAACGAATTTGTTTTTATCAAATGCTAGAATACTGTCAGGGATTCGTCAATTTTATTCACTCAGTTCAACAAGCTGAAATGTATTTCAACTTGTGTAGCATTATGTATGTGGACAAAATGCTTAATTTTATTAAAAAGGCACCTGAATTGATATGTCTGAGGGACAAGAAGATAGTCACACATGACGTAACGGTCTTTCATTACTGGAAGCATTGTCTATCTGGGTACGGAAGTAGAGACACAGACATATAGTCGAGATTATGAATAACATGTCGAACAGCCCTGCTCCTGCAGAAGACCAGGCAAGACTTCTTGATGAAGTTCTTAATGTTGTTAAATTACAAGCACATCAGATGAAGAAGTGTCTGGTTAGTAATATCTGAATGAGACCATCAAAAACCACTGAATGACCATTCAATATATATGTATATATGTATCTATGCTATTGTAGGAGAACAACAAGCTTATGGATGGTCTCAAACACTGTTCCAACATGTTGGCCGAGTTGCGCACCTCTGCACTTACCCCCAAGACATATTATGAGCTTTGTGAGTATAAAACGCCTTGGAGATAAAGTTACTAACTAAGCATATTTCTGCCCCTTCTTTTAGATATGGCTGTTTTTGATGCCCTGCACCACTTGACTATCTACCTTATTGAGGCACACAGTGCAGGTCGCCACCATTTGGCTGACCTTTATGAGCTTGTCCAATATGCTGGGAACATTGTGCCTCGTTTGTATTTAATGATTACCGTGGGTGCAGCATATATGGGTATGCCAGATGCCCCTGTTCGTGAAATTATGAGAGATATGATGGAGATGACCAAAGGTGTTCAGCATCCTATCCGTGGCCTTTTTCTCAGACACTATCTAAGTGGAATGACAAGAGACCATCTTCCTGTCGGAGAAAGTACTGGGTGAGTAATCTATAATGGGCATTAAAAAAAGGGGGAGAAGGGGGAATGAGTACTAGAGCAAAATAATTAACGACAATAATATCAAAGACCCGAAGGAAATGTTCATGAATCGATTACATTTGTTCTGACAAACTTTACGGAGATGAACAAACTCTGGGTACGTCTTCAACATCAGGGTCATTCCAGAGACCGTGAAAAGAGAGAGGCAGAGCGAAAAGAATTGAGAATTTTGGTGGGAACAAACTTGGTGAGACTCAGCCAGCTGGAAGGTGTAGATCTCAGAATGTACCAAACGGTAAGAATTATTGTCTTTAAATTAAGCGTTTTCGAAAACTAAGCGTTTTTTTAAATATGTATAAAACTAATAAACTAATAAATATATTATCATTAGACTATTCTTCCAGGTATCTTGGATCAAGTTGTGAGCTGCCGTGATGTGATCGCACAAGAGTACCTTATGGAAGTTATTACTCAGGTAATATAAACACGATTTAAGGAAATATCGATATAAAAAGCAACAACAACAACATTAATAATACGGTTGCTAATATACATTACAACAGGTCTTCCCAGATGATTTTCATTTGCGCACACTTCAGCCTTTTTTGTCTGCAACGGCTCAGTTACATCCCAAGGTTAATGTAAAGCAAATTATTATTTCTTTGATCGATCGCCTGGCTGCTTATGCTGCTCGTGAAGCAGACGGCGAGAAAGCCGAAGAAGCTTTAGTACAAAATGAAAAATCTTTTGCGGATGAGAAAAAGGAGGATGCGGTCAAATCATCCGAATTAAGCGAAACAGCTGAGATATCTGAGAAGGTTGAAGAGGGTGCTACTGTTTCCGAAACTACCGATCCTGAAGAAGCCAAAGAAAATGGCGAGGAATTAAAGACAGAAGACCAAGATGTGTCTAAAGTTGAAATTTCACCAGAAGAAAATGGTGCTGCTGAAGTCAAGAAGAACATCGAGGATGCAGAAACAGAAGAGATCAAGAAAGTTCGTGGTATTCCCCAAGATGTGGAACTGTTTCTTGTATTCTGGGAGCAAATCGTTGAACTTGTCAAGGTAAATTGTGCTGTAAATTAATGGATGAAGTCTAATGATAATTGATTGGAATCTAGGCTCGTCCTGATCTTTCTGTTCAAGATTTGACTGGCTTGTTGGTGTCCCTGATCAATTTGTCGTTGTCTTGCTACCCAGAGAAACTGAATTACGTTGATCAAATTCTGGCTTACGCAAAAGACAGAATTATCGATCTATCTGGCTCACCGGACCTGCATGCTAAGGCCACTGAGGGTAACCTTTTGGCTCTCTTGCTTGCACCCGCCACCCACTACGATTCCATCCTTACTCTTCTTTCACTCAAACATTACCAGCCGCTTCTTGCTATCCAGCCATTTACTACAAGACGTGCTGTGGCACATGCTATTGTAGAAAATCTTTTGAAGAAGGGGACTCTCTTGACTGTTCCAGAACACATACAAGGAATCCTTGAGTTGTGCGAGGTTATGTTACGTGACCAAAAGGATGCCCCGTCAGCCTCTACATCTTCGTATAATGGTCGCGGAAACTCAACAGATTCTACTGCTGAACATGAATTATATGTGGAAGAGCAGACCTGGATTGCCAAGCTTGTCCATTTGTTCGTTTCCCCTGATGAAGATACCCAATTTTTGGTGAGAGAGACGATATATATATATGTAGTATATTGTACTCAAACTTATCATTTTTTTTCTACAGCTTTTGTCTGCTGCGAGAAAACAGTTTAGCCAGGGTGGTCAACGCATAGTGTACACCTACCCATCATTGGTCAGTTCCGCAGTAAAGCTGGCAAGAAGATACAGACTTTTGGAGGAACAGGTAAAAATGAATACAAATAGCAAACATATTGTATCATTTCTGTACTTACTTTTTATTTCTATTATATTAAAAATAAAAATAAGAACGAGGTTTGGGAGTCAAAGACAGCCGCTCTCTTCCGATTTATCCATCAGGTCATTTCTACTATTTACCATCAATGCGATCAGGCTGAAGCATGTCTCCATCTCTTTCTCCTGGCAGGCCAGAGTGCAGACGAGATTGGATTTGAAGAAATTGCGTACGAATTCTTTGTTGAAGCATTTACAATCTATGAAGAATCAATTTCTGAATCTAAAGCTCAGTTTGAAGCAATCACATCTATTATCGGTGCTCTCCAGCAAACACGCGTGTTTTCTCTCGACAACTATGACACACTTATTACAAAAGCTACATTGCATAGTTCTAAGCTTTTGAAGAAACCCGATCAATGCAGAGCTGTCTACCTTAGTTCACATCTCTGGTGGGCTACCAGCCGAAAGGATGAAAAAACCGACGGCCAGAATCTCTTCCAGAATGGTAAACGCACCCTCGAGTGTCTCCAAAAGGCACTCAAGATCGCTGATAGTTGTATGGATGCGGTTACCAATGTGGAATTATTTGTTGAAATCTTGAATCAATACGTATACTACTTTGAGCGTGGAAACGAAGCAGTAAGTTCTTTATGCTATTTTCTAGTAAATTATTTTTTTGCTGATCTATGTTGAAATTATAGGTGTCTGCAAAGTATTTGAATGGTTTGATCGATCTAATCAACACCAACTTAAGCAATATGGATGATCCTGATCAACATCCCCCTACTGCAAACTCATCCTCACTTGTTGAGAGAGTTGGTCCTGTATCTGACTATGTTCGCCGTTACTTTACTGCCACTCTTAAGCAGCTTCAACAACGCAAGAGAGAAACAAAGAGTACAGATGCCGGACCCAAATACGATGAATTAGAATTGTAGCAACCGAAATATGGAAATAGCATCATTGATGCGAACAAACAAAGCTTGTATAAACAATGATGGTATGAATCTGTCCTTTATGAGAATGATAAAAAAATATTTTTATGAAGTTTTGCTTTCATAAAAATAAGAATAAGAATGACTTTTTTAAACAGTAATGTTGAAAGTCTTCAAGTAATCGAAGCGATGCTGATTCTCGTCGGCCAAAGGACCTGTTTTTTTTAAAAGAAAGAAAGCATTAGTAATTGGCTTTATTTTTAATTTTGTTGCGATTAAAAATTCTTACGGTTAATGGGTGTCCATTGAGGATCCTCCTTAAAGAGACGCATAGCCTTGATGTAGTTTTTGGCATCTGTGGTGAAACGATGATACATACCGGCAGGCTAATTTATTTATTTAATTTTTAAAAAAAGGCAAAATGATTAATAAATACACCATGGCGTGTAGACACCTATTGATTAGACCTACCAGTACAATCATTTCACCTCTCTCAAGATGGATACGGATCCACACGTCGTTTTTGTCACGGACATCAAAATAGCCTGAACCATCAAGAATATATCGAATTTCCTCGTCTTCATGCAAATGCCTGTATGACAAGTATCAGTTGTCAGTGAATACTTTCAAAATATCTCACTTACTCGGCAAAGAATGACTTGACTTTTTCTTCATACACTGGACCCATAGCCTCAGGGGAGACAATAATCTGATAAAAACGGTAAGAATATGTATAGATTTACAATGGCAATGGCCATCTCACCTCGTCTCTGTTCTTGTATTTACGTTCGGCAGCAAGGTCATTGATTCTGTCAAGAGCATCTTCGCCATTGAATTGCCAGTACAAAACACCAATTTGGGCTAAATCTTCGGCAGACACGTATGTACCAGAGTTGTGAGGTTCACGCTGGTCTTCCTCAGATTTTTCAAAAACGTAAGCCTTCATTGTTAAGAGTAGGGGGAGAAGTATTAGGAACACCAAAGGAGAGAGAGAGAGAAAAATAGGATAAAGGCTGAAAGATGGACCTGCAAGTCACGCACAATCGGATTGACTTTGAGCCTATTACTGCGTGTAAGCGTTACTCCGACATTAATTCATCTCTTTCCGTTTGCTTTGTAATGTTGATATATGTGTATATGTAAATATATATATATTGTTTACAAAAAGAAAGAAAAAACAGCTACCATGAGCATAAAAAATTATTATGTTTTGCCTAAAATAATTTCGAGTGTATACTCTTTGAGTGAATTGCTTCAAAGGTACCCGATCGATTACGGTCCAGACAATTATGACTCTATTACTTGGACAAATTGCGACATTTATATAAATCGAGCAAGACAAACTGAACAATCATTTTCTGTAAGTTTGTTCAGATATAAGTTTATAATTAACTGATAAATAAATATGTATGTATATATATATATATGTGTATGTGTATATGTGTGTGTGTATGATTAGAAGGTTATTACACTAACAGAGGGCTATCAATAACGGCAAATCCTGCTGCAACACCACCCTCGTTGGTACTGTGCCCTTTTGTACGCAGCAAATGGCCGCCAACCTCATTCACCAGAACTTTGTCACCATCACTAAACGCAAGTCATGAATATTTCTATAATTATAAAATTATGGTTGACTTACCTCAAATAAATACCGTAAATTCCCAGTTCACTTGCTACATCGCCTTCAATAATCTCTCCTTCACGCACCATCAGATTCTTTGAAGGAGGGGTCTTGATAAGGCTCATAAGAATATATGCATTGCGCTCTTCTACGCTCAATTTTTTCAATTCATTCACAACATCCTGGCCATAAAAGTTATGTCCTCCTCCTTCTCTCTGTGGCTTAAGCACGTAACGGTCTGGATGCGCCAAAGCCGACTTGTATGCGTTAATACCTTCAGGAGAGGCATCAAGAGGATATAATCCGGCAAATGATTCGCGCAAAAGATCTGCGGTGTATACGTCTACATAACGCTCCAGACGACCTGGAACAGTAAGTACTTGTTGTACTTTCTTGCCACCGACAATCTGATAGGCTGCAGTGGGACATTTGATAGATAAAGAGCGTTCTAATTTAAGTCTGGCATCCCATTCCTATAGATATTATCAATAGAGTAAGCCTTCCCACCAAAATCAAGTTAAGCCGAGCAAGTAAGTCTGTTCCGCTCTTTATTTACCTTTTGAGTAGGGTAATCCTCTGGGCCATAACCGGCACGGAAGTAAGTAACAGCAATTTCGTGACCATCCCTAACATCGACTGCAATTTAATACCACATCTCATATTAATAGCTACATATACATTCTTACATTGTCAATGTCTTGGTGGTGGGATTAATAATAGCTCTTTGTTCAATTTCAGCCAAAGTACGTCTCATGAGATGGATGCCATGTCTAGAAAGTCCCACATGAGTATCCCCATTTGTTTCAAACTAGTCGTAGTATGCAGTAAATAGACTTACTTATCTACAAGACTGTATTCAATCCATCTTTGATCAAACACATTTCTCTCTCCAGGCTGAGTCACCATCAAAATGTAGGCACTTTAAAATACCAAGGATTTGTCAGCATATGTTTCTTTTACTACTGTCCAGTTTCTTACTCAGGCTTGCCATAATGCTCCCATGCACTTGCGAGGCCATTAGCAAATCCTTCGATCGCATTATTTTCAGGAAGCTGGTTCAACTTTATCTGCCCACCTGCGTAACTATCAAGAGATCCCAAGAGATATCTAATACACCACAAAAATTTATGAGCTTTTATTTTCTTTTCTTTTCTTTTCTTTTCTTTTTGGCTTTTCTTATCTTACCTATGGAGCTCACAAGTACGGGTACTCAAAGAACCAAAGCTAGATGATATTGTGTTGAACTCGACTTGCTGAATATGAGCATTTCTGATATCATTTCCGTCGTCAGAGTGCAACAGATAGTCGCAACGATGTATACCGAGTGATGCAGTCTGGTTTTCATTAGCTACCCTTCTTATAAAACCACTCGAAATTATCTATTAACAATCAACTCACCTGGGCAAACCCTTCATTTTTAACAGTCAAATACACCTTATAGAGCTGACTCATAAATTCATCAACTTTTGAAAGACTTGGAGGATCATTAATGTTAAATATTAGTTTTCTCTCCTTTATTTTAATATGATTGTACCTAAATAAAATAAAGCTTACGTTTCCATAACCTCAGTTATAAGAGAATCATCTTGGCTCATTTTGTGAATCAAAGTATTCCATGGTTGTTGAAGCCCCTTGGCCTTCTCAAACTCTGCCCTGGGAAAACTTGAAGGATATAGGGCAAATGGTGCGTGATTCACTACGGAGGTACTTGCAAACAAATTTTGGTTTGAAACAGTGGGACGAACAATAAGTCCATGAGCAAGAGCCCAATCAATGGCAGAAATGCGTAACTCCTCGAGTTCAATGGCGGAAACTTTTGGTGGGTAAGCCATTTGGAATGTATTAGTAAACAAGAGTTAATGAAATAATAAGAGTGGCACCTTGACTGAAGGCGCGTTTATTAAAGGTTATCCTTTTCTTGGCTGAACATGAACTTTCGTGTCACGTGTAGACTTGATAATCAAAGTGTGTTCGCAACCACCCGGAAAATTATCGATATCGACGAATTATCGACATCTCGAACATCAAAAAAGGGTCATTTTTTTTGCTTTATTATTCTTGTCTTGTTTTGGAAGAGTAAAAAACAAATGCTAGAACGACTAATTTTTCTTCCCCAATCATCTTTTCTTTTAAATATCAAAATGCCAGAAAAGGAGTGCTGGTAGTTTAGATTTCCTTTTTTGGACTCAAATTATTTTCAGGGATCGATATATTGGGAACAAAACAAAAAAAAACACTGCTTAAACTTTCGATACCGATAAAGCTCCAGGCGGTGATGAGCACCTACCATTGATTTCAAGTGTATAGATATATATTGGATCATATTTTGGAGAAATAACAATTTTATCTTTATTTTTCTTTTGGCTGCTGTTGTTGCAGAGCAGTACCAATCTTTTCAACTTTGGAGATGCACACGCCCAGTTGATCAGAGAGCATGTTTAAGCTATCTAGTTTGCTCTTTGAGTCTTTTATTTTATCCTTAACTAAGCTAATTAAAACACTCAAATCCTTGCCAATACTTTCCTGCATCTCTAGACACCGTAAATCATTCCGTGCTACTTCTGCTGCTTCTCTACCACAACCACTTCCCATAGCTAGGTTTTTTTCTGGTTGGTGAGTAGCATGATGCCACATGTACTCAACCGCAACACGGCCATTCCGTAAAGTCTTCTTGGTGATCTTAGCTTTGCAGCCATCCTTGATAGATTCCTTACGAATTCTCTTGGGCTTGCGCTCAAGTCCACAATTTTCTTCTGGTTTGGCTTTTCTTGGCATGCCCGCATGCTTGCACACAAAATAAATGGTTTTCACAACATCGCTGGGAGACGCGGTAGAGTATGTCGCTTTTGAAATACTGGTGTTGCTTATGTTCCAATGTGAATGTCTTTTGGCTGAAGTTTCATACCAAAGGGTGAAAGCATCTTCATTAATAAAGATCTCGATTATTTTTGGGTTGACGATTTCGTAATCCGGGTCGTTTCGGAGCATGTGGTAATCATCAATTTCATTAATGGTGAAGTTAGTGCGCTTTTCAATGCTCATTATGAATGTAACTTTGTTTTTGTTTGTTTTGTTTTGTTTTGTTTCGTGCGTATAAATGAAAGTATAAATGTGCCTGAAACGATAATACTTCACTACAATTTTTGTACCGGGTCAAGAAATATTCGCCCAGCCCGGCACGTGTGACAGTTATAGTTTTTGAATACTTTAATTTATTAATGAAGTTGTATATACAGGTGCTTTGGCCATCTGTATGTTGATACCAGAAAGGGATAAACCTTAATATTTCCTATATAATAGCTTTTTACAAAAGACAATAAAAAATACCCAACGTAAGATGTATTATGAAGAGCAAGTTAGAGAAGTATTTGTCTGTGATCGGAGATGGACAAGGTTTAAAATTTATTCCTTCACTTTGCTTTTTACCTAACATAATTTCTTCTCTTTTACTCTTTTTTATTACTATTATTCCAGCATCTAATGTCTTTACCTAATCTTTGGAGAATCTACTCCTCATTCCGGACACCTGAAGAAGAACGGCAATTTTCTCGAGCAGCATTCTTTAAATTCAGTGGTTACATTCTCTCTTGCATTGCCATGACCGTGCTGGCTTCACGTTATAGCAACAAGACCAAATGGGTGACTGCCTAAGGATCCTTCTCTTACTCTTTTTTCTTATTTACTTTGGAATGATCGCACATTATGGACAACCAATACAAATATTCAGGATTAGATATTATAGAAATTGAAACTGGTGGTGTTTACTGCAGCAAAGAAAAAAAATGCCCTCTCGTTCCTTGCGTATCCAGTGAAAGAAGAGCTCAGCTAAAATTGTACTGATTCTTTGTGGCAATATCTAGCTCTCCTCTCTTAGTTTGAAATCAATAAAAATATATCTATACCTCTTGACACTTTCTACTATACATAACAGTTAAACTATTATATATTGAAGACTGATAAAATAAAATAATTTTTTTGAAATTGCTTGAGGTATAGAATATTTTCCTATATTTACAAAAGCAAAACATAATCTACTTCATTCAAATCTTTTGTAAATAAGGGAAGGAGAAGCCCAATTTTTATTGCTTTCCCGTCACGAAGAGTGGTACACGCAAATGAGAGAAACAAAGCTTAAGAGCGGGGAAAAGGAAGCAAAGATAAGGCTATTCCACTTCTATTTTAATCAAATAAACACAATAGCCAGCCCAAGAGCACCATATGTAGATATTTCTATAGAAAATGGATCCTCATAAAAAAAGTAATATGACAATGATATCGCCAAAATGCGAGTATAGTGAGGGGCAAAAATTGTCGTAATTTTGTTTTCAGTTCCTGCGTCTATACATAAATATATATTTATATATATATCCAAGACGCCCTTTAACAGCCTCAAACTACTAAAATATAAAGATAAAATTTTATTGTTTCATAATGTATAAATATATATATATATCTTTAATATTTTGTGCAGTGGTGCTTGGCATAAATCACAGCCTGACATTTCCTGGGCATGCTGGAAGCAAACTGCTGTAAACACTTTCTAGGAATTTTGTGCCATTCCCTCTCTACCGCATGTCAAAAGTAATAAATATTGTACAGCTTGTATCGGTTTGTTCTAATTCTATACTTAATATATGCCCAGATATGCTCAATAGGGTTGAGATCTGGACTTTGTGGTGGCCAGTTACCAAAAAGTTGAAGCCGATTCTTCTTTTTCCAAGCTTTTCTCATTGCACTTATATGACAGCTGACATTATACTCTTATATTTTGAATCTCCTCCAGCAATATTTTTTTTACTGAAAGTCTTTAGAAACGGAAGATATGACTTTTCCAAGATGTCAATGTACTTCTTGGAATCGATATTCCCTTCTACAACATTTAAATCTCCGAAACTCTTGCTAAAAAGCATCCCTAGACCATATTGAAACCACCTCCACACTTTACTGTTGATGAGACAAAGTCTGGCATAAATAATACCTATCTTGCTACGCCAAAAAAACCATGCTCCATCATAAATTCCTGTGGAGCTGAAGTTTCGACTCATCAGACCAGATGATGGCATTCCAATGTCAATTTCCAATGTACATGTTCTTTTGCTCATTGCGATCACTTCTTCCGATTTATTTCTGAAAGCCTTGGTTTTCAATCGTTTTACGAGAGCGTATACCAGCACTACGCAAATAAGTTCGTAGGGTCTTGACTGATACAGGAGTAGACAGTGTTTTGCAGATAGTAGTTAATGGTGTCGTTGCATCGCGTCTAATCTCATGGAGGATTTCTCTTTTGTCTCTCTCGTTTAACTTTTTAGGTCTACCAGATCGTACACCAGCTTTGTACGAGTCACTTTCTTTGTAGGCTTTCAGAACACGATGAACTACGTATTTGCTAACACCGAGTTTTTTTGCGATGTCAACTTGTTTAGTTCCATTCTTAACACTCTCATGCAGAATTATTGCACGAGTTGTATCGTCAGTTTGTTTATGACCTGTAGCTGAAGTATTTTTAGGCTTTTCTGTGCATTTAGGTTGTTGCATGATTGTTTAGGACTTTAATGTAGAAGTAAAAGAAAGAATTTATTCCTCAAAGAAAAGAAGAGCGTGTTAAATAAAACTACGGCACCTTTTGCCCCTTATAGTAGTCCCTCTTTTATTTTATTTTAAAAAATAGACATGGACAAGCGACGAGAAATTTTGAATAAAGATACCATCCCAGCTAACCTCAACTAAAATTCTAGGTATCTGAAGGCTGATAATGATGTTGGGAGGGTAAATTTGAGCTAAAAATGTTATTTAACTTGTTTACTTGGGAGGTGACATGAATATAAAGAAAAATGCTGAGGTCTTACAAGACTATCTCAAACCATCCTATGAAATGTTGTCATACAATAACACTTGGGATTATTTATTCAAAGAGAGCAATATCATTACCCATAAAGCAACCCCATCTATGATATGTAAAGGTGACCTTAGTGTAGATATTCTTGAGTGACCTTATAAGAGACAAGAATTGAGTCCAATTGAGAAAACCTGGAATCAACTGGATGATCGCGTACCCTTAAGACTTTAATTACTTACAGCAATGAACCAATTATAAGAAACCCCGAAAGAGAGCTGTCAGATAATATTCTAAACTTGACATTTTAGATATACTCCAAAATACAGTAAAGATGTAAATGTATTTCTTCCAGCTCAAATCAAGACAAGTAACAAGCCAGACCCAAACTTGCACGTCACAGTAAGTTTCTTTGGAACAAATAAAGGTCACGTGGACTAGAGTCGGGGATGCAGGAAACACGCTCAACACCCCTTTTCACTTGTCTGATCTATACAGAATTTAAATTGACATGGGCATCAAAAGAAAAGCATCCGACGAAGAAGAAATCCCTATTAAGGATCATCACAATTCATCCGACGAGGATTCCGATGATGGTCTTCCCGATGTATGTTGTTTAAATTGCACCATATTTTATGGTTACAAAGAGAGATAGATAAATAAAAATATCAATAATCTAACTCTACCGATCTTTTATGATTATTGTTTGATCTTAAAGGACATTGTCAATGTTGATTTCGACTTTTTCAATCCTGAGCCCGTTGATTTCCATGCGCTTAAAAGACTATTGGGCCAGCTGTTCTCATCAGACGCAGAACTTATCAACTTGTCGGATATTGTTGACATTATTATCGAGGAAAACCATGTGGGCACAACAGTCAAAGTAGACGGACAGGAATCGGATCCTTATGCAATCCTCAGCGTAATTAATCTCAACGAACAAAAGGTAAAAAAAAAAAGACAGTCCTGAGTAAAAATAATAATTAAAGAGGTGAATCTAATGGTGAATTATGATATAGGAAAATGAAGGTGTCAAGTCATTATGCTCTTACCTTTTGGCAAAGTGCCCCAAGAAGGAAGAGAAGGTTCACAAGGCAGTGACAGATATACTCTCACTTAAAAAGAGCTCTGGAAATTCTGTGGGATGGATTGTATCTGAGAGGTTTATCAACATGCCAGTAGAAATTATGCCTCCAATGTATTCTATGTTACAACAAGAGTTGAAACAGGCAGTAGAAAAGGTATGTGATGTAGACAACAATTGTAAATAAAGGCTGCTCTAACTTTTTTGAATGGTCGTGTATTCGACCAATAGAAAGAGCCTTATGATTTCGAATGGTATATGATTATCTCTAAAACATACAAAGAAGTGTCTTCATCTCTTGATGAAAACGGCGAAGAAGAGGAGCCAAAAGCCCCAAAAAAGAAGTCTAAAAAGGTATGCTCGAATTATACCAAAGAAAATGTGAAGATATGGGAATATAGGGCTAATTATGGCGCATTAATAAGGGAAAGAAGGCCTCTAAACCTGTGGACGAAACATTTTATTTCCAAGCAGAAGACGAAATCATCGCAAAGTATGCAACCTATCAGTTTGACTTCAAATTCACAAACAGTGAAAAGGAATCAGTATCCGACGCAAAACGTGCATTCTCTGACTTTGGCATTGCACCATCACGTAAACTCTTGCTAGTTCACAAATCCAAGTTTGACGAATTAGTAGGAGATATTGAAGCCACTTGCACAAATATCGTTCCTATTGATGATTAGAACCCAAATACTTTTTTTTATCTTTCACAAACAGTGAGAAAAACTGTACCTGCATTTTATATATATATATTTAGAACACATAATAGTTTCATACTGATATATAAAGAAACACTTTGTATCATTTTCTTTGTATTTTTCACGATAAAATCAACCGAACAAAATCAATTCATTGAAGGATAATGCCTATATATTTACCTTTCTCTTTAACCATATCTGAGTTCAACTACAATAAAAGACGATTCATTAATATTTTTTAAACCAACAACCATAGGCAGATTAGAACAAATGCTTTTGACAGCTATTTCATACGCATATAAGAGTGCCGACATTGGTGAGGTAGATTTTAAAGACAATGATCATTAGATAGTTTTGTAGTTTGATGCTTATGCGTGATTTTTGAAACTCAATAGGGGGTTTCACCAGCTTTGGATGTTGACTGTTGGATATAGCGGTAGTTTAAGCACCAGCCAATAATAATAAGTATCGAAAAAAGACTGGTGAAACCCCCTAATGACCCTTGGTTGATATGTTTTCTCTCATATACGTCAAAATTCATATGTACAATACGCTTGATTAGAGTACCCATAAATATAGTGCCTATGCCCAAATTCCTCACAAGTAAGTTAGACTTCTATAATTTGGTATCAAGATAACTACTTTTATATAGATTAATTATGTTTTATTTTTGACTTTGCTTCTATATGAACTTCGCCATCAATCGTACATAAAGTACAAAATTTACAAAATTTCGGCTAAGTCACGACATCTAGAGTATCGAACTATTTTTTTAGATGCTTGGATGCTCGTTTTTCATTTTTTGAAGATTCGTTATAGTCAATAATTTTCCGAATTAAACTACCGCTATATCCAACAGTCAACATTTAAAGCTGGTGAAACCCCCTAATATTATATAGATAGTAACAAACAGTTGATGTAAAATAGAAACTTTTTCTTCTTCGTTTTAATATATACATATGCATATAAAACATGCCTCGATAACAAAGCATCAATGTGGTATACACACAATTGACTCTTGAATAGAATATTTTAGCAACTTATAAATATATATATATAAGTATATTACTATGAATCGTTAGGGACCCGATATAATTATTGGGCTGCACAACAAGTCACATTTAGGTTTTCTAAAATCAAAACGTCGGCTCCCTAGAATTCGCACTCACCTTCATTGAGAAAAGAGTAGTGATTCAGATGGTGATTTCACATAGTGTTATCCCGATTATAAGCCTATGATGTATTGAACCAGTTAGATGATTCTATATTTAGTTATAGCTGTTTAATATCACCTTAATATTCAAAACTGTTTACAGCCTTATCAAACTGAGTTTTACAGAATCTGCAGGCTTTAGCCACAATATCTTGTAACACCTAGGAAACCTTTAATTTCTTTCAAGAATTTTCTCGACTGTCCTCTGTTTCTTTTCACGCACCAACCTACCAGTATGACTGCTTCAATACCCACATTTTTGGTACGAAAATGAAGTGATACGTGTACAAATTTAATATTGTCCTAACACACCAGATATCATAGTTAAATACTGGAGATCGACTTCCAGTGATTGGGTATGGAACCTTTGGTGGTAAAAATTCTTCCGAAGCCATGTACGAAGCCGCTAAAGAAGCCTTAAAGGTTGGCTATCGTTTTTTCGACACCGCCTACAGTTGCAAGTATTTCATGAATATAGCTGTAGATAGATAGATAGATATGTATATAATAGAATGGTATTCAAATACTTTTAAGAACACCTTATAATTTTTTTTTCATTAACAGATACGACTGAAGAGGCTCTTGGAAAAGCTATTAGGGAAAGTGACGTGTCACGTAAAGAGTTATTTGTGAATACCAAGCTTTCCCAAACTTTCCACGAGCCAAAATATGTGCGTCCTGCCTGTGAACGATCTCTTTCTTTATTGGGCCTTGATTATTTGGATATGTATATGGTGCACTGGCCTCTGGCATGGAAGTTTTCTGGCTTTGAATTCGAGAACTTACGCAAAAAAGATGAGGAAGGAGATATAAAATGTATTGATGTACCATTGATCGATACCTGGCGAGGCATGGAACAGCTCGTCAAAGATGGTCTTGTAAAAAATCTTGGAATATCCAATTTTACACTACCCATGATTAAAGAGCTCTTAACTCAGTGCAACATCCCACCAGCTGTTCATCAAATTGAAATCCATCCTAATCTACTTCAGGAAGATATGCTTGCTTTTTGTAAAGAGAACAACATCCTCTGCATAGCATCTACACCTTTGGGTAACCCTGGATTGTTTGGTGCTGGAAAAATTAACCCGTTGGCAGAGCCAGAAGTAATAATTTTAAGCAAAACTTTATAGAGCTTAATACGTATTAACCTTTTTTTTTTATATCTATAATTAGGTTCTTCAGGTAGCAAAGAAGTATGGTAAAACATCTGCCCAAGTCGTTCTTAATTGGGGAATCTCTCGTGGCTGTAGTGGTAAGTCATATTAGGTAAACAGAAACAATCTCACAAAATACTATGAACTTGTATTATTAAATACCTCCTTTAGTTATCCCAAAATCAGCAACACCAAAGCGCATTAAAGAAAACTTTGTCGTGTTTCCGATTGATTCTAAAGACGTAGACTTGATCTCTAAAATTGGACATAGAAATACTATTCGTGTTTGGTACATATAATAATAAAACCCTTGTATGAACGTCTTTATTAACTGTATTGTTATGTAGTGACCCTTTTGATGCGTTTGGCCCCTCCAACGACGTGTTCGGGGAACACAAGGAAGAAGTAGCCAAATGGCTTTCATTGCGGAAGTCTGTCAACAATTTGAAGAGCAATATATAAACAAAAATTAGACATTGGTTTTTATTATTTTTTTGGCTTAAGTAGATTTTGTCAAATATAATTACACAACTTTCTTTTTATTACAGTCAATAAAGCACAATATATAAAGGGTTACGACTATATCAGTTTATGGTTGGTATTATACAATTTTGTCTTATTTGATATATTAAGTAACCTAATACGTTTACGCACTGTCGTTAAACAAGCGATGAATCTCAGATATAGCAGGTGTACTCTCTAGTCTGTTTAAATATGATCTTGCCCTACCAATGTTTACATTTCCAGTATCCTTCTCCTAAGGCAATTGTTATCACGCTTGTACACTTCCACTATATATAAATTCATAATCTTACCTTTAAGCATAGCCAGACACCAAAATGCAAAGCAAGCTCTACTTGGCGCAAAAGGGAGCTGCGGTTTGTGTCTATTGCTAGCGGAGACGGATCACCCTTTGCGATATCTTCTATGAACTCATAATGCTTCTGAGAATAGTAGATTGAATCTTTCATATCGCACAGTAATATGTCCAGGCAGTATCGTCGATGATACCACAAAGCCTCGTGCCCAGGGTAGCTAATTATTACTCCATCCAGCCATCTGAGGTGATCTTCTAATATGGATATCTTTAAAGGAGAATCTTTTACTATCGCAAAAAGAGCAAGCTCCAAGTGTTGCAAGCATGAATGATCGCTGACGTTCACTTCAACTCTGGAACGCGAATGATGATATTCCTTTTGAACAAAATGGTGGTCTGACTCCATGGTAGAAAGTAACCAGTGACGATAGTTCCATGTATAGTAGCCTTTAGGATACAAGGTTATAGTTCGGTCGCATAATTGTAATTCATGTTCAATATTAATATGATCAATAAGACGAGACTGAGGGTCATTGCGCGAATGTTTCAACTTATAGATCCATTGCCTTTGTTGTTTTTGGTGGTGGTGGTGTTTTTTTGGAAACAATAATTAGATGAAAATATATTTCTTTTCGCTGTGTGCTTTTACCGATGATGCCATGCAATCGAGCTCTTGGAATGTTTAGGGATAGTAAACATAAGTTCAAGAAGTAATAATTCATTCTCTATCGAGATCTGTCCGGATGTGATCAATTGCTTTCTTTGATAAATAAATTGTATCAGTACCGTACCGGGACTTGATCAGGTTGTCTACCTTGTATTCATAGCAGTGTAATGATCAGGCTTGATTAATATTAAAACTCTACTGACTTGTTCCAATTCTGCCAGATCTGCAGCTCCTTTTGCATCACGGACAAGAACATAGCGCTTATGAGCCTCACTTAAAAGCGCTGTTAAATGCTGAAAGGAGATTCCAAGCTTAGATTCAACAACAACAAGAGGATAGAATGCTGCACTCTCGGATGGAAGATCAGATAGATTTGGTTGAATGTGCAACAAACCTATCTCATCACTATTGTGATGCATGAGAACATTGCCATTAATAGAGAACACAGTAATAATTGCTCACATGTTATTTGTTGAAAGTACAGTAACAAGTTTCTCGTAAATCGTCTTTTGAGACATCAACCAAAGAGCAACGAAATAGGTACCATTTACTAAAAATTACTCGATATAGAAAGCGGACTATTTACACCTTTAATATTTCTTATTTTCATAAAGAATTACTTTTCACTCATATAAATATATAAAATATGTTAACTAATTCATTCTTTATATAAGTGCTTAATAATAATAATAATAATAATAATAATAATAATAATAATAGTAATAGTATTTTATTATTGTTTCTTTTCTCAGACCAAAAAACGAAAAAAAAATACTAGAAAAGTAACCACAGCTTAAATACAGCCAGCTCTAATAAAATGATGCTGAAAGAAATAATGTAATACATATCCAATATTACTTATACACCATAGTCTGAAGAGGTTTTTCTCTAAAGCGAGCTAATATTGTTTACTGCTTAGCTTTGTTATATTGTATTATATATTTTTCACGTAAGACACAAATATGTCATTATGTTCATAAATGGAGTAGCCCAAATATTGTACAAAGAATGGTAATGGTGCATATAGCGACAAAGAAATATAGGTGGGTCGAGCTAAAAAAAAGTCGTTTTTACTACTTGCTTAATTTTTAGATCTATATATCATGCCACCTAGATTCGGAGGAGCACCCAAATGCCCACGCTGCCAGAAAGGTAAGCCTTTTTCACTGTTAGATCGCCAATATAACATTGAATTGTGATTTGTCTTTATTCATTTTCATTTTTTTTAGCCGTGTACATGGCAGAACAAGTAAGATGTAGACGCAATCACATATGCCAACGATAATCTCGAGCCTTCAAAAATAAGATATTTAAACAAAATATTGAACCATCTAATTAGGTTATTGGGCCGGGAGGACCTTGGCATTCCAATTGCTTGACGTGTAAAGTAAGCTAGCACTCATACAATTACTTTTCTACTCTTGTGCATGACTATACTTTACGAAAAGCCAACTCAACATTTAAATTCGGTAGGAATGTAATAAACGCTTAGACTCATCCTTGTCAGAGAGAGACGGAGAGGTAAAAATCTGCAGGAATAAAGCAACCCAATACAAACGGAAGGTGGAGTATTCGCAAAATTAATATTCTTTAATACCAGGTTTATTGCAAAGTATGCTATACACGCCAATGGGGTCCAAAGGGATATGGTTTTGGTAGGGAAATCTTGTAATCTGTATTAAGTAACCTTAGTGCACTGTGTTTACAAAGTATACATATATATAAATATACATTCTACGTTAAGCTGGTGGAGCAGCATTCTTGAGCACAGAAACCAAATTACCAAGTGAAATCCTCAATGAATCTCGCCATACAAGCAACCATAGTCCTGTCACAGCTTCTTCCCCAACAATTTCCTCCCCTACCCCACCAACATTACCATCGACACGCCCATCAATGCAACCACCTAGCATACCATCAACACGACCACCTGCAACCCCACCTACGCTCCCACCTCGTATTTCTGGATCGCCTATTCCTTCACCTAAATTGCCAGAACGTCAAATAAACTCCACGGATCCTGCTTCACCTACAGATGAGCCAGGGTCACCAGAATCAGAAGATTCTGACTGGTCGAATCCTAGACCTCCACCATCCTTACCAAAAAAGCCAGAGACTTTCACTCCTGAACAAAATAGATCTATTGGTACACACAAGACATCTTATATAAACCATACAACTGGATACGTTCCTAGGAAAGTTGGCTTTGCTATTCAAAATGATACGTGTACAAAGTGTGGCAAATCAGTATACGCAGCTGAATTGGTATGTTGTCGAAACAAGAAAGTTTGTCTATTTGTTTGTTTGATGTAATGGATGTATTTGTTAAATAATAATTTATAAATGTGTGTTTAGGCTCTGGGTGCTGGAAACAAGTACCATAAATTGTGTTTGAAATGTTGTGAATGTGGAAAGCTATTGAGCTCAACCAATATGGTTGATCGTGATTCTGATCTTTATTGCCGAGGATGCTACTCAAGATCTTTTGGCCCAAAGGTAAATATATATATATAAATTATACGTTAAAACTTGTATTTAATGTATTGTCGTTTAGGGTTATGGATTCGGAAATCTTTTGACCCCAGAGGGAGCAACCCGTTAATTCTACACTATATGTATAGATGACACAGTATAAATGTAATAATTAAATATAGTATACTACTCATGTTACAAAAAGAAGAAGAAAATAAACGTACAAATACCATTAATTAAATATGTATAAAACTATGTATAAAGAATACGATTAATAGTATTTCATTGCTACCTACCCAAACTCTTTACTACTAAAAACATAATCGGGATATAATGGTTTATTGAGTAAAGTAATAAGTAATAGCTTATACTAGTGTCATTTTCTTAAAAACTCTTTTCTTGGCCATAAAACGTTATATACAAACATCAGATTGGGATTCAAGTATTGTCCATCGCTCTACTGTTCGTTTTTCTACTTGCTGTAGACGTAGTGTCAATACTTCTTGATCAAATGTTGCTTCTGTTGTAGGTTGAGGTCCAAGTCTCATAGGATCATACATCTCAGAAGTTTCATTAAACTCCTGATTCAATTCTTCAAGATAGAGCCTCTGGATCTCCATAGCAAGGGTATCAGGCATTGTTTGCGCACTAAGAATAGGCGAAGGTAAAGGTGTGTCGACATCCGATTGCTTAATCTCTGGAACCTCAGTGTCATCTTCACTGTCATATACTTCAGCATACAGCCATTTCTCATAATTTTCCATGAATTCAGGATCAAGCTCAATATTGTCTTTCATATCCTCAGTAATAAATGGAATCGATTGGCGCATAGATATTGATAAAGTATCAGTATCGTCTGTCTGAGGTAGCATGCTTGGCATGTAGTGCTGGCCATTATACATTCGAATCAATATTCTCAAATTGATTTCCTGGGCCTATATATTTAAATAATAACAAGATATTTTAACCAAAATTGCATTCGAAGGATATTACCATTCCATCTTCAAGATCAGTGTCGGTATCTATCTTGGATATCCAGTCATCTCTAAGTGCTGTATGACACTGGAGGTATATAGCAGAAATGATCTTCATGTTGACTAGAGTCCAAGGAACAGTAAACGAGAGTTATATTAGTAATGTTCTCGCCGTTATTGATAAATACTCACGAGATTTCCATCTTCTTCCAAGGTAAGGCACTTGGCTTTTAAGCACTTTTAAAGTATAGAGTTCGAGTACAGGGTGGGATACTTTCAACATACGTTTAAGAATGGCCTTTTTGTGGCAGTAAGCGAGAGTTTTATCGGATTGACATGATATTCTTACCGAGGACTTGTATTGTACAAGTAGCATCACACGGTTGGTTTTTCGTTTAGTCAGCATTTGGAGGATGCGGAGGAAATTGATAGACCAAAACATGTTCCTTTGGTTTGTGTAAAGTATCTCTTCAGTAGAAGAAGATTCTTCTTTCTTTGTATAGAAATGATGAAACAAACTATATTATAATTAATATATTGGGTATTTTTGTATATATATCTTTCATCTATCAGTAGCATACCTACCCATGATCACTTCGATCCGTCTGTGCTGCGACGAGGGCCGTAATTTCTTGCAATCCAAGTATTTTAAGGATAAGCAGCAGGCAACCGGAATCAACAAGAAGTTGTGATAGATACTCATGTTTGAGAACATCTATAAAAATGTATTTTAACACATCAAGACAAATTTGTAAGAGAAACTTTGGCTATACTTGCGTGATAATTTTGTCCACTTTAAGAGCAAAAGAATAATAGCTGAGATAGCTTTTGAGATAATTTCACGATTGCGAGTAGCATCAATTTCTTCTTGAGCTTCAATTGAGTTAGGGTTATGTGTTGGCTTGGCAGCATTCCCAGTACCATTAGAATTGTTGGTTACTGTTGACAAAAGAAGCTTCAGGAGTACAATAATGATATTTTGCAATTCAGGCATAATAGTGTGCTATACAGCTCAAGCTGTGAGATTTTTTTTTTACATTGGTTAAAACATATAATTAGACTTACATAAAGGTGCTCTATACTATTCATAAGTCGTTTGATCTTTTCAGATACATCGGTAATATTATCGTTTTCCTCCAATTGCTTTTTACTCTCATTCTGCCACTTATGGATTGCTTTTTCACGCTCATGTATTATTTGGTAGGTAGAAAGTGACATGTGCATGTTTTTAACAAATAGATTTCCGGCTTCTGATATGCTCTTTGGTACATATGGCTGTGATTCGGTTAACGGAAGGGCAAATGCATTTTGTTGTGGAGGGGCAAAGGGGTTTATCTGCGATTGTTTCTTTGTGATTGATTGTGTCGCTGGCTGACCTTGTTTTGGCGGGAAGAGGGCTTGGTATGGGAGATCAGTATTTGCAGTAGCAGATGATATCCCCATGGCACTGGCCAAAGCTGATGTGGCTTTAATAGTGAGCGTCTCGGAAACGGGAAAAGGGAATTTAGGTGGGGTATAAGCCGGGTATTTAAGGACACTCTCGTTCTGGAAATTGTAGAGGTCAAGTGGGGTACATTTGGCGACGATGTCTACTAAATGGATATAACTGAGAACTCTTGGCTTTAATCCGTTTTCACAAGATTACCTTTATCCATAAATTGAAAACCATTGAGTTTCTTAACATCCTCTTTTAGTGATTTTGGCTTGTCCAATCCCCCAAAGGCAGCCAGCATGACTTTCCATAACAAAAGTATAAGCTAATAGAATTTGTAAGCAAACAGTACCTTTTATACTTTAGGACCATTTACCTTTTTGTAAGGGAATGACTTTACATATTTTTCTCTTAGTTGAGCAATAACAGAAAAGAGGAATTCTATCATGCTTGGAGTAAGGGATGCTAGAGACCGAAATTATGGTCAGAGAGAATATTGATTTATATTTGTCAGGCATTTACCCAACTCCTCCCAGGATGCTTCTGCCTGTCGGCGGGATTCTATCAAAAGGTAAAGAAGCGAAAGATAGAGTTCGATCTCGATGCTAATCTCTATGATTTGGTCTATATCGGAGCTTTGTTGACTAAAGGCAATTACAACAGTTAAAATAGGTAGCATTTAACACTTTTTGATGCGTCCTTACTCACTTTAGAGCATCATGTTTTGCACAGGCTCGCCTAAGGGCCTGATAGAATGCAGGAAGAGCCCCAGACTCATACAAGAGTTGATTATTTGCAAGTATAGTTCCTAGATAGTCATCACAATCGCACGCACCATCCCCTAGACATCCTAATAAACATTTACAATAATATGCATATTTTTTCTTGATGTTATATACAATAAAACACAAAAGTCCAGAGGAAATGTTTCTTATTTAGCCTAGTTTCTTTTAAAGAAATACCTAAGGAGATATAGACTAATTGCTTAGCTGCACTGATACGTCGATTAGCCTGAACGTATTCAAGCTGATCTATAAGTAATTCTAGACCGCTTCTACGGTCGGCATCACTCGTTGTCTTCCAGGCTTAACATTAATGAGCAAAGGAAATGGTCATTAGGGAACAATCTACCTACGTGATCCGAAATAACGATTGTATTCTCGTCTATAGTCTGGTAAGTCGATTGCTGCTTCTGAATAGTTGAAAAACTCGTCAATCTCCTGTTTCAATGGCTCTGTATCTTGATATTTGTAACGGTCATGGGGATGCTAGTCTTGATGTGAGCATATTGCAATGTTGATCAAGTTTGAGTCGCACCTTGATTTTACTAGGCAGAGCTTTAACGACTTGTTTGATATGTCCAGGTGTCAACAAGGGATCCTGGTGTTGCTTTTCTTTTGCTGCTTTTCCTTGCGACATTAGGTCGGAAAAGAGATATGAAAACAAGCTTGTTAAAGGTATTACATGTGACTTAAGATATTGGTCAATGGGAGAGGTCACGTCATGTCAATGCGTAGTTTGTCTTACCCTCTCCATTCCGGGAAATAATTTTAGTATATACAGATATAGATCTACAGGCTAAAGCCATAATGCCTTTTTCTTCTTCTTCTTCAACTTTTACAGTTTTATTAATGACACTTTTATAATAGATACAGTAATAGAAACATTTCAATTAAGTGTATAAATACTTAAAAGTTGTATAGATCCGTTTGGTAAACAAACAGGATGTTTTGATTTTGGTTAACTGAATTCTATTTCCAAGTATACGTTTCTCTTGTACACCATCAAACAAATACACCAAGTCTGATAGAGAGCATTTTGGCTGTCTATTATAATGTGAGAGGATCAATATTATTATTTTTTAAAAAAAAGTTTCACCAATTCTGTGTTTACAAAATGAAGTTCAATGGAAACGGTCGATATGATTTCCCCAATTGATTATTGGAGTGATGTAAAAGCTTAGCGTAAGGGAGATATAGAATACTTAAAAACAACGATATTTCAGCAAATAAGCATTTGAATAAATATAGAGAAAATGTGAACTTGCATAAGAAACATTTTGTCAAAGATATTTAAGCTTTTTCTTTTAAAAGAAAAAAGGGGGTGGAAGGATCAATCAGATTGATTAATTGATCTGATTGGATGGAATTCATTCCGACCTTTTTCGAACCTTTTTTTTTTTTAATTGACCCCTTCCCCTTGCCCCATTGTAAAGCCAAACTGTTTAATCATCAATTTTCTTGCCAATATTCCTATTTGGTTTCCTGGTTACTGTTACCTGACTTTGAATTTTCACACACTACCAATTACCTTTTTGGTGGTTAACCATCTGTTGGTTTCCAGCCTACTATATCTCTTTTCCCTCTTTCTCTTTTTCTTTGAAATAACAATAGTACGAGTAATTAAATCGAAATGGGAATCAAAACAACCAGACATACGTCAACAGACTTTGACGAAATCAATAAAAAGATCGCACGCCTTCTAAAAGATCCATCAGATGCAATGGATCAGGCACCGATTGACATTGATGCAATGTCACTCTCTGATTTAAAGGCCTTTGCTGAGCAAGGTAAACCAAACCATACATGTATAAGAGCAATTGCTAATCAATTCAGTTACAAGGTGGCCTTGGAGCCTGTGTATCAAAAGAAGACGTCCTTGCCGAGACACCAGAAGATTTGATGTATCTCTCAGGTACGAGTGGCCAGGGACCTTATTCACAAAACAACTGATCGCCCTAACAATTGGTCTTTTCTTGACTTAGGCGAACGAATCATTGTCCTCAAACATGTAGAAGACGATATATATTTGGTAAAAGTTTATCTTCCAAACAGGAATATTTCAATGGCTCATTCAAGAATTTAAGGGTTATTGTGAAGGTGTCATTGGACAATTCAATGCAGAAAGTGTTCATTTTGTTGAGCTAGACCCACGTGTATTGGAGTCCTTGGATGCCGACCTTGAATTTGCCATGGATCAGTCCTACGGAGGGCGTTACTCCGCTGCTAGTCAAACCACAGACTTTGAATCCTATGGCGTTCGATCCTCTCACGACGAGCCCAAACGTGATCCAATGCGTCCTGATTTGGACTTGCACACACGCCATTCAATCAGATCATTCTCTTCAACCTCAGAACAATATTCATCCTCGGTTCATGAAAAACCATGGCTACATCGCTCCAGTTTTGAAAGTTTAAATACGCACAACTCGGCATCATCTCCGTTAGCAACCTCTCATATCGGGCAGTATATGCCAGGAATTGATGATACTCTGTCGATAAACTCGGAGAGAAAAGATGAGGATATATTTGATACATCTGCTCTTAATGAAGACTATTCTGACGAGTCTGAAGAAGAAACTGGAAAACGTCGCGGTGCAACAACCTATAACAAACAGCAACAACAACAGCAACAACAGCAACGAGCTCCTATATCTTTAGTAGTAGAACCTTCCGTAAGCATGGTTAGAGCATCACGAGCTACACGTCCATCGATTTCTGAAAGCACGACCCACACTACCCACCCCTCTCCTGTAATACATCCAGCACCCACGACTCGTCCAGTACCTACTAAAAATACCGTAAAAGACCCCATAAAAATCAATTCGGGACATGAAGATGACCATATGAATGATGGGGATGATGAGGGTGAAAATGGAGAGCACAGTGGAACACCTTTAAAAAATCCGATAAAACCTTCCTCATCTGTCACAAAGAGTGATTCTGTCGATGAATATGGATTTATTGTTGATAATGCAAATCAAAGAGCCAACCATGGATCAATGAGGTAGATAGTAAAGAACCCAAATTTATTGCATCCTTTTTGTTTTATTAAGCTGTACTTGTGTAGATCTGATATTTCTCCAAAATCCATGAAAGCTTACAGAGAGAGAGAGGCAAAATGGCTGTCAATTGTTGGGAAGCTTGATGCAGGGACGGCTAAGAAAGATGCTAAACTCAAAAAACTAGTTCGAAGTGGTATCCCTGCATCTGTACGAGCTCGGGCATGGCAGTTCTTGGCCGGAAGTATGGACTATAAGAAGAAAGGCTACTATGAGGTATACTTGACTGGAATTTGTCTTGCGTGTTATCTGACATGAATAATAGGCCCTTGGGAAGAAGAAGCCGACCGAGATTGATAGTGTCATTGAGAGGGATATCGCAAGATGTTATCCTGATCATAGTCAGTTCAATGACGCGAATGGACAAGGACAACTTGATCTTAGGAATATTCTTAAAGCATATTCCCGGCATAATCCACAGGTTGGATATTGTCAGGGTATGGGGAGACTAGCAGGATGTATGCTGATGCACATGCCGGCAGAAGTAAGTAGTTCCACCGATAAATCCGTAGTAACAAAAAATATTAATCTGCATCTGTAGGATACTTTTTATTTAATGGTTGCCACATTGGATCGCTACATGAATGGATATTTCACTCCAACTTTATCTCAACTGCGAATTGATGCATACATTATTGGACAGCTATTACATGATCATCTCCCCAAACTTGCACAACATTTAGTAAGGCTTAAAATAGGATTATACAAACATATATCTCTAAATGCGTGCTTGTGTAAATAGGAAGCAAATGACATTATGCCGATCATGTATATTGCACAGTGGTTTCTGACTGCATTTACTATGGCTCTTCCTTGGCAATCTGTACTTCGAGTTTGGGATGTATTTTACTTTGAAGGTAATCATTTGCTGTGTTGAGTTAAATTCAGCTGTACAATTTTACCTAACAGTTCTTATTTATTCATTTTAGGTGTAAAAGTGTTTTACCGTATTAGCTTAGCCATCCTAGAGATCTCCAAAGGTATGTTTTATTATCTTACACCTTTAAATGAGAAGCTTACATTGTTATTTTTTAATCATATTTAGACTACCTACTTAACTCCTGTCCGACAAATTCCGAGCTTCTTGCATTTTTACTTCATATACCTCACAAATCTTTAGGTCCTGATTTACTGCTTGACACAGCATTTCGGATCAAGCTGTCCAAAACAGATATCAAAAAGTATGCCAAAAAGGCAAGCACAAGCAATGATGCCACCACAATGGGATTACCGTTTGAGCATGGCATTAAAAATCTCATGGTCGGCGAAAGCCATACCAGCGGCCTTTCTGGTCTAAAGGGATTAGGAAAACATAAGTAGATAAATACTTGTTATTCCTACAAATATCAAATTCTTACATACTAATTTCCCTCATACCTACTATGATGGGCCACACATATTATATTTAAACATACTGTATCCTAATCAATGCGCATTTCTTCAAATACCCGAGTTTTACTTAGACCCAAAATGCTTATATATATATATATATATATATATTTATTTATCAAATCATCGCAATTATAAAAATGCTTTCTTAAAATAATAATAATAATAAACAATTATATATCTACATACATACATACATATATAAAGTTTTAAAACTGTTTTAAAAGCATCAAATGCCTGTTAGGGTTTCAATTTTTCTATTCACTCGACTGTTTTCTTGTAAGCCTCTTGGAATCCACAAAAGAAATAACATTGTAAACCGAAACTAGTTAATGGTAGGCTCGGTCACAGTCTACAAGAACAACATGTGTATTGTGTCAATATGACTCCTGGTGCGTATATCTGACGAGCAAATTGTTGTTGAGCAATCTAGATAAAAAAAATCAATCGATATTTACTTCCGAGATCTTTTTTTTTGGTAATTGACTCACAACCGACTATATTAGCCATAAAAACAAACAAACTTGTAATTATTATATATAGAGAGAGAGGCTTATAAGTAGAATAACAGGAGACTATTTAATATAGTGCTGTCATATTAAAAGGATAAAAAAAATACCGAGGTTCCGGTATATAAGACATTCATATTTATTATATAAATCCTTTCTTTATAACAAAATATTAGAACCTCAAAGAAGTTGGCAAATTGCTTTGGCTCTAAAAATTCTGAAGTTAATTTTCTTAATTTCCAAATAAATAAATAAAATATCTTCACAGCTTGTTACTTGGCTTTAATACCCTCTCCTTCTATTTAAATTTATCTTGGCCTGATTTTATTGTCATGTTCATTGGCATTACAGGCACAAAATGTAGTGGCAAACATGCCATTGCAGAGTACCTTGTAAAATATTGTCATTTTACATTTTTATCTCTCAAAAAGAACAATGATCAGAATCACGAATTGTATTCCAATTGTCTTATGTTTGACACATTAGATCAAATGCAAATCTATGTCACCGAGCGATGGAGAGAGGATTTCGTAACTTGTGATATTGATGGGCATGGTCTCTGGATTCTCAAGTAAGAATTAACTTTTTTTTTAAAAATAAAAAATAAAAATAATAAGAAACTGATTCAATGTTAAATGTCATTAGGAAAAGACCATTCTTTTTACTTGTGTCTGTTGAGGCACCCGTGTTTGTGCGTTACAAGAGATATCTTAAAAAGTGAGACTTTCATACTGTATTACCTTATTTGTCTTATATACATTATATATCTCTTATATCTGAAACACTCTTTTGCTTTTCTCTAACACATTCGTTATAATAACAATACTAAAGATCGACAGCTCCCTTGTCATTGGAGGATTTTGTACTTCAAGACGATCATAGCCTGTTCCAAAAGATGTCTTCGCCAGCCTCAAAAGAAATCGTACCTCTGAATATATTAATTTCTCACGCAGATGTCACAGTGACAAATGCCTTCCAAACTTTGGATGAACTCCATATTACAGTCAAGAGTCTTCAGCTGATGAATATTGAACGATTAAGACCATCGTGGGATACTTACTTTATGCACCTGTCCGATCTTGCGTCCAGACGATCAAATTGTATGAAGCGACGAGTGGGATGTATATTGGTTAAACACTCTCGAGTCATTGCTACAGGCTATAATGGAACACCACGTGGATTAAGAAATTGCAACGAAGGAGGATGTGACAGGTGTAATGAAGCAGCACCGTGTGGAACAGGATTAGATCGATGTCTGTGTATGCATGCAGAAGAGAATGCTCTTTTAGAGGCAGGACGAGTAAGAGTGGATGACTGTGAAGGCACAGTTTTATATACCAATACGTAAGTACAACAAATTATTCTGGCATAAAGGTAATTGATGCTTCTCTTTATACCGTTTTATAGTTGCCCTTGTCTAGGTAATAATCTTATATGCTATCTTTTTTTTTCTTCTTTATTACAATTATATTAATTTTTTTAATCCATAGGATGTGCAATTAAGATTGTCCAGCAGGGTATCAAAGAAGTTGTTTACTCCAAATCATATGGAATGGACCACATGACAGCCAAGATCTTTAAAGAAGCCAATGTAAAGCTTAGACAGCATAGCCCACCGCCAATACGTCTGGAAATCCAAGCTGATATCAGTGCTATCGATGGATCCATTCAGGGCCAGTTGGGATGGTCGACCAATTAAGCTCACATTCGGTGATAATTTGTCCTATGACATCAATGTATACATATATATATAATGTTTAAGTATCATGCTAATAATAATAATAATAATAATAATAATAATAATAAGATTATTAAAGAAGATTTGTGTCAAGTCAGAATTTGTCGTATGGATGATATATTGCCTTTTTGGGTTGTTTACAAAGCAAGCCTTAAAAGAGAAACATTTGTAGATAATTTAAAAGCAACGATTCCTAAAATGTTTTTTGAAGAAGACCTTAACCTTTAAACAACTCCACTCATGGCGACTTCACCTTTACCGTCTCACCATACCAAGGATATTGGAGGATCATTTATTCACAGTTATGGCACCAAAGTCTTCTTGAGACCCCGATTGGACATGGTCCAAGATGCGGTTGCACAGTCGCGATTCAACGAAAAGAAATGGGTCTGGGTAGAGGATATACACCTAGGCTATGTTGCGGCACACATTTTAAAGGAAGAGAGAGACTTGGTTCAAGTTGAACTAGAGAATGGATCTGTAAGTACTATAACTTATCCATAGACTTGGTTTATTCTGACTTTATTTCGCTACAATAGACAGCATTTACATCACCCGACAAAATATATCCTATGAACCCACCAAAGTTCGACAAGGTGGACGATATGGCTGACCTAACATTTCTCAACGAGCCGTCAGTAATTTACAATCTTGCTATGCGATACAAGTCTAACATGATTTATGTAAGAAAATATACCTTTCAAAGAAGAAGTGTTCTTCTTTTTCTTAACTTTGTGTGGTCAAATAACTCATGTGTTTTAAAAAAAAATAGACCTATTCGGGACTCTTTTTGGTGGCTATTAATCCATACCGCCATTTGCCTATTTATGAAGAAGACTGCCTACAGGCGTACAAAGGACGAAGAAGGGGTGAAATGGCTCCTCATATTTACGCTGTCGCAGATCAAGCCTACCATGATATGGTCAGAGACAAAGAAAATCAATCAATACTAATCACGTAAGGAATCCCTCTTTCATATCCATATTAAGAGGCTTGATAATCTAATTGGTTTTTTTTTTATATTTGTCTCTATTTTTGGTTTTAATACAGCGGTGAGTCTGGTGCAGGAAAGACAGAAAACACAAAAATTGTTATTCGATACCTCACTACCGTCGCGAGCGAACATACCAAAAACGATGCTACCAACCACAATGCTGATCGACTTGGTCAACAGATACTGAGAGCAAATCCAATTCTTGAGGCCTTTGGTAATGCACAGACTATCAGAAATAATAATTCTTCTCGATTCGTAAGTACTGAATTTTTTAAGCAAAAAACTACCACAGTTATTTAACCTTATTTTCTTTCATAAAAAAAGGGTAAATTCATTCGGATTGAATTCAACCAAAGAGCCCAGATTTGTGGTGCAAATATTGAGTGGTATCTACTAGAGAAATCTAGAGTTCATCAACAATCACCAAAGGAAAGAAGTTATCATGTATTCTACCAACTACTTAGTGGAGATAAAGAGACAAAAGGTAAATTCTGCTAATCAAGTCTTGGTCTTCATAATTATTCTAATAAGTAGCTTTCTATTTATGTAGAGAAACTCTTGCTAGGAAGTAGTAAGCCATCCGATTATGGATTTACTAAAGGATCAAATCACGTTATTGAATCAGTTGATGATGCAGAGGAATATCGTAAACTATTGGTAATAAACGCAATAGCTATTTGCCAAAAATTATAAATAAAATAGAAAATAATCTAACACTATGTTTTCATATTTATTGTAGGATTCTTTAAATATCATGGGTCTATCTTCTAAAGAGCAAATGGATCTCTTTCTTATTGTGGCCGCAGTTCTTCATTTGGGAAATATTTCTGTTACTAAAGATTACCGAGGAGATCGTGCTGACATTCGTGATTTTGCAGCCGTAGAGCGCGTCTGCCATTTGCTTGGGATCCCTGCACAGGACTTCAAGAACAGCCTTTTATCTCCCCGTATTAAAGCCGGTCGTGACTGGGTTAATCAATCAAAGTCACCTAGTCAAGTAATGTCTAGTTTGGATGCTCTTGCCAAGGCATTATATGAACGTAACTTTGCCGCTTTGGTCGAAAGAATCAATAAAGCAATCGATGCTCAGAAATCGATAGATAAGATTGGATTTATTGGTGTACTAGATATTGCCGGATTTGAGATCTTTGAGGTATGTACCCATTTAAGAATTTCTAGTTTAGGTGCTCAATATATTTCTTTATATCAATAGGTCAATAGCTTTGAGCAATTGTGTATCAACTATACCAATGAAAAGCTCCAGCAATTCTTTAATCACAGTATGTTTGAACTTGAGCAAGAAGAGTACCAGAAAGAGAAAATCGAATGGAGTTATATCGACTTTGGTCTCGATCTACAACCTACTATTGACCTTATTGAAAAAACTAACGCAAGTATTCTTAAGAGACTTTAAATTATGTGCGTCTTTTACTAACATAATATACTTTTATAGCCTGTGGGTATCATGTCATGCTTGGAAGAAGAATGTGTTGCTCCTCGTGGTACAGATAGTCGGTTTTTGGAAAAGTTAGACAAGGTCTGGGATAGTGGAGATCCAGAACAAAAATACAAGAGTACCAGATTTAAGGACGGGTTTGTGGTTAAACATTATGCTGGAGATGTTGAGTATTGTACAACTGGCTGGATTGACAAGAACAAAGACCCTTTGAACGAAGATATCACACGCCTGCTAGCCCGTTCCACCAATCGATATGTGGCTAGCCTTTTCGAAGATTATCTCGAAGATAATGACGAGAGCTCTATTGGCAATCTCTATGCAAACAGGGGTAGTGGTCGAGTTCGATCTACATTAACATTGCTAAAATTACGGAAGGGTGGAGGATCATTTAGAACAGTGGGACAGCGCCACAAGCAACAGTTGTTGTCGCTGATGAACACGCTGTATATGACGCACCCTCACTTTGTTCGCTGTATTGTTCCGAACCATCGAAAACGCTCGGGAGAGATACAGACAAAGCTTGTTTTGGATCAATTACGATGCAATGGTGTTCTTGAAGGCATTCGTATCTGTCGTACAGGTTATCCAAACAGGCTTTCTTTTGCTGATTTCAGAAAACGTTACGAAATCCTTTGCCCAAACCTGTTGAAGCCCAATTGTTTTATTGACGGTCAGAGTGCATGCCAAAGCCTTTTGGACGATATGGCCTTAGATCATGAGAAATATCGTATTGGAGCAACAAAAGTATTTTTCAAAGCAACTGTGGTATGTATTTAACGCTCAATTGTTTTACAAGACAACCTACTTATTCTTAAAATATTTGCTAAATTAGTTGGCTGAATTGGAAGAAAACCGCGATAAAAAGCTTTCTGAATACGTTAGTGGTTTCCAAGCCATCTGCCGTCGTTATATGGCCAGAAACAATATCCGTCGCTATGCAAGACAGACAGAAGCTATCCGAGTTATGCAGAAAAACGCAAGAATATATGTGCAATTACATGAATGGCCTTGGAGAAAGATTTACGCCAAGCTCAAACCACTCAATGTCGCATACAGAGTAGAGTCTCAGATAAAAGAAAAAGACCAAAAGATTGCTACCCTTGAAACGCAACTTAAAGAAAACCAAGTACAAGTTATTCAGCTGACAGATCGAAACGAAGTACTTGCAACCCAACATATGGACTTTAAAGTACTGTTGAAGAATGGCCAATCGACAGTGCGTGAGCTAGAAGAGAGAAAACAAGATCTGGCTGATAAGTTAGCCTTAACAGAAGAGCGTATGGAGGAAATGGCTCAAACTGTAGAGGAAGTGCGTGACCAACTCGATGCGAGTGAGCAAAAGACAAAGGCTCAGGCAGTAATGATTGCTAGATTGCACCAAGATATTCTCGAATGTAATCAAGACAATGAACGTTTGACCGAACAACACACTGCATTTCAACAAACCTATCAAACGCTAGTATTCCAAGCAGAGACCATGGAGAATGCAAACAAGGTACTTTATGGTGAAAAGGCTGAGCTTGAGGTTACAATACGTGAAGTCAACTCCCGTCTGGCGGAACAAGTATCATTAGTTGAACAATTCCGGATACGAGAAATGGAGTTCTTTGAAGAAAAGAAACGAGAAGCCGAGGCCAAGGTGATTCTGGAGAGTGAATACGAGAAACAAGTGGCCAGAGCAGACGAGGCGGAACAAACATTAGCAACAATGATGGAAGAAATGACACGGATAAGAACAGCTCTGTCAGAGGAAATTACATTGCGCGAGGACTTGGAAATGCGGTGTGGCGAATTAGAGGAGCATACAGAAGAACTCGAACAAATGTTGGCCACTGAGTCCGGTCAACGCAAACAAGAAACCACAGAACACCAGAATGAATGGGATGAACTGGCGAGACTGGTTCAAGCTGAAGCTGAAGAAACTAAATTAAGAGCAGAAAGGTAAGATCAACATTAAAGACAATAAGGAGTGATTGTTTTAACTTACATAATTCATTAGACTCGAACAAACCCTTGCAACTCTAAGGCAAAAGAGACCAAGTTCATAATCTACCCATTCCATTGTATTAAATATAGCCCATACTTCTTTGTAAATTATTCCTTTGCTCTTTCTTTCAGTTAAATAAACCACAAACCTTCCAAATGCACAATCCCTCTCTTTTTCTTCCACGTCACCCATGGTGCAGTTAGGCTGTGCTTCAAAGTTATCTTTACTAAAAACGAAGAAGTCTTGACAATGTGATCATTTCTTTATTATCTATAAGAAGAAAATATTCTTAATGTCCACCCATCAATACTCTCTAGATGGCGTTCAATCGACAGACTCTGCTTTCAACTATAACAGCGCGAGCCTCAATCACCCAAGCACAGACCGTCATCTCTTTTCCTATTCACCACATAGAAAGTATTCCAAAAATAACTCACCAGGTTTGTAAGTCATTCCCGAGAAGATTCGAAAAAATCACGTTCTCATTAACATTGCTTGCTAAATTTTATTGGACTATTCTCAATCAGCTTCTGTGAGCCAGCGGTCTAATCGCTCCCCTGTTCCGGACAGAATTAGCGAACATTTGTCATGCAATGATTCACTCGAGACATCCAGGAGTTCTAGTATGCGTAGAAGAAGTACAAGCGTTCTTAGTGAGCGGAAGTCCCCACTTATAGTTGACCGCTCATTCAGGTCAGAACCTCGCGATAGACGTATTGAATCGTCCCGGACTGAGACCGAGGGACAGCCTAGTCGACATTCAACATTGTTAGAGGATGCACCGCTTGACATTCGACAAGCTATTGAACACTCGCTCGAGACTATAAGAGAGATGCGATTATCTCGTCCTCACCCTCGTTCTTTAGTCGAGGACAATCAAAAGATGTCCCTAACATCTCGTCCCAGACGAGACAGCGCTTTATCTATGACTGACAGAGAACTAGCCAGGACAACTACCATGGAGAATTATACAGGTCCATCCGCAGAAGAAGACATATTTCATTATTCACCCTCCAAAAGACAGCAGACTGTGTCATCTGGATCGTGGCAAAATTTGTCTGAAAATGCATTACAGCAAAGTTTATTACAAACTATCGAAGAAAGATGTACTTCAATGGAAACAGCGATGAATGAACGTGTGAGGGTATGTATGTGTAAATCAGAAGGCAGAGTTGGGTGCAATGCAATTTATTTATTTGTATATATTTTTTGTTCTCCTTCCTAGCTACTTGAACAGCGATATCGAACCATTAGACCAATTAGTGAGACAAAGCACTCAAGGCCGGTAACTAAAGGTAGACTATATGATTTTCTTTATCATTGATTATTATTATTATTTTATTAATCCGGTATTTTTTTGATGTGTTATTTGCATAGGTGTTCAAGTAGAGCTGCAGCCGGTATTGACTAGCAGAGAGATCGAAGAAAGAGATGAGAGAGATATGAAGGCAGATATGCTCGATGTAAGTGTTAAGTTTATAATAATGGTTCGTCCCGGCTCATTTTTTCTATTTAAATAAAAAATAAAATAAAGACCCTAATGGCCGAATTGGATATTAATGACCTTCGCACATTTCAACAATCCGTACATGCTTGGAGAGCCCGATCACGACTGTTGACAGAAGTGAGATGTTTTGTAGACGGTGTGGAAAAGGTGATCTGGAACACACCGTATGTGCCTCTGTCAAGTATTTGCCATATTGGACATGAGGACAATCGTCAAGTTGGCCTAGTAGAAGATGAAATGATGTGTGAGTCACATAGAGTACGTTACGAGAGAGCACTTTTAGATGCTGAACGAGATAAAGCCAATGCACTTGAACGACCACCATATACTCGTGAACGCCTGGATGCAACCTTTGATAGACTTACACGTTGGTCACACTCTGTACGCCATCCGCACTAGCCGGCACGCAACAGCATGCAACAGCAACTTCCTTTATTTATATCTTAATATTTCACTAGTATTACACTAATATTAATTACTGTTCATCATAATATCGGCTTCGAACTTTAGTTTCATACAGAACAAAAGCCAATACGATGTCAAGATGACGTGCTTTAATCTTCCTTAGTGCTGACTTTCAATAAAAACCCATAAACTAGAAATCAATCAATGCGCATTTCATTTCACACCTCTTCCTTTGTTATGTTGCAATCCGTTCTCAATCACATCGGGCTCGGTAACGAGAACCTAATTCAGCCCTGCCTATCGATTGGGCCTGCTGTTGCAGATGAAATATATATAATTGGGGGGTTCAAAGTTCATTTGGATGCACAAATTCAGGCACTTGTAATCAAAAACAGTAATGATCTTGTCGTGTGGAAATGTAAGATTTGGCTGGAGCCCATAATGCAAAGTTGCAAAATAACATTCTCTTTTATTCTTGTTCAGCTCTCGATAATACTCCGTTCTTGTCATCCACAAGTGGAGAAGATAGTATTGGTCCTGGAGAAGGAGGCGTATTCAAGATCGTCGAACACGACCAAGATCCAACTCATCTTCAGACAATTACTCATGTTGAGCACACAGCTGAGACTGTAGTAATTACTGGTGGTTTGACAACAAAGCTTGTCCAGCCAACCCATCTGGACTATACTTTTACACTTAAAGCAATATCTCCCCGCCAATTGCAGTTCACCGTCAAATTTTCACGCAAAGATCCTTCTATGCTCGATCACAATAGAGTTTTATTGACTTACGCAAGTAGAAAGGAAGAAGAGTTTTATGGGTTTGGAGAGCAGTTTAGCTATACTTCTTTCAAAGGGAAAAAGGTCCCAATTTTTGTAAGGTAGGATACACATATCTTTGTTTGATAGCTTTTTTTTGCTAATAATTTTTTAAAAAAAATAGAGAACAAGGAATTGGTCGTGGTGATCAGCCTGTGAGTATCATTTTGTATCACTTTGATTTTTTTCTCCTTTATCTTATTAACTCATGAATTAGATTACTGCTCTTTTAAATTCTCCACTTAGTGTTTTCGGAGAGTTTGCTGGAGGTGACCACTTTACAACGTACGCTTCAGTTCCTCAGTACATAACGACAGATAACCGGTGTTTGTTTCTCGAGACATCTGAGTATGCTAGCTTTGACCTCAAGCAACCTGATCGCGTCATTGTTCGTCTTAATTCGAATACCATGATAGGTAAAATAAAATTAAATTAAATAGGAAGTTATAATTATGAAAGAGCAAATAAATAGAAACACAAATAGATAGACTTTATAATCTTATCAAATTTTTCTATCAAAAGGTCGCATTGTAGATGGCGAGTCGATGCTGGAGTTAATAACTGAATACACGCTCTATTCGGGCCGTATGAATGTTCTACCTGATTGGATTTCTGAAGGAGCTGTGGCCGGTATGCAGGGTGGTGCTTCTAAAGTGCGCGATGTTGTGAAGCGCCTACAAGATCATGATACGCCACTGGCTGCTGTCTGGCTGCAGGATTGGTGTGGCAAGCGAATCCAACAGACTGGTAATGGTTCTTCTTTCAAGCGCCTTTGGTGGAATTGGGAGAGCGACGATGGCTTGTACCCACATTGGAAGGACTTTGTGCAGGAAATGTTGAATCAAGAGAAAGGCCCAGTTCGTGTTTTGTCTTACGTAAATCCCTTCCTGGCCAATGTCGAACACAAAGAAGGTGCCCATAGAAACCTTTTTTTGGAGGCACAAAATAAAGGTTACTTGGTCAAGGATCCTTCACGTCCTTCTGAATGCAAGACTTTGATTATCAGCAGTGGACCTGATTTCGAGGCTGGTCTGTTGGATATTACTTACCCTGAAGCTAGAATATGGTTCAAGCAGGTACTCAAGGAACAGGTTTGGGGAACAGGTGTATCAGGTATGATTAACTCAATAGGTAAACAATGACTAAGAAACTTAAATTATACTTTTTTTTAGGCATGATGACAGATTTTGGAGAATATCTTCCTTACAGCTCTGAAAAAGCAAGTCTTCACTCAGGTATCGCTCCGGAGGTCTATCATAACAGATATCCCGAAGATTGGGCCAGCCTTCATCACGAAGTAGTCACTGAACTCGGTCTACAGAACGAAGCCGTGAACTTCTATAGGGCGGCATACACGCGCTCACCAGCTTATATCAATCTGATGTGGGCTGGCGATCAAAATGTGACATGGGACCAAAATGATGGAATTAAGAGTGCAGTAAGTTTTATTAAGTGCAAAATTTTCTGTATTGAAACGAGCAAGTGGTTATCTTTGGGATATTTATTTACCCATGTGTCTTTAGGTAATTGGTATGCTTTCAGGTGGGTTCTCTGGATTTTCTATTACCCACAGTGACATCGGTGGATACACCACCTTAAACGGCCTTTTGCCTGGCTTGAATATCACTCGATCCAAGGATTTGTTACATAGATGGATGGAACTTGCCGCGTTTACGGCTGTGTTTAGAACTCATGAAGGTAATAAACAGCCGAGAATTAACGACGGTCTTTTATTTATTCAATGATGCAAACTAGGCATCATACCCGAGAGTAATGCGCAGTTTTACGATAGCGAAGGTATGTTTTTAGACATTATTTTTGTGGAACAGATTCTTATAATAGTTTTCTCACAATAATTTTAGACTCATACGTTCAGTTTGCCCACATGGCTAAGCTCTTTAAGTCTCTGTCGCCTTACCGAAAACATCTTATTCGAGAGGCAAATGAAAAAGGATGGCCATTGATGCGACACCTTGTACTCTATTACCCTAATGATCCCACTGTTCGTGACTTAACCTACCAGCAGTTCCTGCTTGGGTCGGCTCTCTTGGTTGCTCCTACCCTTTCTCCATCAGCAACTTTCGTCAAAGTATATTTCCCACAAGAACATACTAAAGGAATTTTTTGGAGGCACATTTGGACAGGAAAATATTATCCTGCTGATGGCAAATATGTAGCTGTTGATACACCGTATGGTCTTCCTGCCGCATTTGTGAAGGAACCGCGAGAAGATGATGGATTGCTCAATACACTCCTTGAATTTTCAAGTGATCATTATAATCACCACCAGATTAATCAGCAAAGTGGAAACTAATCATTATTACTTATCTTGAGAAATATGGATTTTTTTTCTCTCTTTTTTTTTGTTATTGATAAAATAAAGTAAATATTTCATGCGAAAGATTAGGAGAAGGGATAGAATGCATACATTTATATACAAGAAAAGAGTCTGCAGTAATAAAAGGAAGATGAAGGGAAATGGTAAAGGAGTAGGTTCCATCATTTTTTCGGTTTAGATGTTAACCTGGCGTCTATATTCGATCAAATCCTTAATGGTGATCATCTTGATGTTGTGTTTCTTTGCAAAGGCAAAGCAATCATCGCGACGGGCCATACTTCCAGAGGGATCATCTTCCTTGACCAGCTCTCCAATACATGCCACTTCTGGTAATCCAGCCAACTTACACAAATCTACGGCTGCCTCAGTGTGACCAAAACGTTCAAAAGTTCCTCCCGGAACAGCGCGCAATGGCAGAATATGTCCTGGTCGAGAAAAGTCAGTGGCAACGGAAGTAGGGTCGGCCAATTTGCGGGCTGTCAGGGCACGGTCGTGTGCAGAGATACCAGTAGTTGTACCATGTACATAATCGCAAGAAATAGTATAGGCTGTCTTCATCAATTCAGTGTTTCTAGGAACCATTAGAGGCAGCTCCAAAGCATCCAAACGCTCATCTGTAGAAGGAACGCATACATAACCACTAACACCAAGAATATATAAACTCTACCCATGAGTCATTCCGTACTTTTCGTACACACACACACAGAGAGAGAGAGCTTCTCTGTAATGTACTGTACCTTGAATAGCGAATCAAGAATGCCATCTGTTCGGTTGTTACAGTCTTTGCTGCGATGATCAGATCACCTTCGTTTTCACGGTCCTCATTGTCCATCACGATGACAAACTCTCCATTGGCTGCAAAACAATAAAGTCAGTACTTAGCTTACTAAAGTGACGGACTTGGAAAGTAAGGTTAAGCTAGAATAGTTACCAAAGTCTTTGACGGCATCCGCAACGGGGTGAAACTCATATTGCTCGTATTTCTGCTGCATAGTGAAAAGTGCGGGCTTGGATTAATAAAAGAAAGGAAGAAGTATGAAATAGAAATGAAGGCAGGGGAGGATGAAATGGATTTAGACAGGCGTCAAGTTCATGTGGGGACTGTGTACTCGATGTGTCAGCAAAAGATCAAACTGAGTCAGCCGTCGGATCTGAGGTTGAGAGACCGATTAATAAGACTTTTTTTTTATACATGTACTTTATTTTTATAGGGTGAAAGACCAGCATGTAACCCAAGTGATAATACTTTCCGAGAAATAAGATGTATAGGGAGTACCATATATAGCCAATTACAGCACGAACTCATAAGCATATTAGTTAGAAGATTGGCTTTACTGGTAATCTACTTTTTATTAACTATAAAATATCTAGTTAAAGATCTTGCCATCTTTTGAGTATTGAATGAATTGGTGGTCTAATACCGTTATGTACCTATTGATCTCATTTCCATAACTGTTTCATTTTATTTTTATTGGTGTATATTACCTCTCTTGAAATTGACTTCTTTATCAGAACTTTCTACTAAATAATGTTGTGTTTTTCTTGCGGTGTTTTACCCAAAATACTTGGTCCTTCCTCAGATTAAAGCCCCAGCCTCATTTTATATGAATCCTGACCACATACGTATGCGAGTCCAGTAAATGGGGTTATGTTAATCATTTACACTTTATTTTATAAATATTATCGTGAGTAATATGTTAACAGAACCAACTACAATACAACGCATACTGATTAAAGTATTAAAATTTCACACAAGACTACTTTTAATCATAATTTACACAACTATCCTTTCTTGATACTGGGTTTTGAATAAAAATTTGGACATACTTTTTTTTCTGCTGGGACGGGTAAAATTTTTAGTGAGACGATTTTGAATTAATTTGAGATGAATAAAAAAAACTTGGCTGGGACAAGTTAAGAAAATTTTGGTACGTTTTAGGAACAGGCACAACAGATTAATAAAGTTTCAAGACTATTTTAAAATCATTTGAGATCCACAACTAAGGCTATTTTTCTTTCATTTACAATTTTACTAAATAGTTTCGATTCAACAAGCAATGTCATTTATTTCACATCAACCAAACCAGCAGGTACAATATGTAGATGAATATACTACTTCTGATGAAAAAATGACAGAGAAAAGAAATGCAAGACATAAATTAAAGTCATGCTCAGTCAGTTTTTTTTTTGGATTTGCTCACTTTGTCCAAGTACTTTTAGTCGTAAAAATATATTTGACAGCATGAATTTTACTTATATTGGATGCTGCAGTCACGATACTTCGAGGTGGTATTGTTAATCATCTGGAATAATTGTGTGGATGGGGACTTACAGAGGGAGAAAAGGTTGAGGTGTCGATTGGGTATGCAACTTTGGGGGATGTGGGGGATAGCGTGCTGACGGGTGTAACGACAGATGGTGATGAATCTGCTTGGTAACAGCAATGTCAAAACAAAAGGGTGACGCGCAATAACGTACGGATATTTTTTCAGTGTGATGAATGAGTGAAGACAGGATAACGGCTCAGGCAAAGTGATGCGACCAATTTCTGTCATGGTAAAGAAATTGTTATGTGTCATTTGGGTCATATTAAAAAACTAATTGATATCCTACAAAACATTGTGGAATGGTTATGATTCAGAAACACTGTAGTAACGCTTTCCTTCTTACCATTAACTTGAAAAGTGAGAATAGGATGGCCATACTTCAAGACGCTGTTGCGCGACAATATGGCGAGCTTGAGCGTGTCCAAGCAAAGGGAATAACTGGTTGTGCTGTCACCGCCAAGCTTGACTTCCCCAAAACCAGGGGATTGTCCAAAATGCGTGTTGGACCAAGGTAGATACAATGGCGTCCGGACGAATATCAGTGGTCATTGTGTCCTTGTTCGGCCATAGTAATACAACCTTCCTCGTAGTACCTACTACCAATGTAGTGCCCTCAGGCCAATTGAACAATCACATTCCAGCCAGGTAAAGTAACCATCATACAAAAAAAAAGAATAAAACTTTAGTTATATGAAATATCAATATGAATAGAAGCTCTTCTATTAAAGAGAACCCAGTGTCCGAGGAGCAAGTCAAAAGCGAATGATCCAAAAGAATTAAATCGACCCCAAGGACTGGTATCGAGAGAGGTTCATCCACAAGGACTACTGACTCAAAACATTTCTTCGCGAAGAGCATCCAAACAAGCATAGCATGCAGACTGAATACTTAGAGCATCTGCAGTAGTAGCATTTCCGACAGCATCTAATTCCATGCTCCGTGATTTTTATGACCCTGAGCATGGAAATAGATGCTCATTTTAAAAACTTGCCGAGCATTTAAATCGTTTTTCTTTGTTATTTTTTTCTTTAAATCGAATAATAGTGTATAGCAACACTTACAAAAACTCACAAAAAAATATGCTCACTACAAAGCTGATAGTCTTGAAAACATTTAACTTGTATTTTTTATATCAGAAATAAAAGAAAGATATATAATAATAATGAATTTTACTAGTGAAGAAGACTATACCAGATAGTATAATTATCTAAATGCTTCTTTTTATTATGTAACTGATATTCTACCCTCCATTTTTTTTTACTTCTTTTAACCTCAGGTGTGGCTTATGAGCACTTAATTTAATGTCAATTTGCACTGCTTCTGCTACGGATGCTCTACCAATAGTAAAAGTATGAAATCTCTTTTGTAAGCATTAAACCATAAAAATCGTGGGAATTTTAAGAAAACAAACAATAATGTATTCAAAAGTATATTATCTTCACAATCTGTATACGCAGGCTATTTAACCAACCGATAAATGATATAAGTAGCAATGTCTCTTTATATATATATATATAAACGTTAAATAGATCTTGGGTTATGTGGGCTCTTTCTGTATCTCGATGATTTTTTTTTGCAATTGATTGGACAAAAACCGATAGACTCGTAGTAAGATCCTGCTCAGTTTTACTGAATATAAATTACCCCAAAACAATTGATATTTTTTGAGGTCAATATGAGAGCAGAGAATGTTATAAAAAATAAACTTTTGGTGCTAATAGCCCAACTTACAATAATAAATGGTTTTCGAGAATGAAAGAATATGATGTTTTGATGAATATTTGAGCAACCAAGGTAAAGATAAAATAAATTATAACGATGGATCTAATTAGATTAATCACGGTACTTAATGCATCTAAAACTCTTAAATTTCAGTATTGTTTAAGTAAGCTTTATACACAAAAGTCGTTATTCGAATTACGGCAAGATTTTCTATAAAACAATCCCTTTATTCTGGCAAAATATTAATCGGCAAAAAGTATTAAGTGTAGAGCTTTGGAATTTATTTTAATAGCGAGATGTGTGCGGTATAAACACTACGGTTGAGTGAGATACAAACTCTACAATCAGTCTCTTATTAATTCTTGCTAATGGACCTGGTGGGCTAACAATCTACAGAACTGTCACCTCATAAGCATACGTACGCTGTATGCTTAGACACTTCTCAGTACATAACATGAATCATAATGATAAGGAATTCAAATACCAACATATATAAACGAAGAATATTTTGCTCTCTTTAATAAATAACACTCACAGTATTTCTAGGCGTCTCATTTCCGTTCATTGAGGATGATAACTGGACATTACCCATCCTCAAGTAATTTCTTTGGCATAAGCTGAAAACACTGCTTATTTTGACACCTGCCGAAGATTCGGATATTCTACATATACACCTAGATACATACTTCAAAGTTTTAAATGCACAGACCAACCTACATAAAATACAATCCTACTCACTCTCAGGCGTTGCCATATTCCCGTGGCGTTTAAATCGTAGCTTGACACTGTTGTACCCAAACATCTACTCGTTTCTACTTGGGTTTTTTACCGGTATCTTCACTCAGATGACATAATAACTTCTGTCATAAAGTCCTAGTAGAGTATCCACCGCAGGTCATATTCACTCACATCTCTCACTGACCATATTAAGAAGGACAGCTATTTTTAATAGATTAATTCCATACCGAGCTTGACATGTATTGTGGGCGGTGCTTGTTTTCGAACCCTTCTTTGAAATCGGTCAGAACTAGATGGGTCAGTTCCTCCGCAAGAACTTATTTCTCATGATTAGTGCCTTCTTTCTGCACCCTGAATTCGGCTGATATATTGGGTAGCCTAGAACCGCTAATACAGCAGAAAGTGCTTCAGCTAAGATGGTACCAGACGATCTTAGAATCGAATTCAGTGGAGTCTTTCACTACATCTTGGATAAAATACATCTTAAGGTCTCAACATAGCAGTAATTATCCACGCCTCCAAATCTTACTGTGACATATGCGACCCCACGTCTAGATAATGTTAATATTGCTTTCCATACATTATTTTCTGCCATGAATACCATATTTCGAGTCTTTTTTCTTATCGCCCTCACTTATGCCATATTTCTCCCTTTATTCATCTTGGGTTACATCGAGTTTTCGGTTTACCTCTACAGAGATATCTAATTTCAGTAGAAAATTTCTGTGTCTATGGGACTGTACTGAATGTACCTGACCATAACCTGGAGTGTATTGTAGCTGCTGGTTTTATGGTAACTCATGCGTGTAGGAGATAGTTTTTCTGCCGCAACACTCTACTCCCAGCCAAACATTTACTTTTACCCTTACATTTGAACTGAGATGCATTATTGCTCCTGTTATCTATTAATTCACTACATATAGGATATTCAATATTTATCTAATTAACATCCCAAGGATACAATAATGTCTATCATAATCCAGAAAATATTCCCTGCTTTAACCTATCTCTTTCTTCCAGATAGTGAAAACGTTTCTGGTTTTTTCCCCTACGTCACAGGGCGCATAGTCTGTGTTTCTTTACTCTGCATAAGAAGCTGTTTGACAGATAATCACTACATTTTCTTGTACTGGCTATAGTTAACTTAGTATAATGTCCAATATGTCATTCAGGCGTTGAATTTACACTACATTTCTCTCTGAAAATGCTCAATTAGATGTTAATCTTGATACAAACATGATCCAAGTATTTCGGACAAACACATCAATTTAGATATTCTTAATACTATCTTTGTGCTGGATATTCTTATCAGACACATACCTTTCCTGATGTTGCAGTCGTCATAAGTTATCAGATGTGTAATTCTGGAAATATCGCGTGTTCACTGGCGAACCTTTTTTGCCAGTAGCCATTTTTAATAGCTTATTAATCAATAATCAACCCGAAAAAGAATTGTTCAAATAACATCAGAAGCAAATTTCAGTTAGCCTTTTATTGGGAAATCATCTTAATACGTTTAAGGTGCTCTTCAGCGGTCTCGGTATAATTCAAAATTATGTGATAAAGAAAAGTTTTATCTAAATATAGTAATTATACACCAAAAAATCATGAATTACTTTCCGAAAATTGTTAATTCTACCAAGTAGTTTTACGCGCGAATTTGCAGGGGAAACTACTCGGTATAACTCGAAGCGGCGCTAAAATAATAAAAATAACTTTAAACTACGGTTTTGCTAAAACGTCTTCTAAAAATTTCATTTTTTATGCTCTACTCTTTTCACTCCTTTTTACTTTTAAAATATTCAAAATAAACAACAATACCTTTGCTTACTATCTATAATTAACTTTAGTAAAGATAAAAATATGCTCAATATTATAGGCTTCTTAAAAAAAGAAACTTCTATGCAAATATTACAAGAACAAAGATAAAAGATATATAAAGAGATTTATTAAAGAAAGCCACCAAAAATGAATAGCTATTTTAGCAGGCTGCAATTAGTCCTATCATTCCTAATTATATCAGCGTTTTTTCAATATAATTTTACCAAGTTGTTTCCTAAAGTTTTTCACCAATCAAATCATACAATTAGCATCAAATTTTGGAACAAAATCTATGGCTGTGTAGCATGATTACTATAAAAAGCAGTCTCTCTACTTTATTTGTAATTTCCCGTTTTTTTTTCTTATAACCAAAATAATTATAGAGATCGCTGAAGAGCACCTTTAACTATCGATATAACCTCATTTCAATAAAACTCCACCTGGAATTCGAAATTCCGTTCTTATTGTGAGAAAATTCAGGTGAAATATATATATATTCTGCTTTTCACTTATTGCTTAATATCACTTTGAAATATATTTTGGTTTATTTCCTAGTAGCTGATGGGTCTCTTTTGTATCTGTTTGTACAAGTATAAGAAAGGTTAACTTTCTCCTGTACTCTTGAACAAAAAGTGCACAGACCACTTTAGAGTAACCTATAAATCGCCGTTACAGAAAGTTGTACTCCACTCTGGGAGTCATTGCTACACCGATCAATACCGAACCTTTCATTACTTCATTATTCCATTACTTCTTTACATTGATTTACAAAGTCTCTTTTGTAAGTACTTTGAGTAAATAGTATTAACTGTCTCTTCTGCAGTGGAACAGTTACACCGACCCAGTAAAAAGAATATATAGCTATGTCACGTTTGCTCTGACGTGGGTATCTAAGACTGACAAAAAGCGCAGTCCTAATCTTAAATCTAAGATGCAAATTTTTTTGTTACATATAGAACCCCTCCAACGCGTGTCGTTTGTTTTCTCCTTGAGCAACAACAGTCCCGGTTTCATAGTGAGGCGTCTCTTGCGACCGTTGCAGGGAGATTCTTCCATGCTACAAGCATCGGAAAGTGAAAGTTGTTACTCGCCAGCTCAGTTAATTCTGAGAAGTCGTGGGGCATGGTCTCTTTTCTTTTGGAAAGACTACTGTGTACATCGCATCGCCAATGTGGAATCATGATGCTGGGGGGAGGGAGGTCTAACCTGTGGTGAGATGTGCTGGCTCTTCACTGCTAACCTGACTGAACTCTTTAACGGCTGACGGTGAAGCTACTGGTAGTCGAATGAGCTGGACCTTATCACCTAGTGGTAAGTTCTCTGGCGAGTTCGCACCCACATTACTCGGTGACGAGATGTGGGGCTGGATGAACGGGTGCTTTCCGTTGGTTTGCCACCATTCCAGCACCTCCTTCGCTACCAAGTCAGGTTTACGTCCTGAAGGAGATTGAGCCGCGTAATGCGGGGACAAAGAACTTGGTGTCATGCTTTTTATTCTTTTACTCATGTAAAAGAACATTAAGTGAAATTTAATCAAATAGAATAGTTTCTTTACGTGTATCTTTAAATAAATAAATAAAGTCTTTTTTAACTAGCATTGTTTCCAATAAAAAAACACGCTTTTAAACTTTTTTTTTGCTTTCTTGAATAGTTCAATGTTGTAATTAGGAAAGCTCATTTATAAGAGAAATTTAATCTAATTGAATAAATCTAAAAAGAAATAAAATAATATTTGTATATTATAACGTGGTACTTTTAACCGTGTTTAACTTTAGATGCTGTTTTTGTCTATAAAGTATATAAATTGCAGAATAATGTTTGATGATGCCGATGCCGTGAATTGTATAGTATTGAATTTGGCTAATCCGATGGAGATTTTAAAGAGGATGCATTGGAAGGAGAGAAAGAAAAGGAGAGAAAGAGAGAGAAAACAAAAAAAAGACAGGATATTATTGTAAAAGAAGCTCACAAAGTTCCCAAAAAAAATGATATGAAAATATACTTCTTTTTACCATTATAAAATAGAATAATAGAGATCTATTATTTATTCTATTTTCGTTATTACTTCTAACTATATATTATTATTACTTAACTATTGTTAAATATATATCAAGTTTACCTGTCTTATCAATTATCCTTCATGTTTCGACCACCAAATACTAGTGAATTTTTCTTTTTATGATTATTGGACATTGGACTCATTTTATCCGGTAGAGACTTGTCAAGAAAATGTTGAAAAAAAGAATACAAAAACCTTGATATGGAACTCATATTGTACCATACTACATAAGTATTTAAGGGTTTCTGATTTTAAACATTGAATTTTGAAACGATTTCTGGTATATATATACATAAAAGAACAGTTAATACTTATCCTGACCTGTATTATATTCTTTAGTGATCTTTTGTTTTTACATGAAAGAAATTTTATTACCGCATTAAGGTAAGCTCACCTGAAAAAATAAGAGTAAATGATTCGGAAAGTAAGAGCAGACTTGAGATATTTATTATTGATTTTTAATTTGATAGACAGGTGTAGAATATCTTTTATGGTAAGCTCATCGATTTATGATTACTAAGTACAGCCCTTCTACTGATGTATCAATATATCATATGACAGGGAGATGTACAACATAAAAAGAGCTGTACATATATATACATATTGATACTTAAATATTGATAGTATGCACTATAATCCAACGTTTTGTATAATGAAATCAATCAGAATCATATAACTAATATTTATCCTCTACTATATATATATAACCAATGTATTTAATAATCAAGTGGCAAGGACACAATTTGTCTCAACCATCACACTCTTTAAATTGAATATGATGTGCTTTTAGTATGTATAAATTAATGTACCTCAGATTAGAGCCACAGGCTCACATACGTATATACGTACAATCTGGACGAGATACTGTAATAGACTTACAGGCCCTAGATATTTTCCTGAGCCACAAATGTCCAGGTGCACACAGTTTGCTGAGCCACACGTAAAGCTCCCCTTTTGTTTCTTTTTGTGGCTATTATAGAGGAGCATGAATTGTTTTTCGTTATACGTATTTGAAAAGTAACAGCTGGTATTGCAAGGAGGCTGGACTTTGAATTTGCAACTATCGAATCCAAATAATACATATTATACAGATTGTACAGAAGAGTCGTAAAAACGAGTCTTTTCTTATAAAAAACCGAGTGGAAGCTAATGTGGTTAAGTACAAAAATCTAAATATAGGGCTAATATTTCTTTAGTTGGATATAATAAGAAATCATTGAATAAAATAATGAAAATAGTGAAATAGCTTGATGTAGGATATAACATTGTGTATTTTGTTTTTTATACGATACTTTGAGTACTATAGAATCATTCGTCTATGGTAAAGTAAGATGTTGTAGAGTTTGATTCTAAACCTGTGTATATACATTATACACTTTATATTTATATATATTGCTTGGATTATAAGGCTAGAGCTTATTAACAGTATTTAAACATTTCAATCCATAAGTTAAGATATTCAAAACTATTTTTTTAATTGGGGGTTTCTCCTTAGATTACAGTTACATATCTAATTTGTGAGATATATAATCTTAATAATATACCATAGCATAGCACAGTATAGTGTGTGTGTGTTTGTATTAATAATCATGTAACGGATTTGTAGATTTATGCGCATGTTTATGCGAATGGATCTTTGGTATTCGAAGAAATATATATCTTTATTAGTATTATATACTCACAGTCTTGCTATAATGCTAGTGTTATTGATAGTAAAAGGTAATAATAGAGAATGTACCAATTGTAGAATTTCAAGAAAGTAAACATTCACTTGATTTCATATTCGAATCAACTGACGACCTTTTATTTTCTTCTTTTTCTTTTTCTTCTCTTCCTATCCCATTTTGTATAAACATATATACATGCCATATATTTATGTTTGCTCTATTGCTCAATTGCTCAATTTTCCAGCTGCTCCTGCTCTTGTCTCTCCACCTCAAGTGGCATTGAAACAAAGGGCTTCGAAATAATTGATATAAAATATAAAATAAAATCTCTGTGAAGTTAAAGCTTAATTCTTGTGATAATTGCTACCCTTATCGTTCTGCTATTTTAAAACATATCTAGAAATAGAACAAGCTCTAAAATATTAGAGCCATATATTCATATATATATATATAAGTTAAAGTTTGCATTTTCTGATACGTATATAGTCTTGTGCAAAGAGAAATGTTTTCTTACAGTAGGGTTGACAAGCTATCTATCAACTATAAAAGATCTAAAAATGAAAGACAATAAATAACTTTATATGATATTTAGGAAAGTGACACGAATTATTATCGTTTTTAAGAAAAAGAAGAAAAGACCAGAAATAAGCAGCTTCTCATATGGTCTTTCTCTTTATTTTAGCTATAAAATGATTTCAATAAATCTATATATTCATATTCGTACTAGTACTTGTATTTGTTCTTGTATTTGTATAGTTTTAGGGTCTACGTCAATAACAAGGTTTAAATGCCCCTTTAGTTACACTACCGATATTTCTGTCCGATCCGACATCTTGGTTCCCAGCCTAAACGAACAAAGATAATTCAGCAAACATAAAAATAAGATACACACATGACAAGGATTGAATAAATTCAACTTTCACTACACGTGGAGATGGTGTACAATAACGCGTTTAGAGTTTCGACTATATATATATATATATATTGGAATATTATTTCACAGACTATGTCATAGAAATAATGTGTCTCTTAAAGTCCCTCTATCCATTATAATCACAATTCTCTTATTATAGTAATCTTCTCATTTGTATGTTAATTCTTGTTAAAGTATTATGTTGTTGTTTTCTTTCTTAAAAACATCAATGTCTTTATCAAAAGAAATACATTTGAACTGCTGTATTTTCTAAGCTTGCATAACTTTACTTTTAGCTTACATATTCACTTATTTGTTTTGTGGCTGATAATATACTCAAATATTCTCCTGCTTTATTTAATAGACTTGCAAAAAGAACACCCGTTATTTACACTGGAGCATGTTTAGATTAAGGTATTTGCTTCTTTAAAACAGAGGGCGGGACTTATTGCTCTAATATGCCTGTACTACCTTGTGATATATATATGTGTTTTTTTTTCTGGAGAGGTGGAAAGGAATGTTCTTGTCTTTTTTTTTTGCTTCTGTGGTTAAAATAGACGAACAACTACATAAAAAAAAGATGACATTGACAAGCATGCTATTACTGTAGAAAAGTTATACTAAGCATAGTACAATTCTACGCATTGATGCTGTAAACAACATTTATACATTGTAATAGTATATCAAGGCATTGGAGTAAAGTAATTGTTTTTTTTGAAGATGTTAATAATGCATTTAAGCATAGAATACATTGGCAAAATTGATCTTATAAAGTCAAGTCAAGTAAAGAAATATATGTTACCTTGGATCTTTAGTGCTGAATTGATTGTAAATGAAGTGTTCTGGAACAAAAGTGAAAAATAGATAGGATTGATTTAAATCTCAAGTTATATAAAGAAACACTATTACGTAGCTAGGCGACGCTTTGCTTTATTATTATTTCTAAAAAGAAAGGCCCAGCTTTTCCTGCACTAATATATATATATATATATATATGAATTTATGTAATACCCATTTCCTGGGATGTTCTATTTGTCTGTTTTCAGTATCAATAATATATATTAGGAAACATTTCTTTATTTTCTTATTTTCCTTTACAAGAAAATATAGAAGCCCAGGAAAAAGAAAGAAAAAGAACACTAATATTGTGTTACGGTGAGAACTTTGTTTGCAAGAGTAATATATATTATATACATTGTAAAGGCATATATTGTGATAGTCAAGTTAGTTATCTTATCAGTATAAAACTCACTCTATATTTCTTCTGAAAAGTTTACTACTGATATAATTAAGTAAAATCCACAGGTACACCCAAAAAGATAATATATGTATTTATGTATTGTTGATGTGAGCTAACCAGATGTTCCAGCTAGAGCAACTATAGTCATATATATTTCTCTCAAATACATTGATCTTGCTGGTAAATTAAGAAGAAAAAGAAAAGAAGGAAATATAATATGGTGAAAGAAGTTGTGTTTTTTTTTCTTTCTTTCTGTGGAATTGTTCTTTTTTTATAAATATATATATACATGCAAAAAAGGACCTTAAAGTATAATATAGCTACGTAAAATACGGCACTACATATGTAAGTACTATATACTTAATATAATATTTGTTGCATGTTTTTATTTGTCTATTGTCCAATAACAAAAGAGAGGCAAGTTTAATAGGCCTAAATAAAATAAAGGCAAAAAAATAATAATGAGAAGGAGCAAGAGCAATAAGAGGAGCAGAAGCTTATAAAGTAAATGATATACTAGTTACAGGCTATTTACCATCAATTATATATATATATATATATATATGTATTGATAGAGAAAGTGAACGAATGAACGAATGAATGTATGCATGTATGCATGATGTTGTCATGACAACTCAAAGAATAATAATAAAAGTGACATTTACTTGATAAAAACGTCTTTCGATTTTGGTTTTTAAAAAAGGACAAAAACAGTGAGAGTTGCGGGGGTGGCGAGTAAAGCCTGGAGAGCATGATCCAATAATCAATACTTTATTTTTCTTGATCTCATATTCTGTAGAAATAAAATAAAATAAAAAACGTTGATTACACCATTTGAGGAATATATTATCACGGAATAGACATCTTTTTCATAATATCTATAACACTGCCCTTATAAATAGTAGGGACTTAATTCCCTTGTGGCGTATCTTTATTAGGAAACCGAAATCGAGAAATGAATTTAAAAGAAGAAAAACGGGTCCAATTTTTAATGGAAGACTTCTTGCGTCCCGATTTTCCATTGATGAAAAGCAAATTATTAGGTTTAAATTGTACTTGTAGCTGTTCCTGATCTTGCTTCATGGTTTTGTGTTGCCTGTCGTAGTAAATTTCTTGAATGACTTGAGAAAAAAAAAAGATGTACATTTTGCTCTCGATATGTTATTCTCTAGATGAACCAATACAAACTTCTTAAAAGCCACGATTTTCTACTCATTTACATGACCATTGCTTCTATTATTATTACTAGTATCATTATTTCCTTCTCCTTCTCCTATTGAAACTGCTCCTTTAGTCTTTGCATAAAGAAGTCCCGTTATTTTCCGATTCTTCTCTCGCTCTTTCTCTTTCGAATTAAATACCACAAATGGTTGTTACACTTGCACAAGTTCTTTCTTTTTTTCCTTTATTTCTTTTTAGTCGTTAATTTTAAAAAAAAAATTGCTACGCATTTCTTAAAGAATAAAATCTTCTTTCCGTTTTCATTGTAGAAATGATAGAAGTTAAATGTACAAGTGCAAATATGTCTATGTATCTTTATAGTAAGAAGAGTGTAACCACCATTTAAGGTTCCGTGTTTTCTTTATTTTATTTTATGGTTTAAGAATCCTGTACGTTGGAAAATGTTGAAATTGTCAATTATAGAAAAATGAAGAATAGGAAATGTAATATATAGTGCCACTGGATAATAATAATATATAAATACATGTATGTATAAGGAGAGGGAAATATGTATATTATATATGTATATGTATATGTATATGTATATGTATATGTATATGTATATGTATATGTATATGTATATGTGTAGGTGTAGGTGTAGGTGTAGGTGTAGGTGTAGGTGTAGGTGTAGGTGTAGGTATAGGTATAGGTATAGGTACATGTATAGAAAGTAGAAAAAAGTAGAAAAAGTGTATCATGAAGAAAATATATAAAGAGAGAGAGAGATTCATACAGAAAATAAACAGGAAATTTGAAGAAAGTATAAAACAGAAATAAAAGAACAAAATAAATAACTACAGTCGACTGAAGAATAAAGAAGAGAAGAAGGTAAATAAATAAATAAATATAAAAGGAGAAAGAATGTTCATAGGTATTTGTACATATATAGTCTGATGGCGAATAAAGACTTGGAGATCCATGCAAATTAATGATCCATGGAGTAAGGGTGTTGATGGTGGTATTGGTGGTGTCTTTCATGAGATTTTACATGTCTCTTGAGATCATGTTTACGAGCAAAGGCTTTAGAACAACAAGGGCAGATAAATCTCTTTTGGCGGTTGGGGTCGTGAGTCATTATGTGCTCCTTCATGTTATTGGTGCGATTGCTAGTATGTGTGCAATAAGGACACTGATGGCGTATTTGATTTCCAGGACTTGAAGATTTAGTGGGTGGTATGGCATATGCTTCTTCTGCTGCTAGTCCTGATGCTGATGTTGATCCCGATACTCCTGCCTCCTGTAGCCATGGTTCGGTGCTTAGACCTGGACTGACGCTAAAGTTGCTGTTTGTGTAAGACAGATAGGGATCGCTGAGACTGAGATTAGTTAAATAATTTTGGTTCACTAGAGGTGAAAGTGGAAATAGGGCGGCCATTGGAGATAACAACAAGTCTGCTGGAGAGTAAGGCTGCTGAGGCAATGTCATGAATGGAGATTGAGCAGAAGGTGAGGTAAAAGGGGCATCGGCTGGATATTGACCGGATAGATACATCGAAAGTATAGCGTCGTCTTCAAACTCAGGTAGAACTGTTGTATTGTAGGTTTCTCCAGAGGGTATATCATCTTCGAATGCAAACAGGCCGGTATCGTAACCTGTCAGAGATTCAGAAACCGAAGAAAATGAGCCAAATGAAGAAGATGGTACAGAGAAAAAGCCTATTAAAGATAGCAGCAACAAGATGAACAGAAAGTTGATTGTTGAGTCTTGTGTTGTTATAATGATAGAAGCAACAACATAAAGTAGCATTGTATTGCATTGTATTGCATTGAATTGGATTGAACCAAGAGAATGAAGAAATAAAGAAAAGGGTCGTACCAAGAGACAGATTGTCATTACTAGGAAATGGATCGGGAATTGGCACGGCAAGTGATCCAGACGCGAGACAGAATTGTGACACTTGTTCAATTGAACCAAATAGATCCACAGATATTTGAGGATCTGACACACTTGCTACTTCTTCTGGTATATCTCTCGGATTTTCTTCAGGGAAGCACTCTGCCATTTGGAAGGACTTTTCAACAAACGACTTTACGAACTCATTGAATGTGGACATGGTTTGTTGTTGTTTGTTGAAAATTCAATCGAAAAAAAATATGTAAGAATATGTAAAAATGTGTGGTTATATCAGAACAATATCTTCAAAAGGAAAGCAAGCTTTGGAATTGAAAGATAAAAGGGAAAGAAGGTGAATTAAAGAAGATCAAGAGACTTCGAGTGCTGTTATTTATACACCTTTGATTTTTTTCTCTTTTCTTTGTAGGTCTTTGCGTAGATTATTTTTTTCCTTGTAAGAATATATATATAAATAAAAATAAAAATCATATAAAAAAATTGAGCAAAGTTCTGACTCTTTTTTTTTTGGTCTCACAAAGCGTAGCGTGGCTCCCAATACGTGTGTAACCAATTGCAAAAGAAAAAAACAAGGACGACAATTGAATGACCAGCAGGAAATATGGACACAAGGTCTACACAAGGGCACAGAGAATCAAATTGAATATACAAAAGAAAAAAACGTGGTACATTAAGTTTCACCATCAATTGGACGATTCTTTTGAAAATAACACAATAGATTACAAGTACGTCAGAGTGTAAAAATTGCAGTTACAGTTGCGGTCGCAGTAGTATGATAACCAGTCTTTAAAATATACACATACACACAGTAAGGTTGGAGAATAGGATGTTTACTTGGATACAAGTAGTCCATATTCTAAAAATAACCATATTCCAGCACAAATTGGACTGGTATGTTTTCTCAAACAAGGTCACCTAGACAACATCAGTCCTTCTCTACCCTTTGTTTTTATTATTATTTTATTTATATTGTAAGCAAAATTAGGGAAGAGCTTTACTAATTCATTTCAAATATACATATATCTGTATGCGCATAAATTATTTGATAATTATCTTAAAAACAGATATATATATATATACGATTTTATTATAAAGTTCTAATGAAGTATGATTTAATAAATTATAGGAAAAGTGTCTGCGATTACTACAATCTTGAGAGCATTCAACTACACTTACTAGCTCTACTGATACAAAATACACTACCTTGTACAATAACAGACCCTAAATTACTTGAATGAAAAATAAACATAACTTGAGTTTATATACCCAACATACGCGTGTCCCCTGAAAACAATGATGATGATAATTTGAACTCTTTATCATTATCACTATTATTTATCTGAAATCCATCAAAGCACGAAATACACTTTTCTAGTGAAAATAATATACATATATCGATATTCGTCATATTTCTTTTTAGGCTCCTGAAAATTAATAGCCCTACAACCTCTTTGTATTGATATCTCTTTATACTTGGGCTGTTAAGTAGGCAAACTAGAATAACAAGTTAAAGATATAGGTTTTTTTTTTAGAATTTATTTAAAGGAAATAGATAATTGATAGCGTGTTTGCTCGTCTGTGTACCCTCTCTTCATTTGGGCTAAAAGTTAGTTATTCACATTCAATGCCTTTTATACACTTCAACTGGGATATGTCTCTACCCTGTTACTCATGAATAGCAGTTGTCAGCTGGTTAAATGGCTTTGGAGCGTGAACTTTTGTCTTTCTTTACGTTTCTTGTAATATAACCCTCTCACCCACCCACCCATCCACACACACACACACATATATATATATATTCTTTAAGGCTGAGATCTGAGATGTTGTTAAGCAGAACTACTGTCATTGGTAACTTGTTTTCTCTCTCTTCCTTCTTCCAATTCCTCTTTCAAATTAGAAGGGCCAACATCCTGCTTAACACATACAAACCATGACGGAATTTGTCATCATCACACTATAACCTTGGCCTGATAACTTTCTTTCTGTAATTTTCTTCAAGGTACTGCCAAACTCTTGTATTTCCACCTTTTCTATAAAAGAAAAAAAAGGAAAGGAAAGGAAAGCATAAACCTCGATTCATCTACCTCAGTTGTCATAATCCCTTCATCTCTAATTAGTTTTTTTTTAGAGTGATTGGCAAATACCAATCTGTTTCTTTTTTGTATTTCCTTTTGATAATATTGACGTATAAAATTCCGAGCAATAATACCCAGCTCTATGGATAGTTTCGCGAATGGTAGGGACTTGGAGAAGTAAAATGTTCTAATGTGTCTGACATGAATGCTGTAAGACCTTCAAAAGATGATGATCTCCATTATCTACGATTCTTTTTAGTGCCTTTTTTCGCTTATTGAGAGGATAAAAGACGTCGTGTCAGTATATCTTTCTCTTGTGGTTTTTTAATTGCGGTTTATAGTGCTTGTAGAGGGTATACCGATCCTATAAAAAAAAGATAATCCTAGGTGGCAGATCTATTAATAGTATTAATGTCATTTAATATTAGTCTCCTTTAATAGTCTAAAAGCTCCTTGGGCTAAGTAAGACTTGTGTGTTGTTGATCGGGTGAGACATGATGATTTACATGAGAAAAGTTGTGTAAATAATCAAGTGGTGTTGTTGCATTATTTGTCGGGGATTCAAGAATTAATGATGGCCATTGGTACGTGTCTGTGTGTGTAAAGTGACGCAACCAACCAATCTTAAGAAACTGTAACAAATAAACAAACGTGAAGAAAGTGAGAAGCTACATATATGGAAAAGCTATAATCACATTTATATAATAGTTCATTTTGTAATATTTTCTGTACATTATACGTAGCACTTATTTTACAGACTTTCTGGGTATCGATATAAAGGTGTATCTATACCTCTAGCTCTCTCTGTGCGTGTGTGTGTGTGTGTATACGCACTGTATCACAGTATATTAGTTCTTTGAGCATTAATGAGAAATGGAGAAATATTCAATTTGCTCTTGAAATTTTTCGAGATTTTATTATTTCGTCAGACACTCTTTCTTTCTTTCAAATATGTGCGTGTGTAATCCTTTTGATAGCGGGTTTTAATGTGTGTGTGTGTGTTTGTGTTTTTTTTTGGTATAAAAATATTTTTGAAAATGGTTATCAAAATCAGCCAAATTAATACATACAGTTGTTCCAATGCCAAAGGGCAGCTTTTGTTTTCTCAAAAGGCGGTTTAAGTAAAGTATACTGCTGTTATCTCATCACTTATAATAATAGAAACAATTTTAACTTTATTTGCTTTAATTCCATATTGCTCTACAACTTGAGAGCAAAGACTTGTCATCAATTTGGGAGTTTTTAACTCTGACTCCTGAAGTTTCTTGGTTCCAGTTGGGCCATGATCTTTCAAACCAATCTCAACATAGCCTAATTAAGTTAAAGGATATCTGAAAGTAAGATCTGAACGGTCTGTAACCATTTGTTCCATTATGTCAATTGAGCCAAGTGCCCTTCTCATGTTCTTGTTATAGAATGAAGTAGAACTGGAAGAGTTGCTACAAAAAAAGGTATTTTAGAATTCAGAAATATAAACATAGAACCAAAACTCAAGTCTCAGAAGTAGCTTTTGATAACACGCTCTGTTGACTTGATGAACCCATACATATCCTGCAAGAGATCTTGTTCAGTTGGGAAGCTTTCAATACTGTCTTTATCCATAAATGGATTCAGATAGTTGAAGACACTTTCTCGATACCAGTATTCTTCTGGTTGATGTCGGCGGTTGCAAGAAATGTCTTGGAATACTTTGTCAATCGAGTCAAAGTCATTCTAAACAAAAAGTGAGATTCCAGAGTATGAAGAGATAAAAGGACCATTTGAGCTCACCTTTCCGTCCAAATTCATCAGCATAATGGTTAACGACTCTGGTAAAGCCTTCATTAAATTGGCCTTGCCGGTTTCTTTTTCGATTTCTTTAATTTCACTGGCTTAAAAATATCGGCCAATTTGTGGAATTGATATGCAAAATAAAAGAATGTAAAGGACTATTATGATAGTTAATAAAAGTATATATGCTACTACTTAATTATGTACTTACTGCTCAACAGAATAGTCTTTTGCTTTGTTATAAAGTACATCCTCCATAGTAGTTTCCTCTTTCAAAACCAATCTTTCGATGATTTTTTTGTACGTATGCTTCATCAAAGTCTTGTCTTTTTCAGTTAATTTTTCTTCATATTTGTATTTTGGGTTGGTTTTGTAGTTATTGATAATACACTGTGAAATTGCTTCTAGAAAACTGTTCAATTGAACCTGCTTTGTAGCTCCAGCCAAGTATAACAATCCAGATGCGATTTCTAAATGTAATTGGTGTATATAAGCCAAGTTAAATATATATGTCGTGTCCCACCAGAAAATATCGGCCCCGTAGGATTAGCATTTTTTTTTGGAAACTTTTAATATCAAAGTATGATCCCTCAAAAAAAAGGGTAATTATATCCAAGCCAAAAGTGAGAAAAAGACACGGCAGTCTATCATGCTATGAAATTTATTGAAACAACTATGGATGTTTTAGATAAACAGGGCAAGAAAGGAGTTTCATTGTGGTGGATAATTGCAGGATTTGCCGCTCTTATTATATATATTTTTTGTTTTGTTTTGTTATAGAAACGTTTAACAAACATGGCCATAAGTCACTTTTCCTACTACTTTACTCACCGTTTTCTAATCTTATTAAAGTGTTTGACGATAATTATAGCCTTTCACTCCCAACAGTTACTATTGGAGCAACCTATAAATCTATCCACCAATATATATATATACATATATATTTATTTACATATTCTAAGCTTGACTGTAAAATGGCGAACTTTAGGAAAATAAAAATCGCCCTTTCGTTTTTTAAAAACCGGCTTTTTGAAATGCTTTGTTAGCCGCCTTTTGACGTTGGAACAACTGTACATATATATATTTCAATATTTTTTTTCTCTCTCTCTAGGTAACATTTCTATAATCTTTTCAAATCCAAAGATGCTTCAAATCCAAAAATAGAAAGGTAAAGAAGAAGAAAGGAAGAAAAAATTGGTCCAAGACTATCTTGCATGCTATCAATTAAAAAGCCTACGATAGCACTTTAAAAACTATTTTTACTTGATGAAAAAGAAAACTTCTTGGGTTTATATTTGTTTGCAGTAGAAAACCAGCTAAAATAAGCGGCGCTTTTTTTTTGTTTTTTGTTTTCTATTCATATTATTATTTCATTATTTCATTTATACATCCTTAGGCTTAAAATTTTCATCCTGGAGGATTATACAAAGCCAGTAGAATATAAAAAGAAACAATAGGCGATTTTTTTGTATAATGCATTAAACATCTCTCTTTCTCTTTTCTTTATATTTATCTTGTCTCCCAAAACAAAATACATACATACGTACATACATACATACATATAACACATAGCATATATAACATAGCATAATAATCAATCATGCAACCAATGATCTTCTCAAAGCAAAAGGCTCCTATCCAGCATCACCTGGAGTGGGTCTCAAACATGGATGTTAATGTTGTAGGCAAAGCTTCCCGAAAAACATCAATCATTTGTACCATTGGTCCAAAGACAAACACAAAAGAAAAACTAGTCGAGCTTATCGATGCTGGTATGAGTATCGTTAGAATGAACTTTTCTCATGGTGATTATTCCTATCACTCTTCTGTTCTCAATAATGCTCGTGCCGCTGGTACTGGTAAGTTTTAAATAAGTATAAAATGTATAAAAATAAGCGAGAATGAGAGCAAGAGCAAGAACGAGAGCAAGAACAAGAGCAAGAGCAAGAGCAAGAGAGAAATCTCTACTGCTCTTTTCTGTTTTTGGAAACATGACGTAGATTTCATTATTTTTTTAAAAAAATTATTCCTTATTAAGCTTGGCTATTTTTTTTATATATATATGTATAAATCAAATTATAAAGAGCGACCCGACAAGGCCATTGCAATTGCCTTGGATACTAAAGGACCAGAAATCAGAACCGGTGTTATGCGTGATGGAAACGATATTCCTATCAAGAAGGGCCATGTTATGATCTTTAGCACAGACCCTCAATACGAGGGAATCTGTGATGACAAGGTCATGTATATCGACTACACCAACCTGCCTAAGGTCATTAATGTAGGCATGCCAATCTACGTGGACGACGGTGTCATGTCCTTCAAGGTACTCGAGAAGGGCAGCTCGCACGTCAAGGTCGAGGCCCTCAACAACGGAACCCTGTCTTCTCGCAAGGGCGTCAACTTACCCGGAACAGATGTCGATCTTCCTGCCTTGTCAGAAAAGGACAAATCAGACCTAAAGTTTGGCGTGGAAAACAACGTGGACATGATCTTTGCGTCCTTTATCCGCCGTGGTCAAGATGTCAAGGACATCCGTCGCGTCTTGGGCGAAAAGGGCAAGATGGTCAAGATCATCGTCAAGATCGAGAACCACCAGGGTGTCAACAACTTTGACGAAATTCTTGCAGAGACAGACGGTGTTATGATTGCCCGCGGAGATTTGGGAATCGAGATTCCTTGCGAGCGTGTCTTTATTGCCCAAAAGATGATGATTGCAAAGTGTAACCTGCACGGCAAGCCTGTAGCCTGTGCCACCCAGATGCTCGAGTCAATGACCTACAACCCACGTCCAACGCGTGCAGAAGTTTCTGATGTGGCGAATGCTGTCCTGGACGGAGCAGACCTCGTTATGCTCTCGGGAGAGACTGCCAAGGGAGCCTACCCAATCGAGGCCGTCAAGACGATGTCGAATACATGTGAGCTTGCCGAGTCAGTCATCTGCCATCCCCCCTTGTTCAACCAACTTCGAGCCCTCACGCCCTGGCCAACCGAGACCACTGAAACGATTGCATGTGCTGCCGTGTCTGCAGCAGCCGAACAGAATGCTGGGGCTATCCTCGTCCTCTCCCGTTCTGGCCAGTCTGCCCGCCTGGCATCAAAGTACCGGCCCTCTCAGCCGATTATCTTGGTCTCCAGAAACGACCAGGTTGCTCGCCAGTCACATCTCTATCGAGGCGTGTTCCCATTTGTTTACAAAGAAGATCACAAGGAGGATTGGCAGGAGGATGTTGAGGCAAGAATCAAGTGGGGAATTATGCAAGGCAAGAAGTTTGGTTTGGTCAAGTCCAATGATTCGGTCGTTGTTGTGCAGGGATGGAAAACTGGTGTAGGAAACACCAATGCGATCCGGGTATTGATTGCTCCTTAAAAAAAATATGTATACTTTGTACATTAGAGGATAAAGAAAAAAAATGAATAAGCTTTTTTTGTGTATATATATTTATAAAGATGTACACACACGCGCACGCGCATACATAAATACATACATACAAATACATAGATATATTATACATATGTATGCCTGTATGTCTGTGTGTCTGTGTGTATGTGTGCCTGTATATATATATATATATGATTTTATTTTCTGTATTGAATAAACACTAGAATATTTCTCAATATTATACTTTATATGTATACAACTCTACTCTATATTTTATGTGTCTGTGTCTGTGTCTGTGCCTGTGCCTGTGCCTGTGCCTGTGCCTGTGCCTGTGCCTGTGCCTGTGCCTGTGAGTTGAGTTGAGTTGAGTTGAGTCGAGTTGAGCACTCCTTGTTTAGACTAACAAAAATCTTTAATCTCGATATTGACCAAAATTTAAGCACCAAAGTTGTATTGTTGTTGAATTGGTTGCATGTTAAGCTTCTATCTTCTTGATTTCTAGTTTTACAGTGTAATTTTGAATTGGTCGTCTATGAATATAAATGATAGAAGATGTATTAAAGCCTTTTTTAAAATAACAAGAGAAAAGAGGTTGTTTTTATGTTTTTTGTTGTTGTTGTTGTTGTTGTTATTCTTTTTATGTATATACGTATTTACACATATATATTATATTATATTATATTATATTATATTATGTTATGTTATGTTATATTATATTATAGATCGATACAATAAATCATTGTTTGTTTTCTTGAATAATGTTTACAAGCCTAATATAAATCAATCGAACCAAATCGAATCGAATTGAATAGAATAAAATAAAATTGAATCGAATCGAATCGAATCAAGCCAAACCAGTCAGTCAGCCAGCCAGCCAGTCAGTTAGTCATCCAGATCATATAGAATCCATGGCTTTTCCACACACACACACACACACACACACACACACACACAAAAGAAAGCCTTTCTTTTTTTTCCCTTTAGACTTACCAATCCAACCCTTCTGTCAATCCTTCTCCCTTGAGTGCACTTGTCTTGTAAATCGAGTATTGTCTGTTCTTGAGTGTAGATAGTCCAAGAGCCTCTGTGACTTGTGCTGCTGAAAGTGCACCTTCCATGTCCTGCTTATTAGCAAATACCAACAATGCAGCATCCTTGAGTTCTTCCTCTTCTAGCATTGCGTGTAGCTCCTCTCTGGATGTCTGCATACGATCCTTGTCTACACTGTCAACTACATAGATAACTGCATCTGTATTGGAGTAATAACAACGCCAATAAGGTCTAAGCATACACGCAAACACACACGCACACGCACACGCACACAAACATTAATGAATATCAACAAATATTTATACATATATATATATATATATACAGAAACGCACACGCGCACAATGAAACTGCCTTTTTGTAATTCTTTTTTAATTTACCTAATACTTGTCTGGCCTCCCAAATCCCAGACTTGAAACTTGATGTTCTTGTAGGTAACGGTCTCGACATTGAATCCGATTGCTAATCATCAAGCATCATCAACATCATCATCAACATCATATTATTTTATATATATATATATATAAAGGTCGAGCAGGAATCCTAGTGAGCTTACTTGGAATAGTAGAAACAACTTCTCCAATCTGATATTTCCAGATTAGCCAATATGATTATAGTGTGGCCCAATTTCGTTTCATTACCTGTAGTCTGTAAAGAATTGTTGTCTTTCCTGCACCATCTAGACCAAGAATCAATATCCGGACTTCTTTTTCACCCCAGAGTCTTCCTAATACTTTGCTGAACAAGGCACCTGTTAGATGAATATTTGAATTAGTCATTGTTACTTTATTTATTTATTTTTTGGTTTGTTGTATTTAATCCAACTCATTGGTCATTGTTAATTGCTCATTCGAATGTTCTTTTCTTTCTTTCTTTTTCATTATTATTATTATTTTTACCCATTGAATCGTTTATTATTATACTTCTTTTGTTGAGTTTTTGAGTATGGAATCCAAGTAATCGTAAAATCCACACAAGTATTATATAGATATATATTTATTTATTTTGTTGTTATTCTTCTTTGTTCTATCTTGTATAAAGAGAGAGAGAGAGGCAAATAGACAGACAGACAGACTAACAGACTAACAGACTAACAGACAGACAGACAATTGCCTATAATTGTGTGTGCGTGATAGTGATAGTGATACAAGAGGAACGCGATGGGCATTTTGTTTTCTTAGCGGCGACTTGAAAGCGAAATCTTTGGTTTTCTTTTCTTTTTTTTTCTTTTAGCGTCACCTAGCTTTCAACTGTGCGTCATCTGTACAGCTTATGTTATTTTATGTTTTTATATATCTATATTTGATTTATTTAGAGCCACTAGTATTTCTTGTTTGATTATTAATATCCTCTGTATCTTTAAAGAATAATTGACTAATTCTTAATGATGATGATGATAATAATATTATTATTATTAATTAATGTCTTATTTACAGTGTGCTTAAATGAATTAATGAATGAAGTAAGCGAGCTAGTGAATATGTAATTAATAGCGCATTTATGTGTACTTCTTTTTGAGAATATTACTACACCAAAATAACTAGCCAACTGGCTAACTATTACTATTACTATTTGCTTTAAAAGATAGATGTGGAAATAGAAATAGAAATGGGAATAAATAAATAAAAAAGGGGGTAATCAAGTACAAGTACAAGTACAAGAACAAGTATAAGAACAAGTATAAGAACAAGAAAAAGGTGATGAAGATAAGGAAGGGGTAGGGGTAGTATATTCGATTATAGTTTCCTTCCCTTTTATTCTTGATTGCTGGTAAATACAAGTGATGAATATAGCATGTAGTTTATCAATTATGTAATACCAATAAAGAAGTTATTTAGTACAAAGATATACATATAATAGCTATGTATTTATGCGTGTATATGTCTTATATTCATCTAGACAAAAAAGAAAATAGCCAATAAATCTCAGTTGATATTTCCTTTCTTTAGTCTAATCAAATATATATATATCTATCTATCTACACACACAAAAGATAAAAAAAGATCTGCACTCACATGCAGATGTGTATATCAATTACAAGATCTAATTCTATTAGATTCTACAAATCTATTAAATAATAATACTAATAAAAATGATTCTTTTATTTATTTATTTATTTATTTAAAGAAGATGAATTGTATGCATTTATTGAAACGAAATAAAAATAGAGAACTATAGAGCTAGAAGGAGATATGAAGAGAGATGTGAATGTGTGAGTGTAAGAGATGAAAAAAAAGGAGAGAAAGACAAAAGAGAAAAATAAAGTAAAGTAAAGTAAAAGCAATGAATGCATTGAATGTAGTGCGAGTGTATGCGTGTGTGTGTGTGTGTGTGTGTGTGTGTGTATGTGTGTGTATATATTTGTTTGTGTGCATTGAACAAAAAAGAAGAAGAAGAAGAAGAAAAGAACGAGCAAACGAACGAACGAACGAACAAACGAACAAAGAGAAAGGTTATGAAAGAGATTTGAGTTTAGTAATTTGTCTCTTGGGGATGCCAGCCCGCAGGAGCAAGATGACCCTGGAGAAGGGAGGCACGATGAAAATGGTCTTGATTGGAGCCGTACGATATAGCAAATGGAAATCCATTGTGTCGTGCAAAAGAGTGGTCAAATGTATCATGAGGCCGAGAAGACATGGAGATCTGCTGTGCAGCTACGGCTGCTGCTGCTGCTGCCGCTGCTGCTGCTGCCGATGTTGATGCTGCCGATGTTGATGCTGATGTTGATACTGATGTTGATACTGATGATGTGGCTGTTGTTGCCGTTGTGGTTGATGATTGAATGTGCGAAGAAGATGATGATGAAGAAGATGAAGAAGAAGATCCAACCATTCCGTGTGAGTCGCGTTTTTCATGGGTCTTGATATGTTGAGTTAGGTTATCTGATCGAGCAAACGTACGTCCACAACCAGGGTAAGTACATTCAAAAGGACGTTCGGCAGTATGGATGCGCTGGTGTCGTTTGAGGTGCTCGGGTCGCTTGAAACGTCTGTGACAGTCAGTGTGTTCGCACACATACTGCTTCTGCCGCTCTTCCTCGCAACTTGATTGACCTACTTCCATCTCAGAGAATGAAGGCTCATAATGAGAAAACGCTTTGTTGGGTGTAGGTGAGCTTGTAGGTGGGTATGCTGCATGGAGCTGATGTTCTGTCTGGACAGCCTGGACTTGGGCTGCCTGTGCCTGTGCCTGTGCCTGTGCTTGTGCTTGTGCTTGTGCTTGTGCTTGAGCCTGTGCCTGTGCTTGAGCCTGTGCTTGAGCCTGTGCTTGCGCCTGTGCTTGTGCTTGTGCTTGTGCTTGTGCTTGTGCTTGCGCCTGTGCTTGTGCGTGTGCGTGTGCTTGAGCCTGTGCTTGTGCCTGGGCTTGTGCTTGTGCCTGTGCCTGTGCAGATGAGAGGTCATGGTTGAAATTAGATTCTTGCCGGACATCGGTCATAGAGACCGAACAAGGTCGATGCTGAGGCATTGGTGAGACGTGGTGTTCGAGAGCCTTTTTGGTGTGTGTGCGGAAGTGTGCATGGAAGTTGTCGGATCTAGAGAAGCGCTTACCACAGCCTGGGTGGTGACATTGGTGGGGGCGCTCTCCGGTATGGACAAACATGTGTCTCTTGAGATGCTCATGGCGCTTGAAGCTCCAGTCGCATTCTGGTTGAGTGCATACATGCTTGTTTTGTTTGACTGGCTGGCGACGAGGAGAGACTGTACGCTCGGTCACAGAGAGAGATCGCTTCTGGAGGTGGATTGGCCAGAAAGAGTGATATTGATTGTTGTTATTGTTGTCGACTGTTTGATGCTGCTGTTGATGTTGATGCTGCTGCTGCTGCTGCTGCTGCTGATGATGTTGCTGGTGCTGTTGCTGGTGCTGGTGCTGGTGCTGGTGCTGGTGCTGGTGCTGCTGCTGCTGATGTTGTTGTTGTTGTTGTTGTTGTTGTTGTTGTTGCTGCTGCTGCTGTTGCTGATGGTGTTGCTGTTGTGCTGTAGAACACGCTGACATGCGTCTGTCGGTGAATTGGTCAGGGTATGGTGGATAGGAGAAGTTAAGATGGGCCATGTCCATTGAATATTTGCGCTTGAAGGAAGGGTTAGTCAGGGTTCCGGAAGGGGAGAGAGCCGGTGTCAAGGGTGGCGACAATACTTGGTCTGAATCTGAGCCGTGAGCACACGCTGTTGGGTACAACAAGGGGCGTGAGTTGGATAACTCTTCAAAGCAATAGTTGGCGGCACTCATTGTCATGTAATAAAAAGGCAAATCAAATCAAATCAAAGCAAAGCAAATTAAATCAAATTAAATAATAATAAAATGAATCAAATAAACTGTATGTATGTATATATTTTATATATATATAAATTAATATTAATATTTTAAAAATAAAAATTAAAATAAAAATTGAAAAAAATTAAAAAGAAAAGAAAAAGATTGGAAAATGAAAAGGTGTGGGGTCAGTAAAAGGGGAAAATTTTGCCCAAGCTATATAAACAAAATCTGAGGCCTGCTTTTGATACACGCACGCACGTTCATATTTTTTTTATGTATTTACTTACGATATATTTATATATATATATACATATACATATATATACATATACGTATACATATACATATACATATACATATATATACATGTACATATACAGATATATATATATATATACAGATATTTCAATAAGCTTTTTTTTATTCTTTCTTTCTTTGTCAACGTTGTCGATCAAAGGACAAGCAATGTGCAAGATACCCAAAAGAGGATATATTGATTAAAAGGAGTTGAAGACTTCTGCATAAGATCGATTTCAAACAAATCCATCTTTAGAACTCATTGAGTTTAGCCAACTCCCCAAGTCTACAACAGCTAATAGCTAATAGCTAATAGCTAATGGTTAATAGTTAATGGCCAATGACTAATAGTTAACAGCAATATATACTTTTTTTCTTTTTTCTTTTTTTTTGACTTGCTTTGCTTTATGTTTTTATTATATCAATTTACACAGCCATATATCTATATATCTATACACACACACATATATATATATATATATAATTTATCTATATAATCTATATATTCTTTAGACCCCCCCCCCTTTACAAAGAGAGAGAGAGAGAGAAAGAAAGAAAGAAAGAAAAAAGAAAACATAGAATAGAAATGCTCTTCGTCGTCATTTTTAATCACGTTTTCCTACTTTCATAATGGTCGGCTTCAACACAGACATCACCATGGTTATAGATTCCTTTTTAACAAAATTAATCAGTAAAGTCAGCAAGTCAAACCAGTCAGTTAATCAACCAGTCAGCCAGCCAGTCAGTCAGTCAGTGATTTAGTTAAAGCTGCAAAATAAATAAGAAAATCATGTCTTGTTTACCTCTAACCGAACTGCACGCGTTCCACTCTGGGCATTGGGATCAATGAACATATCAAACATTTCGGTCGCATCTTCTCCCGCAACCTTGAGATCTTCGTCGGCCTCAATAGCCTCCTGCAGACCTCCCATTGGGCCTCCAAATGCAACCAAAAGATGTCTTTTTTTTGTTATATATGTGTCAATCAATTATCCTTATTTCGTTTCCCCTTCTTTTATATAATTATATAAAGATTTGTGCTTCTTTTCTTTCCAAAAAGAAAAAGAAGCGCCAATGGGATTTTTGATAGAATTTCCCCTTACCTAAACTCTTTGGGTCCAGAAACGCCATACATGTCTTTGGCTGAACGGTCACTAACACCTACCATATAATCATAGCCATCCTAATATGTATAGATGTATATTTATTTAGTATTAAATATCAATCTATCATTTAATATGATTAATATGATTAATTGTAATAATTACCTCGTAGGGACTCTCTGTCATAACTCTGGAAATTGAAGAGGCTAGGCGGATAGAGTATCCCCAATAGAGACCCATCTTTTCACGAGGAGCTTTTGGACTGACAACCTTAGCTGGCAGTGGCTTCTGACCCTTTCTTGTTTCCATGGCAGCAATTGGGGATCCCAATTCAACAGTGACACGGACACCTGGCTGGATCGCCTTGTCGATCCTGACGCGACGAAACAATCCCACGTCGACAAGTGTACCGTCTTCCTTGTTAGACATCAATGTCACACCTTCGCGGTATCGGGTCTGTTCATGCATGCCGGGATGGTGCGGCACATCCAGGGGTGGCAAAAGACCTTTTTTTATTATTATTATAATTGGATTATATATATATATATATATAAAGAAGAAGAAGAAGACCTTTTTTAGAATATTTCTTTTTTTGGGTTGAATAAAATAGCTATCCATGTACTAAATTATACAAGTATAAAGTGTATACCAACACAAAAGGGGGGGTGAAAGAAATGATTGAAATAAAACAAGAAGAAAATAAAGAGAATATTATATGCGTCAACCCGTGCCATTGTTGGACTCTTATTATTATTTATTATCATTTTGCCTTTCAATCACCCCATTGTGTCCCAAACTGCTGTAATCTCTTTACTCTTCTTCTTCTTCTTCCTTTATTTCATTCTTTATTTCTTTATCTATATTTCTCTCTCTCGCTCTCTCTATTTTCCCTCCCTCTTTTTTTTGTATGTCTAATTCCCTGAAGCCCCCCCTCCCGCCCTTTAATCCCCCCCCCCCCCCCCCCCTTTTGTACGTTATTTTTGGTTAATAGCAACACCAAGGAGTATCATCATTATTATTATAAAAGTCAAGTTTTAGACAAGAAAAAAGAAAGATTCTCTTTGCCCACCACCACCACCACCACCACCCCCCTTCATTTCCCTTTACTTTTCTTTATCCTTTCTTTCTTGTTCTCAAACACTATATAAATAATTTGTGTCCAAAGCATTATTTCTTTACCTGCAAATTTAAGGTCTGGGCTGAGTGGTACAAGTGCCTTGCGAAGATATCTGTCACAAATCAAAATAGATTTAATATAAATATATATTTGATTATTTAAATATATACATTTGTGCTTTAGATCCCCACAAATTATGTCAATCAATTTAAATTTAAATAATACAGATATTATATATATATATGTTGACTTACTGTGGTGTCTCCATATATTGAAATACGCGCGCCAAAAATAAATTAGGATCAACCTTGTGGTGTGCCTTTTGGATCTTGTCTTGATAAATGATGATTTCATCAACGTTGAATATAACAAGGCTTCTGGCAATCTACTATTCATCAATTTTGTTTTCCATAATAAATAAATATATAAATAAATAAATATAAATTTATATATATATGTATAAAAATGCTTGCCTGTCCTGCAAGAATTGTCTTCATTTCCAGTGTAGGTGCTCCATCAATAATACTCGAAGGAATTGCGAGACTGACAGTGTAAGACCGTGGTGTACCTTTGGCCACCGTGGTTACTTGTTGATGATGAGTTGGTTCATGAGTCGTCTTTTGATATTTTCCGGGACGTTCACGATCGTAATCCGGTCCAGATAAGAACTGGTTATCGAATGACTTTACTGTTCTACGCTTCAGGCATCAAATGAATAAAGGTGTACGATTAGTAATTATAACATTAAAACAGATTTATATTCAACTACATTTATGTATGTGCTTTTGTGCGTTTAAACTTTTTATTATTATTATTATTATTAAAAAATTACTTTATTTTTAATAGTAATAAGAAGAATATGAGTATGAAGCTCATTGAATTGCATTGCTCACTTTGGGTTGTGTATTAGCCATGTCAAATACTTGCAAAAAATAATAATAGAAATGCAAAAACGCTAAAAATATAAAGAACCGTTCATTTTTTTTTCAATATTTGACAGTCACTGCTATACTGAATTTCATTTCGTTTCGTTTCGTTTCGTTTAAAGAAGATCACACTAATGCTTACTTAAGTTTCCTTTTCTTCTCTCTCTTACCATTATTTCACAAGTGGTAACGATGATACAATACATTCTCCCCTCAGGATATTTTGCAAAATAATGAGAAAAAAATGCAATCCCTCTGGTTCCCTTTCCCTTTCCTCTCCTCTCCTCTTCATTCTCCTCAAAAATCTCCCTTCTAACCTTTTTCTCTGTTTGAATTTAGGTAATGCATTCGCCTCACGGATGTAGCACACGCACATACAAAAAAAACACATATTAATGTTTCCTGGGATTTCTTAGTTGTAAAGAAATAAGAGTTTGATTTGAGAGCTTCCTTGGATCTCTACCAAGTTAATTTTATTTTACTTGCATATTTAATAGAAAGTGAATAAATTAATAATAATAAACTAACAAAACCCCCAGTCATGATGTCCTACTTTTCTCACAGTAATAGAAACTCGCTATTCCCTGTACACCTGCGGTTCCCTATCTTACTTTATTTTATATTTCTCTAAAAAAGAAAAGCAACATGACATGAATCAATTAGTCAATTAAATTGTCTGTAAGGTTAGGTTAAAGAAGTCCTTTATATATATATTTACCTTTTTGATCTCTTGATATATACATATACATGTTTGTGTGTATGTCTGCATTCGACTTTCTTTTTTTTATACAAAACCGAACTTGATCACAAGGTAGATACAATGATTTGGCTTGCTAAATATCTTTAAATCCAAAAGAATTTATAATTGCAATTGGTTTGAAATCAACTTGGTTGTGTTAACCTTGCTGAGTATCATGCCTTTTTGTGCTGCATTTAATTTTCTTTCTTTCTTTTATCAAAAATAATGATAATAATACATTTTATTTGCATTATACCATGATACATACATATTGTAATTAAGTTTATGCTTTACTTTGGTAAGTAACTCTTTATTTTTTAAGAAAAAAATTAATCATTTATCTAATTGTGCTATTGCTTGATTTTAACCATGTGTGTATTCAAGATTTTCTTACAAGATTTTATCCAATGCTACTATTGTGCTATTCACTAATCTTTCATACTTTTCATCAAGTCTCTTATAATTTTGATCAATTAAATCAAAATATCTTTCATGTACAAACAGTAAAGCGTTGTTTACTTTATCTTTTGTAGATGAATTTCCCATGATTGAAATATCTGGATAAGTATTTCTAGTACTCTTGTAACTGGTGTTATGTGGTTTATGAGAATCATGCGATGAACTTGATTGATTTACAGAGAACGGCTTGAAAGAATCGGTTTGAAAAGACCTTTCGATAGGGTTGGGGCGGGATGAAGTTTTTGCTGCACTCTCTGTGTTGGACTAGTTTGAGTTTTGTCTTTTTCCTGGTGTTGATTGTATAGCTGTTTTTGCTCTGGACTCGGGTGTACTATCTTTATTGGTTTTTTAAAAATCTCATAGTCTTCCATAGACTCATCATCTTCAGATTTACAAACAAGCCCTTCATAATATCCGATAATCCTGGTAGGCTCCCAGTTGCTCGATGACTCGCTTGGGGTAAAGTATCCCTTCTTATATATCTCTTTTTTTTTATCAGTATCCTTTTCAGATGATCTTGTATATTTAAAGTCCTGGATCTTTTTTTCTAAAAAAAAAGATAGGTTTATACCAAAGTTATTTCTTCTGGACCTTTTTACTGTTCTTTTGTGAGAGCTGCTTTCATTAGGTACATACCTGTAAGTGTTTTCTTTGCATGCGTAAAAACTAAAAAAAAAAAAAAGAGAGAGCTTATCGAGACCATAATCGATACAATATATAAAAATCGATTAATATGCTTGGACATCGAATATATATATATATATTGCGAAATTCAATGGTTGATAAGAATTGTTCATAGTTAGATCATACCACTTGCTTAATTCTATATTTACAGTCAAATTCTGATATATTGATGCCAATAAAATAAAAAGGCAGCTACCGTATCTCATTATATCGAGCACACGGTGTACTCTTGAAACATAGTTATTTTTTAAAGGATATTTTGCTTATTATTTTGAAATACCATAATAAGAATTATAAGCTTCATATATATACCGAACATTAACATACTTATAGAACTATATTGCTTCGAAAAATATAAATATCATTATTATTTTGATAACGCTTTGTACTAGATGGCTACAAAACCTGCCCATGCGCACGGTGTGAATAATCTTTTAGGACATAATCTTTTAATGTCCGACATTCAAAAACATCGTTTAAAGGTGTAAATATCGATATTGTCATTTTTTCATCTGTTTATATCTCCATCGATATTGGTTTGTTGCTAGTCAAACAAGCACTGAAAGCCATGGATCACTTTGTTGAACAACTTTGCCTAGTAGCAAAAAACACAAATTTTCGATTTTTTTTTAGGTGTATACTCTGAGGGAACTTTTGGATCGAACATGCTTAAGTGGTGTAAATATCTAAAATATTATTAGTAAATTGTTTTTTTAGAGTGAGAAAATGGGATATTTTGCTCAATGTTTGAGCAATCAATGTCAAACAACGTTTAAATGATACATCCTAGTGTACTCAACCAGGTTGCTTATATATAAAAAGTAGCTTGACTTAACCAATATAGATTTACAGCTGAATTTCAAGATTTGATTTGCCTTTTTGATCAAAATGCCTTTTTTTATTACACTTTTCATTTCACCGGTAAATTCAATAATATTCAATGTGCATTTATATCATATAAACCAACCTAACTAACCTTTGAACGATCCGGGCACTATTATAACCTCCAATTGAGACACAATACGATCTCGAAGCTCATAAAAATCAGATCCGTTTATTCTGACCATCGCATATACAAACTCTTTTTGTACTTAAAATATTTTTGAATAATTATATTCTAAGGATTTGTGAATGCTATTACTACAATATGAGATTCATTCAGTGTGTATATGTATTCTCTTGGATCTTTGTGCTTTGAAAGTCTGCGAATGTCCATACGGTAATATAAACCAAAATACTTTCCTGAAAAATATAATAAACCCCGACGTTCGAACGGCTTGGAGAGATCGAGGCTCAAGAAAGAAAATAATCATCAAGCGTGTAAAACAGATATCTTGGCATAGCGATTTCCTTCTAAAAGCCTTTACTAAATCCTATAAAATAAAAGCAACCCTTTTTAAAAGACCTTTCTCTTGTGTTTTGCTGTATCTTGTATTGTTCAATATTAAAAAGTATACATACTTTTTGGTATCATATATAAAGCTTTAGATATTATTCTTGTAATAGTCAAAACTCTTTTATATTTCTAAGAAATCAATCAGATATCGACTGTACATATATATACCAAGTACTTTCAAGACTTTAACAATTTTTAAACGCGTGTGCATTCTGGTTTTTACCCTAAAAACTCTTGCTTTCTATCATGAGTGGCTGTTAAAAGGATGCGCGAATCAACATCGGACGTCAGGCTGAATGAGAAAACTAGGGAATTGATCTTTAATGCGCAATGTTCTGACAAACTCATTTCTGCAAAGACATGATGAGAGTTATATATAAGCTAATGAGCTATTCGCATGAGCAGAATTGTAATTTCTGATGGTAAATAAGGTTTCGCATCGTTGTCGCTCGTCTTTTTCTGTTTTTTGCGTCCTTTTTTGTTTACTTTTTGCTTTTTTTCCATAGTCTTTAGCTCTAGTAGTCACATGCATATGAAAATAGTCACGCATCTTTCCCCTTAATTTCTTTAAGGGGCACACGTCAGCGATGAAAGGATGCAAGAGATGCGTAAAGTAGATGGAAGACTCCATTTACTTTGGTCCTCTTCACCGAAAAGGAACTCGTGAAACTCAACTCCGTTAAAGTAGTTCAAGTGACGATTGACGTTCTTTCAAAAAAAAAGTGTGTGCGTGTGTTAGGTACCACCACACTCGTCTGTAATATTTCTTTCTGGAATTGGTTTGAGTTTAATAAAGAAGTGCAGTATGATTGTACTGAAGTTCTGACGATATTCTATAGAGTTAGAAATTTCAAGAGAAACGAGAGGTTTGTAACGAGTCTTAAAAGAAAGAAATAAAGGTGCGCCGGTTTATATCAGAGAAAAACTAATACTTTGTGCATCGAGGATAAAAAAGTATGGGAATTGTATAATACAAATATACATATTAGGTCCAATAAATTAGTTGAAATAAAAGAGTGGAATCCTGTGATAGTCGCTGCTTAAAGCTCCGGATCCTTAATAACACCCGTGTGTGGATATAGAGGAAATAGCATTGGTGCTATGTCCCAGAAACACAAAGGTACCTTTGAGTTTATGGATTTATATATAATGCACTGCTCATTCATATAAATAACTCTTTTACTCTCTTTTTTTTAGAGAAATATACTGTGTGAAGTATTAATGTTACAACTTTAATAATTAATAATTAATAATTAATAAATAGAATAAGACCATACGGTACCAAGGCTGCAAAATTGCACACAAAATACAGAATCATATCAATGATCACCATAAGATCTATAGTATTTTGAGAGTACTCTTTACTAAATCGTTACAAAGTCTGTCATTAAACACTCGTCAGCACCTAAAAGTTTGGCGTTCCAAATATATCGAACCCTAAAAATTATCAGGATCGCAAAATAAAGAAATCGAAGCTACCAATTGTTTTTATTTGTATGTTAACATTCAAGAAAGAATAACCAGAGAGAATAAATGTTGGTTAATTTGGTATTTGGCTTATAATTTCCTAGGTGGCGGCAAGAACCTTGGTGCTTTAAAAATATACTGTTCAGGCGACCCAGAAATGAATTGCAGTGTTCCTTTTTTCTGGTGTTATGACCTTCAATTGTTGGAAAAATATGATAATATGGAGTTTTTTTTATGCTCTTCAAAACTTGTGAATGGCAGCCTTTTGCACAATATTATTTGTGTAGGCTGTGGATAGTGTTTTAAAAGCCTTTATTACGTATTGACTTGCTTCTGGCTGTATTTTTTTTTTTGGATATTCACAAATTGACAAATTGTATTCAGTATAAGCTTTGAGAGTAATCTTACATTTCCCCGTATTATGTGGTAGTGATAGTAGTTAAAATAAAACAACAAGAAAGAACTGCTAGTAACAGTAATAATTTTGTAATAGAAGAAGAGTATGACATGAGCGAGATAAATAAAGAGAAGTAGTTCTTGTAAGATTAGGGGAGAAGTAGGTGAAGAAACCTACTTGGCTCGGTTTGCTTTACTCTTTGTTGATAGGACTATTGCAGCAATACCACACACATTTATATATATATACAAATATGCACATGCATATCCAGCTTTGGAGATTTATAATTATACTAAAAATAAAAAAGACAAAACAAACACGATTAGATTGACATTTTTATGCGCTCATAACAGCAATATTAGTAAATACGCTCATGGTTTGAATATTCAAGTGGTCCATGTGGACCCTTTGCTGACTCTACCAGCTCAGTTATTTCCAACAACAAAAAGGGAAATATTATTTTTCTTTTATATCTGTCATGCAGTCTTGTGGATCCATAGTAGGTTTTAGACTGAGTGTATGGTTTTGAGCCAAAATAGATGTGTGGGTCAGATTACCAGAAAGGCACTTGTACACACATTAAAATTGGCTAAACCATCATGCCAGATAACTACAATGTGTGGCAGTATACACTAAGTAGTGCGTAGTGTGTGTGGTGAGTGTTCACTATATTCTTGACAATTAAAAGAGAATGATAATAATAATAATAACGGATAAATGGTAACACTCATTATTCTCCTTCTATTAAATACATGCGGACAAAGTCTTACCCTTGAAATTTTTGCAAGAATAAATAATTTTCGTATTGTATTATTAGTATTATTGGTCTCCACACACACATACACACACTAAAGCCTATACTTATACTCTAACCACTATAGGTACAACATTTGGTTGCCTTTCTGCCTATCTGTATCTTTGCCTTTGATAATATAAGAAACTTATAATAGAGTGCGCACCAACCAACACACTGTGATTTTTTGGCAGATATTGGGTTAGTCTATATATTATATATATATAGATAGATAGATAGCTGTGGGCCACTGATCAAAAGCGACGGCAGATTGTGCGTAAACTTGATCTTCTATAAAGACTCTAGCTTGGATAGGTATTTATGATCTATACATTAGACGTGATTAATTGCTTTGTTTGTTTGTTTATTTGCTTACTTGCTACTCTTGTTTTGAAACTTAAAAGCTATTCTTATTTTACTGTACTTGGTACAGATGTTAAACTTTTATCTCTTTCTTATTTCTCTTCTTTTAGTAAGGAGACATGGATTAATGTAATATAGTAACAGATGAGTTATGATGAGTATTTTAGGCGTAAAGTTTAAGCTGATCAAGGTTTGCTTTCTTTTACTTTTGGTTGATTCTCTAACCAACTCAAATACACATACATTTAATCAAATGCTGTAGATAGGCTTGTGAGCAACTGTTGACGATATTCTTCTTGATCTAAAACAAAATGAAATATAAAGATAGAGGCACAGGCACAGGAGCAGGCACAGGAGCAGGCACAGGAGCAGGCACAGATATATCTCTGTATTATAATAATGGCTTTCATAATTATTTCAACTACAATTTGCATATGTGATTTCTATAGCTGTATTCATATGTGGCTTTGGTAAGTTTGATGTCTAGAGCTTAAGTATTCTTTCTATAAAGAATTCCCATATATTTATTTTAAGAACACAAATGGTTACATCTAGTGTCACCTTGTCCTCACAGCAAAGTGACGTATCCTGTTGAGGAGGAGAGCCAATTAATAAATATATATTAATATTATTAATATATTTATATTTATATTTATATATATATTTATATTAAAGTAAAATAAAATAAAATACAGAAACCATAGGGAAGAGAACAAAGGTTAAAAAAAGGGTTTCTCTCGTTTGAACTCTAGCATATCCGCCTCTTTCTCTACTAAAGAATTTTTTCTTAGAAAAAAAAAGAAATGGCAAGTCCAACCTACCTTACCTTACCTTACTCTTCCCCCATCCCAAGTCAAATACTTCTTCTATTGAGATGACCACTCTTCCTTGTCTGAATGTTAACCACAAGAACTCTTCATATAAAAAGAGAAATAAAAATATTAACTAACCAACCAAAACTCCTTTACCCCAGGCTGACCAACTTACCGAGGAACAAATTGCTGAATTCAAGGAGGCGTTCTCCTTATTCGATAAGGATGGAGATGGCACCATCACCACCAAGGAACTCGGTACCGTCATGCGTTCTCTCAATCTCAACCCTACTGAAGCCGAACTTCAGGATATGGTAAGCTCCCTTTTATTATTATAATAATAGGAAGTCAAGTCAAATCAAGTCGAGCCAAGACATTACTATTAGCGCTCAATTTTAAAGAGATGATGATAATAATAACAATATATATTTACTTGTTTATATTTTTGGTTTAGGTCAATGAGGTCGACAGTGATGGCAACGGAACTATCGATTTCAGCGAGTTCTTGACCATGCTCGCTAGGTAAGCTCTTTAAACACATTTAATACACGCGTACACGTATATACACATCTAGATAATTATTCTTTTTACTAACCCACTTTTCTTTTATGATATTTTCTTATAGAAAGATGAAGGACACTGACTCCCAGGAAGAGATCCAGGAGGCCTTCAAGGTGTTTGACAAGGATGGCAACGGTTACATCTCTGCTGCCGAACTTCGTCATGTCATGACTTCTCTTGGTAAATACATTTATACATATATACATATATATATATAAGTCTAAAGAACATTGTGTGTATTAACCTGTTACTGTTTATTTTAATAGGTGAGAAGTTGACTGAAGAAGAAGTCGATGAGATGATTCGTGAGGCTGATGTTGACGGTGATGGTCAGATCAACTATGAAGAGTTTGTCAAGATGATGGTAAGTTTTCTTTATCTTTTTGTTTTGCTTTTTTGACAGCAAGTACAAAATACATCTTGTAACTGAACTAATATGTTCTTTTGTGTGTGTGTGTGTCTGTAGATGTCAAAGTAAACCATTTTTTTTAACAAAAAAAAATGAAAGGAATATGTTCTTGTGTGCGCGTCTAAATTTTTTGTCTGTGTATGTTTTTGCGTGTGCATGTACGTATTTGTGTGTTTTTGTTGTTTGTTTGTGTTTGTGTTTGTGTTTGTGTGTCTACCTCTTCTTCTTTAAATCGAATTCTTTCTCTTCATTTTTTTTCTACCAAGATATCAAATAAATTTCTTTTAAAAACATACAGATATAACTTTACGTGTATGTGTTTGTGGGTATATATATATATATAAGTATTTAACTTGGAAAATGCTTCCATTTAAGCGGTAAAGAAGTGTCTAAATATATAATATTTAAACAGAGGCAATGGAAAAAAAATGCGGGCTTTTTTTTTGTTGGTTGGTTGGTTGGTTCTCTGGACCAAGTGTGTGTGACAAACCGAGGAACCGCGCAGGTTTCCGCGAGTTTCCTTCTAGGCTTGTTTTTTTTTTTTGTTTGGTTACATATTCTTAATAATTTTTGCTTTTTATTGAATAATTAAAATGGATCATTGGTATAGCATTATTATTATTGTTATTAGTGATTGAAATAGTAGTGGTAACAATGGTAGTAACAATAGTTTAATTTGTACTATTACTCTAGTATGTATATATATTCTTTAAGAAAATAAGGATTGATCTTACTGCATATTAAATGTACATAATAAATAAATGGGATTACAGTAGTGTTGAGAGAGAAGGAGAGAGAAATATTGAGGGAGGACATATTCGGCACTCATCTACATATACACACAAGCACACACACACACGCACAAGCATAGGCACAAGTAAATGAATGCATATTTGGGTGTAATGTGTAGAGTGTAGTATGTATTGTGTATGCATGTAAGTAAGTAAGTAAGTAAGTAATTATGTGTGTGTGTGTGTGTGTAGATTGATTATAAAAATACAAAGCATTAAAATAAAAATAAAAGAAAAAGAAATGTGATTAATTAATTGCCAGGTTTCCTGGCTGTCCATATCTTCCACTTCATTGTACACTTTCGCTCCTCAAGTTCCTCCAGTGCTAAAGTGCAAAGGTTGTCATAGTATTCGCTGTCAACACCGAGCTCTATTACCCACCAGAGACGCATCGATTGAAACATGGCTTTGGTTTGTAATTTGTACAAAAATCCTTGCTCTTTTTGTGCTATAATAAATAATATATGAGATTAACCAAAATGTATATATATTTGCACTACTCTTTTTAAAAAAAAAAACAAATAAATAATAATAAACGTACCTTCATCAGCAGGCCATTCTCCAACGGGAACATCTACTTCCACTACTTCAAGATCTACAAATCCAGCTTGTAGTAGCTTGTTGTCCATAGTGTCTAAATAGTCCACGTCTATACATAAGCCTTGTGAAACCTTGCTTATCCAGTCAGTTGCGAGCAAAAGAATAGGTCCAGGATTTGAGAAATTGAAGGCTATTAAAATAAATAAATCAAATTGATTAGTATATAAATACATATTGCTTTTGGTCTGCTTTGTGTGCTCTTTGTGTATACTTCAATGTAAATGTAATATAAATATAAATATAAAAAAATATTTACAATGTTCAACAAATTCAATCTGTCCGTTTGGCTTCAATACCCGATAGATATCTGCCAGTAACCCAGCCCATCGAGCAGCTGGGACAACTGTCGCGACATCTCGTTGGAAGACATAATCAAACGTGCAACTAGAGAACTCCAGTGGTACAAGGATATCGCCATATTGATACTTCACATTCTTTGCTCTTTCTGCCCCATTTAGTTGCCTTATGGACAGTTCTTTTTCATGATGATCAAGGCCGGTATGATTATCGAATTCTTGTACACTTGGCAAGGTATCAATACCAATCACTTTACAGGAAGGAAAGTTTTGGCCAATTTCTAGTGACCACAGACCTGAACCAAATAATAATAATAATAATAATAATAATAATAATAATAATAATAATAATTGAGATAAGATATCAAATACACAAGCACAGAAACACACACACACAAAATAAAGAGAGAGAAAAAGGAATAAAGGATATTTGTAGATCGAGAATTAAAAAAAAATTACCTATACCGCATGCGATCTCTAAAATCTTCTTTGGGTTGGTCAATTTTACTTGTGTGTTGGATCCAAAGGTTTGCTTGAGGACATAGTGCTGTACAAATTATGAGCGATTATGAGCGATTATAATTATAATTGTGATTGCAATTAGAATTGGAATTGGAATTGCAATGGTGTATATCTATGTAATAAGGCTTACTTGACGTGTTTGTCTGTAAAAGTAGAAAGAATTGGATAAACAATGACAGGAACAACAATAAGAACAATAAGAACAATAAAAATTATTATATTAAAATATCATTACCTGTCATATTCTTTCTCTGCTCCGTATTCAAAGAAAAACGGATCTTTTGTGCCAAGACTACTTGCGTTTCTGAGTGCGCGAGTTAGGTACGATAGGTCGATCTCGCCAAAGACAGGGTGGTTTAATATTTGGGGTTCTTCGTCAATGCAATTGGATGTCGAGCCACTTTTAAAAGAGCTGGCTGCTGAGGATTTTGAGGGGCTGTATGAGGGATGATGGGAATGCTTTGGGATATCTGTTGATGGGCTTTTTGTGGGTGACTGTATGGACGTTTCGGATACAAAGCTGTCGAGTTCAGATGGTCTGTTTTCCTTTGTTCGACTCGATTTTGTAGATCTTGCTTGTGACAGAATGCTAGGTAGAATCCTCTTTCGGCGGGTCCGAGGTTTGTCGCTCTTACGAGCGGGTTCTTTACTTAGTTGACTTCCCATCCTAAAATAATGTCGATAGTTCTTGTAATAATGATAATGATAGTAATTATAATTGTAATTGTAATGGTAATGAGAGTAAGAGTAATAGCAGTAAAAGTTAAATAAATAGATAAATAAGTAAATAAATAAAACAAACAAAAGAAAGGCTGTGGCTGTATGAAGTAGCGAGCGACGGGAAATTATTAGATTTAAGTTTTTATTTTATTTTATTTTATTTTATTACTATTACTATTACTATTACTATTACTATTATTATTGATATTACAATTACTACTTTACTATTATACATGTGTAACTTGTTTAGCTGTACATGAAATGCGCTGGTACTACACACCTGACTTTCATGTCTTGATGTAGGACTCAAGAACATGATTGGGATATCAGTCCATTTCATGTTACTAGACATTATAACTATACTGGTTCTTGCAGGTGAATCTTTAGTTGGTGAAATAAGGATATTTTCGCTGACATTAAAACGATGCACTTTTCGCTTTCACTCTGACATTAAAATGTCTTTATATTTATATATATATATGTGTGTGTGTGTGTGTATTACTTTTTGCATTATACTAAAAATAAATGTGTACCTGATCGTGATTTATACTATATTTTATGCCAAGAAATAATCTTGAACAAACTGAGGGGGTATTCAAAGGTTGTTTTTTTTTCTATAATCATTATAATTATCAACATTTAACTGTCACAAGCCACTAGTGTGAAGAAACCCAATGGGTACCGCATATTTAGAAAACCTTCTACTGAAATACATATATATATGTATGCAACTATGATTGTTGAATTAAATGACGCATAGTCTAATAACTTTTTTTTCCTTATAACAAAGCTGCCGTGATTATAATTCAGCTTTGTAGACTAGCGGTTTGAATCACCTAGACACATGCTGTGTTTTGCAGTATCAGAATACAATGATGTGTTCACCAAAGCTATCCCCATTCAGAAAAGAAAAAGAATCTTTAGCTTGAACTAGTAGTAGTGGTGGATCTTTTTCTTCAAGTTCATGGCACAACTATGTTTTCTTGAGAGTGTTTAGAAACCTTTCCAGGCGTTAAAATCAAGTTTATCATTTTCTTTTACCATCAAATACAGGCGAACTGCATATTGACTGTTCTACTGATAGAACTTTTGGTCTTTGTTACTACTTTGGCTATAACATAATTTGCTTCTTGTAAATTTTGGCAATATTTACAATGATTATACTTTTTTCTTCTCTAACGTATACCACATGTAGGCTTCTTATTTTTAATTACATTTGTAAACGTGTGAGTTGCACTGAATTGTCAATGGAAGAAAGAAAGAAAAAGTATTTGCATGAATTTCCAATATGATCACCATTCAAAAGAGCCCTTGAATTTCTTACCAGTTAAATATATTTTAGGAAATATACATATACATAAGGTTAGGGTCGTGACATCCTCTTCTGCGATATATCAATAAAATTTGGCCACTTCTTTAAGCTTGGAAAAAAATTAAAAATGATATAAAATTTATGATTTACTAATATAATATATATGTACAAAAGAAACTTTCTTGAATACCCTCTTTACTAAGAATTAATAGTAATAGTAATAATAAAAAACTAAAATTAAAAATTGAAAAATCAAAAAAAAAAAAAGTCAAATTAAAAATTAAAAAATCAAAAATCAAAAATTAAAAACTAAAAATTAAAAATTATAAAGCTTAAAAAAATAATGTATATGTATAAAGACAATATATAAGTTGAGTATTATGTCTCTCTGGTTCTAGCTTTTGGTTTTGGTTTTACTCTGACTATGTCTCCAGTCTTAGCTTTAACTCTAGATCTAGCTTTGGTTCTAACTCTAGCTCTAGCTCTAGCTCTAGCCCTGGTTCTGGTATTTGAAATATATTATCTTGTACGATTATATGGGAGTACAACCGGAAAATCAAAATCCTGTATTTTTTTTTGTATTATTCTATTCTATTTTATTATATTATATTATATTTTTTTCTTTTCAGTTGATTCAGGACATAGTCCTCGTGGAAAGGTCATTGGAGCAGAAAGGTTCTCCTCTCATTGTGTGTGTATAGTGTATATGTTTATTGTGTCTATTGTGTGTGTGTATTGTCTGTGTGTATTGTATGTACGAGTGTGTACAAGAAAGTCTATTGTTCCCAAGCTATCAATTTATTTATTTTTTACTTTTCCTTTGATAAGAACTTTCTATAATCTCACTAAAATTCAAAATGCCATTTGAATATAGAAATTCACATGAAATGAAGGCAATTAATCATTGTTCTTTCCAATTTCAATTATAATTCTAGTATTTTTTTTTCTTTCATTATTATTAGTATTAATGTTAATATTAATATTACTATTAACATAGCCATTATCACATAATATTCCCTTTATTAATTATTCATTATTGATATATAAAGATAGAGGGTTAGAAAAGTACATAGTTTATTTAGATATTCAAAAAGTAGGTATCTAAATAACTATATATCAATTATGGTTCTTTAGCTTACCGCAAATAGAAAAGAAAAAATAGATGAACAATTTTGAGTTGATCTGTGGCACAGTCGATAGGCTGGCTACAATAAAGGCTACCACGTATCATGGGATGTAAAAAAGAAAAAGAAAAGAAATCTCCCCTCGGAACCCCACTTATAAAGTCAACTTCCAATTTACTGTTATTCTCACGTCTATATTTTACGTATTACCAGTACTGAAGAGCACGCCTTTTAAGCTCTTTCTCTCTCTCTCTCTTATTATATACTATATATTAATTGTTGACTGATCGATTGAAGTGATCATAAACGCATCTGTCAAAATAATAAAATAAGACATGAACACAATTTGTACCTATTTTATATTATAATATATATATACAATGATATTATGGATATCACAAATGATTACTTAATGGTTTCAAAAAAAGAATAAAACGCTTGATAAAGATATAGATAATAAAAATAAATATGTAAAAAAAAAGTATTGCCCTGCGTTGGGTTGCGTTGCTTGCGTGCTTTTTATTGTGTTTTATACTTTACTTTACTTTAATTTCTTTTTTAAGCTTGTTCTTGTTATTTTTATATATCATCATCATCACAAACAAGCTCCTGCCATTCTTCACCCGAATTGGCCTTGAGCTTTTGCAAATGAGCCAAGGTAGCAACAAAGTGGCGACGCACGTACTCCGACAATGGCCCGGTTTGGTCCAATAGTCTCGAAGAACTTGAAGGCAAGGGGTGCTGATCAGGATTATCGACAGATTTTAAGTTGCTTTTAATCAGGTCAATGAGACCATTAAGGTATTTTGCTGTGACCTATTAAAGATAACAATAAAATATAAAAGTAAAAGTAAAATTAATAAAAATTAAAGTAGACAATAGATTACTAATACTGAAAAATATAAAAAATATATATATATATGTATGTATATAAATAAAAGAGAGATAGGTAGGTAGGTAGGAAAGGTCAAGATAGTAAAAGGTGAACAATAGAATGTTCATAATAGGCTCTCCTAGATTTTTCCATGAACGAGAACCCTTTTGTTCGTGGCACACACTACTTGTATCACTTACAGCTTCATTTCCTTTTTCAAAGTAGTACACATAGCGGTTCAGTATCTCAACAAATAGTTCCACATTTGTACCAGAGTGCATGCAACTGTCTGCGATTCGAAGCGCCTTTTGCAGGCACTCGACCGAACGCTTGCCATTGCGGTATAGTTCTTCCTCTTTTTCGGGTGTCAAAACCTCTCCGGGTCTCTCGGTCGTCCACCACAAGTGAGAGGACATATAGACAGCCCGGCATTGGTCAGGTTTCTTTAGCAGCTTGGCACTGTGAATCGCAGCCTTGGTAATCAGGGTATCGTAACTATCGGCCGAAAAGACGCGTGTTTGTTGCAGAGCACCAATAATGCATGTAATGGCCTGGAATTGGGCCCTTGATTCGGAGATAGACTCCTCATAAATTGTGAAGGCCTCTACAAAGAACTCATATGCGATTTCTTCAAAGCCTCCCTCATCTGCACTTTGTCCTGCTATCAAGAACAGGCGAAGACACATGTCTGTACATTCGCATTTGTTGTGAAGAACCGAGATGACTTGGTGAATGAAACGGAATAATGCTGAAGTCTTTTTCTCCCAAATTTCATCCTATATATACATATACATACATACATATATACATACATATATATACAAGCACACACACACACACACACACACACACACACAAAAGAAGTATAAATATATATAGATATATATAAATTATTTTTATTTTTATTTTTATTTTTATTTTTATCTTTATTTATTATTAGTATTGTTATTTGCTATTGTACGATTGAAATAAACCTAATATTTATACAATGTATTGTATGTATTGTATTGTATGTATTTATTTATATATGTATACATTACCTTAACTTCATGGGTCTTGTATCTACGTGCCAACTTGACAGCTGAGATAATAAGGGATGGGAAAGTGTATCGAATACGATCACCGCCTTCGCCCAGTTGCTTTCTTGCTGCCGACAAAAGCTGTATCACATACATATACACATACAAATACACACGTACACACAAGCACAAGCACCAGCACACAAGCACACACACACAGACACACACAAGCACAAGTACATACACAAAGGCATACACATACGCACATACACCCACATGCATAAATAAGTAAATAAATATGTAAGTAAATGCAAGTGACCTCAAAAGTGTCTCTCGATAAAAAAACAACTGTAAAATATATTTAAGAAAAAAATAACAGGCCACTTACCAAAAACTGAGTATCCTCATTATCTGATCGGAACAGATGGACCAACTTAGCAATCCAGCCTTGTTCTTCTGCCAATTCCTCGTCTTCTAAACTGGTAAAAGCCGTCTTGCGATCCATAGAATTTCCATACATGGGAGTTGGAGTAGCAGAAGCCATCGGAGCATCTTTCTGTTCGCGCAATATGACATCGCAAAGGTCCAGGATTCCGTGCACCTCGGCCGGACTGCTGATGATCGTCTCGTCCTTCAGAATACTCAGAACTACCGAGACCGCCACATTCCGTCTGGTCGTGAAAGGCTGTAGGGCCAAAAGGGGCTGGTAGTTGTCAAGAGCCAGCAAGATCAAGACTGAAGTGTGGTGCTTGATGGGTGCCAGCAAGAGTGCAAGTAAGTGGCCCTCGGTCTGCTTGGAGTGAAAGTCTGGAGAGTCGGTGTACTCGTGCACTTTATCTTTGGCATAAGCCAAGATTTGATCGACATAGTCAATCTTCTTGGGGTAGCAGGACAACGAGAGGTTGAGTAAGGACACGAGAAGGGCAGTGAGATCTTGGATTGAAAGATTAGGGCGTGCCTATTATATTAACCAATGCAAACAAGATTAGATTGATTAATTAATAAATAAATAAATAAATAAATAAATAAATAAATAAATAAAATGATCAAAAAGGTATATGAATCTTTCTATTCTTTTTCTTCTTCTTTACCTTTACAAGTTCAACTATCTGGTTCCAGAATACGATAAAGAGCTCGACATTTTCAGGAATACCACGAATCTGTTTGACCTGTTGTACTTGCTCTGTCTGTTGTGCCTGCTCTGATGTTTCAGACTTCTCTGGCTCTTCTGGTGTGGCATCTGGCAACTCATCTGTCAAGAGTTCTGCAGATTCCTTTGATTTCTCCTCCTTTGCATTTTCATCTGCTCCAGTTTCTTTAGACTTTTCTTCTCCTTCTTCAGCAGATTTATTTTCTTTTGCTGGCTCATCTTTTGTGACCGAAATCTGTTCATCGACCTCGGGTTCAATCTCGGCCTCACGAGCAGCATATGCAGCCAAACGATCGATCAAAGCAATGATTATTTGTTTGACATTAACCTTGGGGTGCAATTGAGCAGTACCAGCAAGGAAAGGCTGCAGAGTCTGAAGATGAAACTCATCCGGGAATACCTTTTTTGTATATATATGTATGTATGTAAGGGATTAAAATGCTCAAAGACAAAAAAAAACTTCGTTCCCCTTCCTCCTCTTTACCGTACACTAAATGTAAAAATATTCATTCGCTTGTTTTTACCTGAATTATTACTTCCATTAAGTATTCTTGGGCAATGATATCCCGGCAGCTCACTACTTGATCCAAAATACCAGGCAAGATCAACTAAGAACAAAGAATACCAATAACAGTGATGTTGCGGTATTAAATAAATTGTGGCAATTACTGCATATATATATATATATATATATGTGGGTTTGTGGCCAACCAAAGCTTACCGATTGATAAACACGAAGATCCACACCATCCAACTGACTGAGGCGAACAAGATTTGTACCAACCAAGATACGAAGTTCTTTGCGCTCAGCTTCTCTCTTTTCTCTATCTCTCGAGTGTCCTTGGTGCTGTAAACGGACCCATAATTTGTTCATCTCAGTGAAATTTGTGAGGTTAAAATGAATTGATTCATGGACATTTCCCTCTGGACTATGAAAATAAGCCATGTATCAACAATCAATTCAAATCACTCGACCACATACACACACAAAGAATGGCTTACCCTGAGCTCTCACCAACCGGGAGATAGTCACGAGTCATTCCACTAAGGTAGTGTCTAAGAAAGAGACCGCGTGTGGGGTGTTGGACGCCTCTTGTCATCTCCATCATATCTCTCATGATTTCTCGAACAGGAGCATCTGGCATACCCATATATGCTGCACCCACGGTAATCATCAGGTAAAGACGTGGTACGATATTACCAGCGTATTGGACTAATTCGTACAAGTCCGCCAAATGGTGGCGACCTGCATGATGAGCCTCCATCAAATAGACCGTCAAGTGTCTCAGGGCATCAAAGATTGCCATATCTAATCATACACAGGATTGTTTTAAAATTGAATGAATTAATGAATGAATAAGAGAAGTATGTAAATAAAAACGAAGCAGTAATGATGTAACAGTCAATACAGACGCACACGATTATATATGTATAATATATTATATATATATGTGTGTGTGTGTGTGTGTGTGCGTGTGAATATATGGAAGTAAATAAAATTTTACCTACAAAGTTCATAATAGGTTTTTGGGGTTAGGGCAGAGGTACGCAACTCGGCCAACATATTTGAACAGTGCTTTAAAGCGTCCATAAGCTTATCGTTATCCTATAGCGCGCACTTTTAAGGTTATTTATCCTGGGCAATATGTTTACTTTTATCACCATGATTTTTTTATGGTGTGTATGCATATATTTACACACTATATGTTACTTACAAGACACTTGTTCATCAGATGAGCCTGAATCTTGACAACACTCAAAACCTCATCCAGTATTTTTGGTTGCTCTTCGGCGGGTGCAGGACTGCTAAGGGCCATGCTCATTGTGTTGGTAGTAGTACTGGTTTAAAAAGAGAGAGAGAATCGAGAAATAAATTTATAAAACACAAAGGGGTAGAAAGCTTTCGATTACAGGTCGAAAATATAGGGTATAACTTATAATTTAATATAGATATTAAGTACAGTACAACACAGTATAGTAGAGACAATAACTATATTTATATATAAAGATATATAAAGTATATATCTATCTGTATAGTTAAAGGAAGAAAATAAGTAAAAGAAGTAAAAGAAAGAAAGAGGGAGAAAGAGAGGGAGAAAAATATATTAAAAAAGAAAAAAAAAGTTCTCTCTATCTCTCACTCTATCGTTCACAGGTACATCACACACACACACACACACAGAAAGAGAGAGACTACACGTGACCCATCTCCTTTCATATTTGCTTCACAGAAAAAAAAAACGGGCTTTAGCATTTTTAGGACACGTACAAGTCTAGCCAACATCATGTACGATTTACAGCAACGCGCCAACGTAAGATTCCTTCTTGATGATTAGCATCGAAAAACCTATTAATCAGTGTTATTGTTGCTGATGCTATTGCTGCTATTACTGCTGCTTCTGTTGCTTTCTTTAGGCCGTTCTTTCTTTTGCTGTCACGGCGTTTGCTTGTTTCTTGGGTGTTGTGTCTTTACTGTCGGTCATCAATGGATACGGTCAAGTAGATGGAACCATCACTGTAGACACCAATGTAGTACGAGTGTATGTATAAATGCGATGCATCGTACATTATTATACTTTTGTATTTTTCTTTGTTTCTTTCTAACTTCAAATTATTTAATTTTATTTAGTGTGAATCGCCGTTATGGTCCTGAGCATTATGATTATAGAAACACAAAGAGTGAATTTGCTCGATTGGCCTTTGATATTGATGCTGGTAAGTAATATATGCGCACATATAGATTATATGTATGTTTGCGAAGAAATTGCTATTGGATATAAAAAAAGATTATATATATATATATGTGTGTGTGTGTTTTTTGGGTTGTTTCTTGAAAATATAATTAATACAATACTGATCTACTTTATTAAATCCATTAGATTTTACACCTCTTTTTAACTGGAACACCAAACAGATCTTTGTTACTGTTGTAGCTGAATATGAATCTGCATCGCATGTAAGTACTACTCATATACTTATGTATATATATATGTGAATGGAAATTGAAATGGAGTAACTTTTTATACAAATCTCACGCTAAACTCATTTCATTTTAGAGCAGAAATGCGGTTGTTCTTTGGGATAGAATTATTAGTCGCAAAGACGATGCAAAATTGCTTCTCGAAAATGTACCTAATAAGTATGCTCTTATTGATGTCAGCCAAAAATGGAGGTAAGAAAGAGAAAAGAAAAGAAATAATAGAAGACTGAATGGATTGACAACGAACATTGGAATTTATTTATTTATTTTTTGCTTTATTCCTTGTGGCAGTCATCAACAAGCAAACTTGTCTCTACAGTGGGATATCACTCCTCATGTAGGTATTCTCAAGGCAGGAAGATCCGCTACAACATCAGGAAATTTCGTACTTTCGCCTGTTCAGGAAAAGTCGAAACATTAAAATTACACCCACCCACCCATGGTACACCAACATACATACATGCATATGTAAAAGCGTTTTCCTTTTGTCAGCATCTTATACACACTTATGTTTATATGTATACAAAAACAATCTCTATTGATAGCCCTTGCTTGCTTGCTTTATTTCTTTAATTTATATATGGGAAAAAATGCTAATAGATTGTGGTTGTGGTTGTGGTTGTGGATTTTATTCTTGGCCTTACAATATAAACAAAGTAAATAAATAATTTATACATTGTGTTTTCATATGTCTTTGCTTCTACTTCTTTAAATAAATAGGAAATGAAGCATTTGTATAAAAATAAACAAATCTTTTGAGATTAAGTTGGCTTCTTTTAGATTTATTTGTATGTGTGTATGCAGGGCTCTGACAAGTGATAATAATAATAAACCAATGTCATATTAGCATTGTAAAATTAATTTGACCTCAAATAAACTTTCACTCACAACCACCAAGGTGTCTATGAAAATGAGTGTTAAAGAGTCTGGCCTTTAATCAGGCCCTACCAAGAAAAAACATGTATATTACTTTGACGGAAAATCTCTTAGTTCTTACAAGCTGCTTTTTATAAAGAGGGTTGTCATAGGTGGCTATTCTCTGTGGTATCAACACTCTCCAGTGTAACCTCGATTCTTCAAAAACCCAAAAATTCGGTTTCATATATGTTTATATATACTATAAATTTAATACATCACAGAATACGCCAAAATGTGTTTCTTCAAAGGGTCATGACTATATTCAATTCAATTCAATGAGTCTGGTCTCATTAAAAGATAAAGCTAATAAGGCATTATTCGTATAGCAATTATATGCCCACAGAGATCTAGTACTTTTATTAAACACCCAAATATATATATACGATATACATAGTCTGACAAGATAAGCATTTGTATGAAACTTAAGGACGTTTTCTTTAACATGATTGCACAGCAATTTTTTTAAAATGACACACAGTAAATCTTATATGATTATTGTGGACCAAAAATCTGGGATTTGGTATTGGTTATCTCACCATATCCTATTCTTTTTACCTTTTCTTCATCCCCCCTGTGATACTCTGAGTGTACCAGCTGAAATTCTTTATTTCATTTATAATCAGCCATATGTATATAAATTTCTACTGTAGAAACGATCATACTAATATCAATAAAAGAAAGAGTGGCTTCAGAAAGTAATATGGATCTTAAACAAAAGAAACCGCTTCCTCTTCTCCCTCCCCACATCCATCGAGTCAATCGTACCAAACTCCCCCCCTCACTTACATTTTTTACCGGGCGTGACTCTTTTTTCTGGAGCAATAAATAAATCATTTTCAGGACATTCTCAAAAAAGGCCTTAACCTGTCATTGAAAGCAATGTTGCGAACATCCTCTGCTTCCGCCGCCAGAAGTCTCCAGACAGCATGCAGACCTTCTCTGGTTAGCTTGAGATTCCAGTCTACTGCTGCAGCTGAGGAATCCAAGGCCAGCACTGATGATACCAAGACTGATGCTCCCTCAAAGACCGCCCGCCTCCCTTTGTCAGCTCGTCTGGGTGGTTCTGGTCGTGGCAAGCCTCTAGAGAATGCCGATCCTTTCTCTCTCTTCTTGGCTAATGCCAGACCTGCTCGTACCAACACTGGAAGAGAAGCCAATCGCGGACGTCCTAATAACAACCGTGGACCACGACCACAAAAGCAGGCTGCTCCTGGTCAATTCGACGATGCAGTAGAGTCCAAGCCTAAGAACGGTGAGGCCAGAACAGCCTCTTCTACCGAGACACAATCTAGACCTCCCCGCCAACCTCGCAATAACTACAACAACAACAATAGCAACAACACCACCACCACTAGCAGCGAAGGCAACAATAACGAATCCACAAATGCTCCTAATAACAATCGATTCCGCAACCGTAGCTTCAACGACAGAAAAACTGGTGAAGCAAACAATGGCGATCGTCGATTCAACAACAGCAACAACAATAGAAACAACAACAGATCCAATGATCGTTCCAAGTCCTTTGAAAGTCGCCCTCGTCGTTCAGAAGTCAGTAGCTCACCCGTTCGCCGTGTTGTGACTTTTATCGACAAGGATATCGATTGGGCTTCCTTGAATCCCAATGAGAGTTTGTCAGCACAGCCTGTTATTGAGGGTGAAGTGGATAGCAGTGTGACATTGGGAGAGGCTCAGGGCGATTATGGACGCTACGTTGGTATCGCCAATGAGTTGAAGTGGTCTGACACTGTTAATGTCCCTGCATTGACTACTCTTGTGGGTGGAAATGCTACATACAGTCTCCCCCAAAAGTCTGCTTTCTTGCAAATTGTATCAAAAGCCACCATGGGCGCATAAAAGAAAATAGAATGAAGAAAGAGAGAAAGAGAAAAACAAAATCATTATGGGAAAAAATAATAAAGAACAAACCAAACAAAAAAATAAATAACAAGGAAAAGCTGGGCTCGTTTCGTATATATATTCTGTATTAAAATTAAATTTTGTATCATCTTTTTTTTATTTTTTTATTTTTATTATTATTTCTCTTTATATATATATAAAACAAGGCTTATATTGAATTGAAATATATTAAATTAAAAAACCATGTCTGTAATCATCATTATCATCTAGCCACAACCAATTCAAAATATCACTAAATTTACCCTCACAGTATTACTTCCTTATTCCGCTCATAGGGCATCCAGATGCCTCGTCGCCACCATTGCCATCACTGGTACCCTTTTTCCCTGTAACAGGGCACACTGCAGCACTCTTAATGCCACTCATAGGACACACTGCTGGTATTTCCACCTCCTCTTTAGGTGCCTCATAAAACATGCTCTCCCCGTTTGGTACCTGGACATCTGAGAAATAAGACGCAATATGTTTCTCATCTGCTTCTTCCCAGGAGCTTTCTTGTTTAAGCCATTTCTGGTAGTCTTTTGAATGTCGCCATTGAGTATTCACAGTACGCTCAATCCTGTAGATATCGAGTGAATTCATGTCCTTTATCTTGTCGACTAGGCGGAACATTACCTATATCACCACAATCAAAAGGTATAAGCAGTACAATACATTATAGCGTACCCTTGTGTATTTTAGTATAATAATTTTACCCTTGGAAGTATAGGTGGAAGTTGTTTCCAGTGTTCAAGTATAGACTTGCTCCATTTGTTGTTAATCTTCTGTAGACTTGATTCAAGCTCATCGAATGACTTTGCTGCCTATATACATTATTTCATCGTTTTTTTTTTGGAGAAAAAAGGTGTTAAATTTCTGTAGTTTAGAAACATCAAGACAAATGAATCTATGTTCTTTTTTGTCTGTTTTTTTTTGCACGTTGTCAAGGAATAGGCTCCTGCACTCACCCCAAATATGTCACCTATTTCTCTTTCCCACACTCCCAGTCGATCAGGACCAGAATACACATGTTGCGACAAAAGTGTGATTTGCAAAGCCTTCATAGTATCAGGCAGAGGACAAACTGCCATGCTTTTTGCACTTTCGATAGTTCCTTGGAGCCGTAACTCGGGTACAAACACATCTGCCATACCAAGCCTCAGCAATTCAGGTGCTCTCAAAAGCCCAAGTTCAGGAGGCGACAAAGCTAGGTAAAGTCCTATTCCACTAGGTAGTGGACGAGGCGCTTTGGAAAGACGAGATTGAAAGAACCCAAGGGAAGAAAATGGAGCATGCCCAGGCTTAACACCGATGTCAAGCAATGTGTGTTCGGTAATCACACGAACAAACATGTCGCTCAAGTAGAGATATACCGCGCTGTGAGGTACTTTTCCATTGATAAACCAGACCATTGGCTTTCCTTTCTGGTGAATCTCACGAGAAATACCATGGTAGGCTGTTTCAAGAGAATTTTGAGATGCCTGGAGATCACACGAAGATCTGCTTGCTGTAACTAGATTGTACGTCTCTTCATACGCTAAACCACAGCTGACTACTTTGGTATCCTTGGCACGAAGAGGTGTGCTCTCAGATAATATCTCGTGGGTTGGATTCTCAGCTACGGTAGCCGTAAAAAATATACTTGTCGCCTTGGGGTTCTTTATAGCATCTTGGTATGCTTTTTTGAGCTCATTTAAGCGTCCAACCGTTAAGATATTTTTGCTTTTTGGAGAAGAAAGATTAATGATTGCAGGACCGCCAATAAGATCTGGGGTCTCAGCTGTAATGAAAGAAGCGCAAGATGTTTGCTCTTGAGGAGCGACTAAGAGAGAGAGAGTGAATAAATACACAAGATTTATGAAAATAGATTGACCAAAGAGTAACAATATAATCCAACTATAGACACCTATACTTGCCTTTGCCTTTATTCTTCCATAGGTTAGCAAATGGGCAGGCTGATTGGGATTTGGCCTCGTTTTTTTCTTTCCATGCCAAGTATCCTGCAACATCAACTGGCTCTACATGTCTTTTAAGATTATGAAAGACGAAAACATATCACCCGCCGATTGTTACTTTAAAGAAACAATATGCTTGCAGTACTTGATGCATTTGTGGATGGTACATACAAAATATAATACATTGCCTTGGCTTTAAGAAACTCTTGTTCGATTACTTCTTTATTCCAGTCAGAATGATCTTTTCGTTGGTTTATCCAAGCCTGGACAGAAGCTGGTAGACTTTGCTGATACTTGATATCATTTTCATAGTCGTAGCTATCCATTCGCTCGTAAGCCATCTTCTGATTGTCTTTGCTGGATTCTAGAACTGGTGGGCCCTGTTGTTGTTTCTCATATGCCAAGAATTCTTCGAGCCCAAAAGGTTGTTTAGATCTACAGGAAGAAAATCTACATAAGAATTGCATGCGCGCCAACTTACAAGTCCCCACCCCGTTTTCTATTTATTTTTTCTGGCTTGGCTTGCAGTTTGCCTTTACTCCTTATCCCACATTTACACAAGAATTTTCTAACACGGATTCGTTTCTGTTATACTATAGTATAATAAAAAGGCATAAATTACTTGCCTTGAATAGTAGCTGTGTTTGACTTTCAACAATTCAGATGCCTGAAGAACATCATTACTAGTATTACTATTAATTTTTCCAATGTCTGACTGATCGATAAGGTTTTGTGGCTCAGTTGAATTCATGGCTTGTTGATTAGCTTTGAGATCCTTGGTTGTTGAAACAATATATGCTTGAAATGCTTGATCTTCATTCCAGGGGTAGGTTTTGAAATCCTGAAATGTCTGTTTTTGTAGGGTGGTGAACGTGCTTGTTTGCATGGTTTAAACCTGTAGATCCTGAACTCCGCTCCTCCACACTAGCAAATTCCCTCCCTCTTTCACCCCCTTTATTTTATTTAGGACAACACAGTTTTTTTTTGATAGTGGCGGGAATCCCAAATACCGGGCAAATAGCACATTCTTGAATAATACTTTATATATATATATATATAATTTCTTTCTTTTATATGCGTGTGAATAGAATGGTACTGGTTCAATCAACGTTTCAATTATTTTGCTTGTTCGATTTTTACTGATTATTGAAAGCTATGATTATATGATGATCAAAAGCTATTAACTTTAGATCTGGATAGCGGTTAAAGTCTTTTTCCTTAATCTTCTCATATGATAATTCACTGGGAAATAAGGGACATCCTGTGTGACTGTATTTATTAATTTTAGATCCAAGACAAGAAAAAAGAAAGATTGTAGTAATCAAGCACATATCATTCGCACGGTGATTAGATGGAAGATTTATAGTCTTGTAGATGAACCAGATTATGTTTTTGCATTTATTTATTTATTTATGTGACTTGAAGGAAAATATGGGTAAAAGTTAATGTTAGGTTTGACCTGTTGGTTGTATTTTATTTGTCTAGCAAAGAACACTCGATAACTCCTTATTATTATTTTGTTATGCGTAAAATATATGTATATATATATATATATGTATTTATAAGCCCTCTGCAGGCCACATCCAGCCTAAAGTATCCTTAATCTCACCCTTCTGAATACCACGGTATTCATTGAAGAGCTTGAGGAAACCTTGTCCAATCTCAGTTTGGTTACCAGAACCAATGTTGACTACCTTGTCACCACGGACAATCTTCTTGATTGGTGTGATGACAGCAGCAGTACCGCAAGCAGCCACCTCGGCAAACTTATTCTGCTCGAGCTCACTGAAAAACACCGGGCGCTCTTCGACCTCATAGCCGAGTTTCTTGGCAATATCACATAATGACAGACGAGTAACCGAACGCAGAACTGTGCTGGAGTTGGGGGTCACAAAAGTTTGTTTGCCGGTTTTTGGGTCGGGATGAGTGAGGGCAACAAAGTTGGAAGTCGAGAATTCGTCAATCATGGTACGAGTCTTGGAATCCAAGTGAAGGGTGATGGGGTATCCATTATCCTTGGCGACCTTCATTGGCTTGAAGGTAGGAGCATAGTTACCACCGAGCTTGGTAGCACCAGTACCAAAAGGAGCGGCTAAACAAAGAGAAGTGGTAGGGTAATGGTGATGATAATGATGATGCGTAAGTATGACATTTATTTGTTTATTTTGGATAATAAATATGCCCTGGCCCTTTTTTTTGGTTTATATATATATATATATTAGCCGCGGATAACTTACTTCTGTCAAAGTCTTCAATAACCCAAGCATCGACGGGTACAGCATTGCCCTTGTAAAAGTTACCAACTGGCATGCCAAATACGATAAAGGTAAATTCCTTGGCTGGACCCATTCCAATGAAAGGTCCACTGCCGAACAGAAGGGGGCGCAGGTAAAGAGAACCTCCAGAACTTCCGGGAGGAACGAACTCGAGGTTCTTTGTTACAGCCAAGCGAACACCCTCTTCAAAGAGTTCGATAGGAACCTCGGGCATGTAAGCCATATCTGCACTGCGAATCATACGGGCAGCATTGACTTCAGGTCTGAAAACGCGTACGAGACCTTGGGGGTCGCGGAAGGCTTTTAATCCTTCAAAGCACTGCAAGATATTGTTAAGATAAAATAGATAGAGTTTTAGCTGACAGGCTGATTTCTTGTTTACCTGTTGTCCATAGTTCAATCCAGTGGCACAGATGTGAACCTTTACATAAGGATCCTTTTCAAAGGTAGGCTTACCCCAGCCTTTTCCTTCAGTCCAGACAAACTTTGCGTAGCCGTTGAGATCACGATACTCAAAGCCAAGGTTGTTCCAGTCGATAGCAGTAGTGGGAGGAATCATGGTAAAGAAGAACGATTGAATAAGAAATAAAATAAGAAATAAAATAGACAAGTCCTGCTGCTAAAGTTGGGCTTAATTTGTAGGCGAAGGATGCTAGACCAAAGTTTTTATTATTATTTTAAAACGGCGATTATGAGTCGTACGGCGTCATTGACTCTTTGTATGGCCACAGTGATTTTATATTTTATTTTATAGAGTGTTTAGGCACTCAATTTTTTTTTTTTTTGGTTTGCTTTTTCTCTGGATATGAAATATTATTGGATGAAAATTGAAGTACCGCTTCATCGAAAATGTCAAGCATATAGAAGAACTTGGTGAAACCTCATACTGTATGGTGCTGTGTGTGTGTGTGTGTGTGTTTTTTTTTTAGATCAATTCATATTAATGGATTTGAGCAGATAACCTTTGTTGTCTGCTTATTTGCTGTGAAGGTAAATGTATAGATATAGTATTGTTTAAAGAATAAAAATTGTATATACATATATAGAATCTATAAGAAAAAAGAGAAGTAAAAAAATCCAAATCCAAATCCAAATGCTATGTGTCTATTTGAAATCTATTCTTTTTGATTTCTATATAAAGATTACAGGGTGTGGCGATTAAACTATTTGGTCTTTGAGTAGCATGGCAAGCCCATTTTACATATTTATTTATTTTTATACATGTAAATTCTAAAGGGTAAAATTTACGCTGTTATAATTATGATTACGATCATTATTCTTGTTATTATTGTTATTATTTATAAAATCTATATACATCAAAGTCGATCGTACTAATGTAGAAATGCGATTATGCTTAATGTTTACGTGTAATACAAATACAAGTTTAATAGTTTAATATTAAATATTAAATATTAAATAAGTAAATAAATAAATAAATGCGCACATTTAAGACGTAAAAAAAATACAAAAATACAAAAGAACGAAAAGAAAAGAAAAAAAAACAGAAGAATATATATATTTATATACATTTATATATTTTTTAGAGAAATGGTAAGGCGGAATGCAGATCTTCATTTACTATGAGCGGGGTACTTTACACGAGGAAGGGAGGAGGTCCAATGGAGCCGTCTCAATGATACCTTAAAAATGGGCAACACCGGACATCCCTAAATGGTTAGTAACATGAAGACGCTTTCGGTATTGCGCCCGGTCAATGAGGAAGTACAAATTTGACAGATTGAGAAAGAGCTCAAAGAGATTGTTACATTGTCGGCAGGGAGCAAAGAAGAAGTCTAGGCAGTTTTGGATGAAATTGCTGACATTGAAGGAATGCACAAGGACAAAAAAAAGGGCATGTTTCGTTTAAGGAAACAGGAGGGAAAGAAGGGGTGTGTGTGTAAGAGAGGGGGAGTTGAGAGGGGTCCCTTACTTGCCACACATTGCGCGTTTACTGAAAACATGCAGAAATAGAAAGTCGTTCTTCCTCTTCTACTTGGACTTTTGACTCCTCACCTATTCCAGTATTCCTTTATTCCTTCATTGCAGTAAGATCATCTCATCCAATCTCTTCAAGTTCTGGACCATCACACCCCTCCATTCCTCATTCCACTCCACATTCAACACCTCTTTTTATCATTTTCTTTTATTATCAAACCCTAACCTGTCGCTCTACATTTTTTGTATATATTCAAGATACCAACCAAACCTGGTCCTCCAACAGAAAAAAAATCACTTCATTCCTAGTGCCCTACGGCAACCAATCCTTTTAACACGACGTTCTCACGCCCCCTTGATCGATTTGATCTGTAAGTCTTTGCTTTGAGACAGAGTGTGCAGTTGGGGTTATATGAGATCAACAACAAGACAAGCAGTCGATGGATCTGTGTGTGACAGACAGCATCTGTGTTGCCAATGCTTCTACCATAGCAACTGCCGCTGCTTCTCTTTCGTTTGTTGCCATGGTTGCTTACATCAATGTCACTCCTCTGCCTGTTGTTGCCATACTTCCTCTCGATCTTGCCATCTACGCCTCAAGCAACCCCTCCCGCCTTTACTCTACGAACAATTGATACCCTACATGGACCGTCCTCCTTCTATAGACCCTTCCGAGTGCTCCCTCTGTAGCTGTAGCTGTGCCTCAACCGATGAACATCGATCACTGCCCTCCACAGGCCGCACAACGCCCATCGACCCAATCTGTCCTTCGAAGCGACGAGGAGAGTTGACAATTGCCGAAATGGACGAAGCATGGAAAGCTCGCAAGCAACCCCTGCGTAGACATCATGCCACTCACGAACTTATTCAGACCGAAAGAGACTATGTTCGCGATCTTGGTCACCTTTCAGAGGTAAAAACTCTCTACATTTCTTTATTCTTTCGATTCGATTCCACTTTTATAAATATATACATATATTTCATTGTAGATTTTCTTTGAAATACTTTCTCGGGAGGAATGGATTCCGCATGAACATAAGCGGGTGATTATTCGAAACGCACAAGATATCCTAATTTTCAACAGACGCTTTTTGAAAGCCCTGGAGACATGTCTTGATCAGAGTCTCGATAATAGAAAAACCACATGCGAACTCATTGCCCAAGTCTTTCTGGATATGGTATGCTCGTGTCTATTATGGAAGATGGAACTTTACATGTTCCATTGATGGACCGATAATAATAATAATAACAATAACAATAACAATAACAATGATAATAATAAGCATTAATGTTTGATATTTATTCATTTATTTATTTATTTATTTATCGATCAGGCAGATGATTTTATGGTATATGCTTACTATTGCGACATGCATGCAGAAGCTCTTGCATTGTATGCAGATTATCGCACTCGACCAGAATGGACAATATTCTTAAAGAAATGTTCTCCTGCAGATAGAACTCTGGTACAAGGAAACATTAGCGATTCAGTTGGACCTACAACCATTGCACCTTCAGCAAAGGCACTTCATTTTGAAGACTATCTGATAAAAGTAAGTTTGCTTTATTTCTTTTTTTTGCTTTACTCTACTTTCTTTCTTTATTCATTTTCATCGTAATTTACATTGCAAAATTTTACAAAAAAAATAAAAAAGAAAAAGAAACTTATCATCCCATAAAAAAAACAATAAAAAATAAAATAAAATAAAAAGCCTGTTCAGAGGATATGCCGCTACCCGCTACTTCTCAAAGACCTCGTGCGTTACACCTCTCCACATGCAGAGGAATACTCCCTCTTGAACGATGCCCTTACTGCCATCCAAAACACTGTGGGGGAAATCGATTACCGCAAATACACACGCGATAGTAAAGAACGAACCGAATTATTTGTGCTACGATTGGAGAACGACCGAAGGATAGATAAGCAATTTCTTCCCAAACTAGGAAATTTGATGATTGCAGGTGGTCTTGAAGTAAGCTTTACACCCATGGGCCAAACAGTCTCGAAGACGAAATACCTCGGCTGCTTCTTGTTTCCGACGTACATTATGCTCGTGAGACCTAAAAAATCGACTGTTTACGAACCAAAACATTGGTTTTCATTACGGCAAGCAGTGTTTGAAGACGTTCTAGAAAGCGATGGTAAGTACTGATTTGATACAAACAATAACAATAGCAAGTGATATATATATGCGTACCTCTTGTATCTTAAATGCACTCAAAAAAATGCAAAATATAAACATTAAAAACACAAATAGCAATAGCAATAGCAATAATAACATTTGAAAACAATGCTGATGCTCAATATAAAGAACAACAGGAAAATATGTTTATTATTTACACAAAAGGGCATGTGTTTGCATTCAATGCAAGTTGCTTCCAAGAAAAACAATTGTGGGTCAAAAGAATACGAGAGGCCATGATGTTCACTGATAATCAGGGTGATGCTGTTCCGTCTGATCTGCGCGAAGCTGAGAATTCATTGGACTTCTCTTTTACAGAAAGTTCTCTGCCACCAGCTCAGCATACAATTCGACAGTCGAGATCGTTCACCAACATGCTCGATTTTGCCACCTCCATAAACTACCCCTCGAGCCAAACATCAAAATCAGCTACCACCACTACTTCTACTTCAACAAATGGCATACGACGATCGGTGTCAACTGGAGTACAGCTGTGTGGCGAGACATTCAAAGGAAAAGAGAGACACAATACCTTGACTACCTCTATAAATATTGACACCAGAACAGCTGCACTAGCCAGATCGTATTTCTCGGCAGGCTCTCCAGCCAGCAGAGAAGATTCGTTCAGATCGGAAAGAAGCCAACCTGCTTCGGGTTCAATGACGCCAGAACTCTTGGAAAGTTATGGCACTCATCATAGACGACCTAGTTCTATTGACCTCCTAATGACTTCGAACAATACTACAGCAAACATGATTGGGAAAATGTCTTCTCAAATAAAAAACAATCACAAGCACACGATACGGATGGCAATAGACCACAAATTACGCGACGTGTGTACCCAAGACTATCTTTCTTCTAGAGCATGGCACATGCGCGACAAGGAGCTACTTATGCTCTCCCAATCCCAACCCCAACTCCAATCCCAAACCTCAAATTATGGCCCTCATGGCAACTATCGTAAGCGCAAATCCACTCCTTTTCTACGCCCTCCTCCTTCCAATGGATCTCTTTTATTGGCTCGGAGAGCAAGTGAGGCTGGCCTCATCTCCCGCTCTCTACGCAATTTTGAATACGATGACCAGTCCAACTTTAGTCTCGAAAGCTCAGTAGATGACACAGGCCTAGGACGAAAGCAATCGCATTCAGCCACAACTAATATACGACGACTGTCACAAAACAGCCATATAAGACTTATGACTACCGATTCCACTCGTTATCATTACCCTGTAGAGCAACTGTCGACTATCGAAGGCTCATCCGACCTAGGAATAGAAGACTTTAGTGGATTTTCTCCAGATACCCACAGTACCCAACAAAACCATGACTGGCCCACTATATGCAATGAAAACACCACCCCCTATCAAGACCCACCCGAGCTCCCAACTTCATCTACATATACACCCGCTAAACCAAAAAGCGTTCGCCAAAAGAGGGCCTTTGTTGGAAAGATTTTGGATAAACTTACAGGACATGGCAAGAAAGTAGCTAAGCCTGACAAACCAGATGTCCATTCTTTTCCATTGTCCCGTGCACCAAGTAGGCACAATTCGGATATGCAGCCATACTCTAATCGAGAGGCAAGTGTGATTTTATTGCTTTATTGTATTGTTGGACTGACACTGACATTATCATGACATGACATGACATGAATTTGTTCTAAATATTTTTTTGGTAACACTTAGCTGGCTGAGATTTCTCATAGGATATCTGTATCCGATCCAGTCCTTCCACTATCGCCAGATGAACACAACCCCACACAATCCAATAGAGAATTACATCCCAAGTTAAAACACAAGCGCTCGTTTTTTGGGCGTATTAAAAAAGAACAACAAAAAGCACCTACAAATCTACCCAATATTATACCCCAATCCAGTCCTAATATTCCTCTTTCTACTGCATTTGCTTATGCGTCAACTCCAGCCCAACCTCAAAAATTGGGATGGAAGAAGAAGCTTAGTGCGATGCGTCAACCTCACTCTACTTAAATTATACATAGACATAATATAAATATAACATAATACATTATAACGTAATAGGTATACAATAGATAATACGGCCTTTTGTTCTTGATTTTCATTTACTTATTTATTTACTATTCTTACATAAAAATCTCATTGGTATTTCATTTTGAATTTTATTATGGTCGTGCAAAACTACTTTGAGATATTTGCAGGAGTATACACAAATGTGCTTTAGGGTAATAAAAGAATATCATTGAATAAGGAGGTGATCTGCAATAATAATCGACAGAAAAGATCCTCTGGTGAATACCAGCTTCAAGTGGGTGCACTACTATTTAGTAACTTTTGGATACTTTAATATCTATGTATACAAATGTGTTGCAAATGTGTACAAAAAAGGAGACCAAGAAGTCAAAAAGCCTAAGTAAATAGATATATAAAACAAAAAAGGCCATTGGTTTTTTAGCTGCATAACATAATACAATATCCAGTCATCTTTAGGCGTATCGCATTAGCTTTGACTTACTCCTGCTTTTTCTTACCTTATTTTTTCAACTTCCTTATTTTTCTCTTTATTTTCACTTTCTTATGTATTTATTTATTTGTTTATTTGTTTCCTGCACTAGTACTGCATAGTACTTGACTGCAGTATATCTCTCTCTCTCTTTATATATATATATATATATATATATATATATATATATATTTATATACATTTTCTATAGGCGCGTGTCCTTTGTTTTATTTTATCCTAGTTGGTCTAGACATGTTTCGCCAACTCACATATATTACAAGGCGGACCAATTCTTCTATCAAACATGCCAATACCACCAACACGGCTACGTATCTCTATCCAGAAACCATAAAATCTAACTCTGGTCAACCATTTGATATCTGGTTAGCAGAAGCACATCATGGTTTGGTAGGCATGTTTACATATATACTGAATATCATTAAGCTTCTGAAATCTCGCCTTATCCTTTATATTTTGTCTTTTTGCTTTTGCTTTTGCTTTGCTTTGCTTTGCTTATTTGTTTATTTGTGTGTTTATATATTTTCTTTGTTTATATTTATTAATGTAGGACGCCTTTTTGGATGATCAGATTAATGATGCTCAGGCTATATTTCAACAAAGCGCTGCAGAATCATCTTTTCACGCAGTTGGATGTGCTTTTATAGCTTATATTGAAGCAATATCGACGCTAGAGCCTGAAAAGATTCAATTAGCTCTCTATCAAATATCATCTGCCGAGTGTCTCGTAAAACAATCTGCAAAGGATGTCCACAAACAATCTTCAAAGCCTACTACAGTTCAAAAGGGAAACTTTGTGCCAGTCTATGCAGAAAATGGGCCAGAAGAACCGGTCTGTATCTCATTCTCATCGCCTGGCGTAACTCCATCTTCTTCCAGTAGCACTCTTGGCGATATTGATGACACCATTGCCGTCAACAACAATCGCTTGCCAAACCCAGGTCAGTCAACATATAGCTCGCCGTTCAAACCTGACCAGGCTGCCAGTATCCAGCACAAGCTCCTAGAGCTTAACTGTATGCTTATGTACGCAACATTGCAGCTCTTGCGAGATAACTGGGTCGGGTATATCAAGTCGGCCTACAAGCTGCGTACAGCATACAAGACTTATGAACATCTTTTTCATCTCATCACCGGTCTTAAACCAAGAGAATACGCAAGCCGTCTTCAAAAGACGGGAGAGACTCCATCAGATCACTCGAACCCTCAATCTACTCTTTCGGAACGTCACTGCACATCATGTATGTTGTCCGCCCTATCAGATTCTACAGACAGCTCTTTGTGTACAAAGACTTCAATGATTGGCGCTATGCCCTGCACACATCCCAGGTTACCTAGTCGCTCTTGCACGCTTCCTTCTCTAAGCACTACAGGATCTGTGCAGGGAAATAGCGGTTTTGGGAAACGCAGCAGTGTATTTAGCTTGTATTCATTTCGAGATGTAGAACGTGTACGTATCAAAAATTGCGAAGGATATATTGACCCCTTATTTCGTCAATCGCCACTCAGCCAAAGTTCACACCACTACCACAATCACAATCACAATCACAATCACAAAAAGACAAACCAAGCTGAGAATCAAGACAGTGTGGATCCAACCCAGGCAGACTCCATGATCAAAAGTGGAATTTTTTTTGGAATTGGTGCCTTTAGCTTGATATTTTCACTTCTTCCACCGAAAGGTAAGCCAATTAAAGAAAGAAGGAAATTGCGGCAAGGTAGCTCCTTTTTCCTCTCCTCTCTCCCTTTTTTAAAAGAGATAGGTAAAGCATACTAATAGATAATTTCACGTTTCTTATGGAACCCTTTTTTTTTAAAAAATAAATAAAATTAAATTGAATTGTAGTGAGCAGAGTCTTGAATACACTAGGCTTCCATTCCTCTAGAGTTTTTGCTATCGATGTGTTACAACAGTCTTACGAGACTAAAGGACTCTATGGTGATTTATCCGGCTTCTTTGTTCTTTCTTATTATTCAAGTCTGTCTTTCTTTGGCCATAATCGACTTTTGCCACATTCTCTGAAATCAGAGGATACACGAAACATGCTTGATCAATTAAAAGAAAAACATCCACGTGGAAAACTGTGGGATCTTTTGGACGGTAGGATGGTAAGAATGGAAGGAAATACCGAAAAGAGCGTTGACCTTCTCAGAGACGCTCGACGAAGAAACTGTGCTTGGTACACAGCGGGTACACCTGGGAAGAATAAGATAGACAAGTGGTATGGATTTGACTTTGGCCTGAGCGCAACGGATAAAAATATGCAGCACGGGGCGACGATCAGTGATTTTGGACAATTTCAGATGCTGGCGATACATGAAATGGGATGGTAGGCTCACTATTTTTTTAAGAAAATTTTATCAGCACACACAAATAAGGATCTCCTAGTTCGGAAAAAATGATCTACGTTTTGGGCTTTTTTATCTGGGGATATTCTTTATTTCCCTGATCTTATTCTTCCTTTGTACATGATTATTATTATTATTATTATTATTATTATTATTATTATTATTATTATTATTATTTTAGGGGCCAGATATTTCTAGGGAACCATTTTCAAGCATCCGAGACCTTTTTCCGGCTAGAGACTATGAACCTTGGCTCAAGCATATTCTATCATTATATTGCTTCATGTTGCATGTTCGCTGATGGATCATACGATAAGGCTGCCCTGGAGTTTCAGCAGATACCCAGCCTAATTGAACAGAAGCGGCGTGGCGGTAGAAAAGTGTTGCGCAAGGAGCGATTTTCTGAGCGTAGAATAGAGCGTTGGATAGAAAGGGCACAGGAAATGGAGCCTAGGTCGATCCTAAATGGGACTTCTCTCCGACGAGCTGTATTTCTAGAGCCTCTTTGGGAACTTATCTACCTTTGGAACGGGTTTTCGTTACTCAAACCAGCTGCACTCACGGCATTGTACAATTGTATGGAGACATGCATGGTGCGACACCAGAAAATCTTGACACTATCCGAAATTGCATTATTATACTTGATGTTGGGTGTAGTGACCCGAGAATTGGGTAATTACAACTATGCAGAAGATTGTCTCCGAAAATCAATAGCACTCGAAACCAAGTTGACAGAAGATCGCTGGGTGATCTCATTCTCTTACTATGAAAGTGCCATCCTTTACTGCCTTCGAGATAATATCGCAAAGGATAATCAAACCATAGACGGAACAGAACTTATTCGAATCCTCCATTGCCGCTCTATTGCTCCTCTGACAGAAAAGGACTCTTCCGGATCTAAGATGTCGGGTCAAGAAGGGATCGATTGGGGAACCAGGCTTCATATTCGCTGGCAGCTGCTACTCGAAAGACTAGAACGATCTTAACTGTAAATGCCTTGAGCAGGAGGAGGAGGAGGAGAATGATGACGATGATAAAGAGGAGGAGAAGGAAGGAGACATGACTACAATAGTATTAATATTATTTATTATTTATTTATTTATTTATTTATTTTTCACAAAGACTGTACTATTCCTGTAAGTGAGATGACAAGGGTAAATTTTGTACATTTGTATTCTGCTCCATTACTTTAATGACACATTTAAAACATGTACACAACTTTTCTGTAGATTCTATGTTTAAATATTATGTACTTCTTTCCTTCTTTTCTTCTTTTCTTCTTTTCTTCTTTTACCCCTCCAAATAGCCAAGACAATTGGTCTTGGGTGTCTTGACAGTTTTGTCTTGTAGAGCTATTAATAATAAGAACAGTAATATTTTAATCTTATCATGTATAAATCTTGAGTTAAATAAATTGTCGAATATGTATTGGTAGCAAACAATACAAGATTTGACGCTGAGTAATTTGATAGTTTCATGACCGGCATACAAGCCGAAATTCAATGATTAATTATTATTTTTATTAGAGTAATAGATGGACTGAAAGGATAATTATATAATAATTTCTATATACAAGCTCCACAAGCACAAACATACAAATCAATGTACCTTGATGTCATTTAAAGGGTATATGAAAATTGCGTTTTATTAGGACCAAAATCTAGACCATTTGATATTTTGATATTTTAAACCATCTTGATGATGTTGACAAAACAGAAAAAAAAAATTAATATAAAATCACATTCCATTCCATTCGACTTTGACCTATTTCCTCACTTCTCACTAATGCAATCATTCATCTCTGCCTCATCCAAATGCTACGAAACATACGAAAACTACAATCTACGACAAGAAGTCGCACTCTACAAGGCCAGACGTGAGTACGCTCGCCAGATTTTAAAATATACGGCAGGTCAGCTGCAACTCCTTCATGCTACCACACAAAAGTCAACATAAACACCCACCTTCCAAAGTACATCTTTACCGAGCTGGTCTATCTTCTCTGGTCCAAGTCCAAAAAAAATATATAATAATAATAATCATAATCATAATACTCTAAATATCTCTTTTTGGATCCGCCAGGCCAAATCTTTGCGCATTTACTTCATCTTAATAGCTTGCTTTTTCTCAAGAAATACTTGTCTAAACACTACTTTATATATATACATTAGACAAGCTACACTGTATTTCTTGCTCAATATACATTTATAATCTATCCTTCTTCTTTATTAATAAAGCAAGTAATACCCATACCTATACCTATACATAAATAAATAAATAAAGTCTTTTGATAAATATATGTATCTGTACCCTTGAGAACGTCTTTTTATTTATTTTATTTTATTTGTGTTGGAAACACCTTGGGCATAGTCTAATCTGACAGCTGCTTTCTTATTAGCTGTGTCAACTACTTTTTATTTTTATCTTCTATCCTATCTGCTTTCCTTTTGTTTTTCCTCCCTCGATCTCTTCTTTCAAGTCGGTTGTAATTTGAATAAATAAGTCATCCCTGAGTTTGTGGGATAAGCGTGTAACCACTTGTATTTTAGTTAAATCTATGACAAAGAATAAAGGGCTATAAAGAAATCGACTCATTACTATCACAAGATTATTCTTTTTCGGCTACAGGCCCTCTACTACAGGTATCGCTTCATATTTATGCTTGAATTGAGGTAATTGGACAAAGCAGAATTAAGAGTTTTTGGTATATATATGTGTATTAAAAGTAATTCATGCCCTTGATAGAACCAAATCATATTAGTAATCCATTCGAACGATAGTAATAATGGATATATGTCTGGCTTACTATTGAGGTTGTCGAAAATGGTGTCCAGAATCTTTGTGATGGGGAGTTTGCATCGTTTTGCCCTAGTAATATTTACATAATAAATGCGAAATTAGCATCTTGTATTTAACCATTAATCCTAATTCGCCCTCCAAAAAAGAAAAATGAGGGAGAAATTTGTTGTTTAAATAGGTAATAGGAACTATTATTCCTTACATGCATTATCAAGCTTCGTATCTTGGTTTTGAATCATCCTATTTTGAAGATGGGAATTTATATTGACCAAAGAGGTGTTTTCTTCTAAACATAGCTTTCCTGGTATTCGAACGCAGTCCTCTTTACTATTATTATTATTATTTTTTGAATCCTTCCAAGTCAAGTTACTTGATCATATATTATTATCTTTGGCTATTCGACCATAAATACTGCCCTGTAATGAGTAAAGCTGGATCGAGGCCTTTCGTTTGCTTGGAAATGAGCGCATCAAAAAAATTGTTACTTTTATTTTATTTTATTTTATTTTAGTTATTACGTTGTTCCTTATGTTTCATAACTACTCCATCTAACCTTAGGTATATGTTTTACAGAAAATACCTTGTGAAAAATATTCTGTTTGTTTTGTTGATAGATTATTGGATCTCTCGTCATATTTCTGGTCTTACTATTAGTATTAGTATTATTATTATTTTGATCACGAGAACTAACAAGTTACAAGACATTGTTCCATCTAAACTTGAAACTCATTTTAGGAAACCCTTCTTTCTGTTTAAAGAAGAGTCGAGGCATTCAAAATATACAATATACTACGAGTGAAAACGTCATGTACAACGAAGAAAATGATAAAACCATCAATTCTAATAATCTCAAAAATAAAGGTAAAAATACAATACAGTACAATACAATATTTTGAATTCTAATAGAATATAATCCCAAACTCGCCTAGAAAGAATGCGCATAAGAAAAAAGAAAACAGCGTATTTGATCTACAAAGCACCATCAAATAATCGTACTTGTTTTTTTTGGTTTTTTTGGTTTTTAAGCAGCCTGATGTAAAGATGACTATTTTACAATCTCTTGTCCACCCTTGATTGTTCTCTTCTGCGTTCCTTTATTTTTATTTTATTTATTTTTTACACAAGTATTTATTATTATTATTATTATTATTATTATCTTTATTATTATCTTACACGATGTCAGTAATAAGTTTACTACAGACATCTAGGAATGGGTAAATACTCAATACATGCTCATTGTCGACGTCCCTGTTATTTAATTTCCATCCGGGTGGGTGAGCTGCTCTGTCAGCACGTAACTGCTTTGTTTCTGAATCTTCGTCATTCGGTGATGAGAACTGTAGATCACCCAATACCTGGGTATTCTTGAGGACCATGCCTTCAAACACAGAAAATGGATAATCGAGCTTAGGATCTGTCCCTGTGTCAGATTCAGAATTGCTTGACTTTTTATCACCAAAGACCGAGGTTCCGACATTTTTGAAATCGACGAGGTAACTGTTGTTGTCTAGCTTATAGAGCTGAAGGTCAAATTTAACGATAAGGTTGACAAATTCATATTGGTAACGACATCGCAAATGATATGGATCTAAGTTTCTCCAAGTCTACATTGTGAATATATATATAAATAAATTTAGTTTGGTTTGGTTTGTGAATCTAGTTGTACAAAAATCTACAGCTACAAATCTCACCATCCCAACATTCTGAAGAGATCTATAAATCTCGATCATGACTTCCCAGGCTGGGCACTTACTACGGATACCAAAATGCCATTTCTGACGAGGTTTGTGTGGTCGCTTTTGGACAAGCTGATGTGTTGAAAGATGCCGTGAATGTTGTGAAGCTCTTCCTGCAGGAAGCGATGAAGGTGCCATGACACCGGGTGGTGGTGTCCCAGAAATTGGCAGTATAGGCTGTGCATTACTGACATAATCTCGAGAATGTCGATCTTTAACTATAGCCATGCTACAAAGTTACTTTCTTTTTTTGGTCCTAAGGTCTGCTATTTTTAGTCTTACGGTGTATATTCATTTCAGACTTTGGTAAACTTGAACTAAGCACGGAGATAGATGATGCTGAATCTGTATTGCTGTCATCATCTCGGGCTTCGCTTTTGCTCTAAAATTCTCTATGAGCTGGATATCCAATTTACAGACAATAACCTTTGCATACTTACTTCAAATGATATATTCCATGGTGGTGGAGAAGTGGCAAAAAAGCTTTGTACATTACTGTGTTCAGCTACGTAACAAGTATAAGTATCCCCCTTTTTTTTCTTGGTTGGCTGGTAGGTAGGTAGATGTGATAAGAGTTACTTACAATCTTTCAGCATTCGTTTGTGATCAAGCACTAACTGATAAGCCACTTTAAATTGATTGTTATCTGAACCATTTAAAGCTTTCTGGATTGCTTCTTTTGTATAACCCATCCTCTATCAAACCAACATACATTGAGTTACTTGCTTTATAAAAGATTTATTAAGAGCACCCTCTCTCTCTCTCTCTTTACCTTTGACATCTCAGATACAAGCTCTTCATCTATAGGCTGACACCTGTCTTCTTCTGTTGTTGGAAGGGGCTGAAGATAATCTGGAAGATTTTTAAGGAACCAGGGGTTTTGCCTATCGTCAAGATATATTGGTCTTTGTCCTTTTTGTGTATAGATATATATCTTGCTAAAATACAGATTCATTTCTATTTTTTTACCGGATTTCTGCAATCGTGATACGCTTCATGGGGTCTACAACCAGCATAGACGTCAGTAGATATTTTGTCTCTGGACTAAGGAAGGAAGGCATTGTATAAATTCCGCCTGGTGATGATAATATAGTATTAGAAAATGACGATAGTATACAGCAGAGTGTAGCATAAATACCGTTGATCTTCTTGAACAGTGTGGGGATATACTCATCGTCAAACGGAAGTCTTCCACATAGCATTACATAGAGAATGACTCCACAACTCCAAACATCTACTTCAGGACCTGCGTAAAGTCTTGTTTAACGCGAACAAATGTATTGGATAAGTTTACCGAATAGATTATGTATAACTCAGCACTTACTTTCCCGAGATAACCTCTGGCTAATTGAATTCAATAATAAATGGACCAAAATAACATTAGTGATGATCAAAGCACATGTATATATGCATGTATACATATATGCTATATCTTTCAACCTACTGCTGCATAATTAGGACTGCCACAACTAGTCTTTAGAAAATCACCATCTGTCATGATATTGGATAAACCAAAATCGGCGATTTTGACGTTATTATTGGCATCCAGTAATAAGCTACAAAGCGGGTAATCAATAAGTGTTCTTTTTGCATGTGAAATCTCCCACTTACTTTTCTGGTTTCAAATCTCTGTCAGGCAAAACAATGTTGAGTATGATTTATACATGTGTGTTTATATATATATATATGTGTATGTGTGTGTATGTATGTGTGTATTTTAACAAGTAATATACATTAAAAAGAAAATGTAACTCTCCCCTTCCCTATAAGCTCTTCTTTTTTTTACCTGTGAACGATTTTGTGCCTGTGACAATATTCGACTGCACATATTATTTGTTGAAAGAACTGCCGAGCATCGTCTTCGGCCATCTACGTCAGAAAAAGAAAGAGAATAGAAAGAGAGAGAAAGGAGAAATAAACGAGGGAATGGGTAATGAGTTTGACTTGTGCCTTGCGCAAAATTGAGTCTACTTACTCGCCCTTTCTCTACAATATAATTGAATAGCTCTCTTCCTGCATATTCAATAACCATGATGATGTCGGTGGGTGTGGTAATGACTTCATATCTAATACAAAGAATTCTGTCACTCAATCTTCCCAGACTTTGGGGTAAGCTAGATTTACTTACAATTTGATGATATGCGGATGGCGCAGGAGTTTTAGATATTGAATCTCGCGTTTGACTCTTCCTCCCATATCCATGCTGGCAATCTTTTTCCGATTGATGATCTTCATTGCCACCTTTTGGCCAGTTGAGGCATGAACTGCCACTTTGAGTGTAAAAAAAAAGGATAAGCAAATTGTAGTATAGAGAGAAATAGAGACGGATAGGTGTGGGTGTGCGTCGCTTGCGTTGTATATGGAGAACATACACTTTACTTTTCCAAACGACCCGGTGCCGATGGTTTTGATGATGTTGTATTGGCCTATTCGGATTCTAGTGTTGTTGGAAGACATGATTAATGTATGGGTGCATTCTCCAGGCGGGGCTCCTCTTAAAAATATCGAAACCAAAAATAAAATTGCTATGTACACCTCCCATCTGTTCTAAAGGGTGAAACGTCACTGCACAACTGGTGCAGAACAGCAGGAACTCTTTGGTCTTGGGATCCACAGACTTCTTTTTTGGAATAAAAACGATTTTTTATAGATAAATATTAAATTAAAACATCTCCAAAATATTACGTTTGAACTCCAAAGTATATTTGATCTCTTGGTGGGGTACAATTTATTATCCATAAATTTAAAGCGATTGTTGTTTAGAGACCGAAAGCAATTATCATATAAACAGTATATTTATATACATGTATTTATTTATTTATTTATGAATGTGTGTATACATATATATCTTGATCTAGATACTTTACTCAGGAGGAGAGATTGATTTCCATACATATTTGGTGAGGTATTGAGCAGAGTAGCCTTTCATGGGATATGTGTAAACGCGGCTCTGATCGTCAGAAGCTAAATGGTCCAGGAGATAAGGCTATAACACCTCTTGCATATATTAGTATAAACTTACTTAATTGAACGCCGGTTATTGTCCCATCTTTTTTCATCATTGTCTGTACACCAAGACCCCGATAAATTCCAAGACCAAGTCTAGTTTTTTAAAATATATAATATATAATATATAATGATGAGCAATCAGAATTTTTGATCTTACACAAACAAACTTACGCTTCTATATCCAATTCATTTGTAGCTTCAACGGTTTTGTTAAGCTCTTCGAGCTCTTTCTCTAGCAATTTCTTCTCGTTCTCCATTTCTTCATACTCTCTTTCAGTATCTGAGAACTTGTTTTTCCAATTGTCTTTTTCAATCTTCTTTTCAAGTACTGTGCAGGATTTAACTACTGCGTCGAATTCTTGTTTCAATTCCTCTTCTTGTTGTATTAAGCTCTCAAGTTCATATTCATCGTCTATTAAAGACATTAGCTCAGCATGTACATTAGAATCTAATTCACCACAGTTAATTTACCCCTTAAGCAATCATCCATGATTTTCTTTCGAGCATCAAGCTGTTCTGTGGCATCGTGTGCATAAATTCTTCCATCTGCAGCCTTTTTTTCAATGGTTGTAGCATTCAACTTTTCCATCCCTCTATCGATTTCATCAAGTAGATCTTCAAGCTTCTCATGGGTAGACATTCTATATTATTATTATTTTGGTTTGACTCTATTAAAACACAATCTAACTTTCTTTTTTTTAACATTGAAAAGTGTTCCACATTTGCAAATTGACGTAACACAAATAAGAAGTTGCAAGTCACAAAGAAGTGTGTCTGTGCAGGACTCCTTTAAAAAAAAAGAAGGACTTTATGAAGTAATAAATATCCAAAGTAAATACGGGGTATTAGTTATTATTTAGGCGAATTGGATTAAATTTGAGTTGAGCCGGATACACTTCCTTATTCTATTATTTATCTAATTTTATTTTATTTATTAGTTCTGTTAAAAAAAAATTAGATGAATCAGAAACGTTGAATTAATAGTCTTGAGAAACACAGGTCTTCAAAGCATCAAACTATAGTAGTAGAAAATAAGTAGGTATATATTCTAAATTTCTATACTTGTATAATATTATAAGAAAGCTTCCTCGTTCCTTTAGAAAACAGAATAATACGGACAACAATGCAAGAAAGACCAGAAGCTGACGGTCACAGCAGCAGTCAAGCCACCAAGCCGCTCTACGAAAAAAAAAAGGTAAAACTTAAGTTAATCGCTTTACACTGCCACGATCTACTAGAAAATGTCTACTGAACAGGAACAAGTTCAAGTTCGTTTTGTCACCAAGCAAGAAAAATACGCCATCAGCGATGCAGCAATTCTCGTACCTGCAAACTTCAAGCGTTATGGTCTCTCTGAGATCGTGAACAACTTACTTAACCATGGTGCGCAAAATAAAGAGAGAGAGAAAAAAATAAGCTTACAAATATCGAATTTTCTCCCCCTTACTTTTCATCGATCCTTGTTACTTAAATTTACCCTTTTTTTTTCTTTAGAAAAACCTACTCCTTTTGACTTCTTGATCGATGGCGAAATCCTCCGCACCAGCATTGCTGATTACCTCTTCAGCAAAAGTCTCTCAACTGTAAGAAAGAAAGAACGAAAAGAACAAGAGCAACGGACGAAAAAAAAAGCTCAACTAGTTTGAAAATCAATACTAAGATTACTTTGTAAATACTCTTCGTTTCTGGCTTTTTTTTTTCTTTTGTACAGGAAAATATTATTACCATTGAGTATGTCGAGTCCATGCTTCCTCCTACACCTCTTACAGCTTACCAGCACGATGACTGGATTAGCTCAGTAAAAGGTCGCAATGGGTAAGGCACAGTTGATTGTTGATGCGAAACAACATAGCCCTCAATGAAGAATGATATTATATAGTCTGTTCTTAACCGGATCCTACGACAACAACGTACGACTTTGGAATACTTCGGGTGAATGCATTGCCACCTTGACTGGACATTCCGACTCGGTCAAGAGTGTCGCATTTGGATCTGTTGATAGTAAGTAGAAGAGAGAATTCCGTTCAAAATGAAAAGATATATGTGTGTGTGTTTGTACGTATTGGAGATACTTAGGTAACAGCTTTATCTTTATCTTTTCTTCTTTAGATTCTCTCGTTCACGCATACTCCGGATCTCTCGATTACAGCTTGCTCGGATGGGAGGTTAGTAGACTTTATTCCATTTTATTCTGGGGGATAGTTTGACAGAATGCTTGGGCAGTAGAACTAATGAACTGGAATCTTGCTAGTACTCTACTGAAAACGACACATCGCGCATTCGTTACGAGTGCAAGGGACACAAAGCTGCTATTGAGTCCGTAGCCGTCGATTCCACCAACACATATGTAAGGTTTGAAATAGTTGTTACACTAAAATAATATATATATAAACAACAAGTTCTGAACAATTCATCTATAGATTGCATCTGCATCTGCAGACAGCACTATCAAGGTTTGGTTAGCAGTAGAGCCAGTGGAAGATGAGCCTGCTTTGGAGGAGTCTGCACCAAAGAAGAGAAAGAAGACTGAAAAGAAGAGCGATAGAAAGATTAAGGTACAGGGTGTAATTGACAAAATAAGTTTTTGGACTGTAAAATATTTATGCTATTATTTCTTGACAGACTAGAGCTATGACACTTGAGGGACATGTCGGCTCCGTGAATTCTGTCGTATTCGATGGTAATGATTCAAACATTGTATACAGTGCAGGCTGGGATCATTCTATTCGTTCATGGGATGTTGAGCAGCAGGTTAACTTGGTTACAAAGGTAAGAGAGGATAAGAAGAAGAAGGCAAAAAAGATATCTATATATTGGATCGCCGTGTAATTTAAGATTTTAATGCGATTTGCTTTGTTTTGTTTGGAAAATAGAACTGTGAAAAGGTCGTATTGGATGTAGACTACTCTTCCCACTCAAAGTTGGCTGCCACCGGTCATGCTGATAACATCATTCGTTTATGGGATCCTCGGTCAGACGGTAAGAACGCCTGTCTTTTTGTATTTTATTTTATTTTATTGGTTGTTGAAATCATAGTTTGTTTGTTTCGATGAGGAGGATAAAGAGACTTAAATATCGTTTAATACTTTTTCTAGACGGAACAAATGTCAAATTGGCACTTCGTGGCCACTCTGCCTGGGTATCATCAGTATCTTGGTCCTCTACCTCCGAGTACACACTTTGCTCCGGTTCTTATGATTCCACTGTGCGTATCTGGGATATCAGAAGCAAGGGCCCTCTTTACACTATTGAGGCTGAAGACCCTTCAAAGAAAGAGAAGGTGTTTAGTGTTCATTGGGATGGTGAGAGAGTATTGAGTGGTGGTGAGGATAAGAAGCTTAGATTATATCAGGCCAAGGTATAGAGGCTATTAAGAAAAATAAAATATGAACTTGCATGTACTTTAAATATTACCCAATTTATGTACACTTTTTGAGAAGACTAAGAAAGTACAAAAATACTGTATTTGTACCATTTGAACAACCCTATTATTATACAATAAATACTTGCTAGCTCATACAGATTTATATATATATATATATATCTTATTATTTAGTAAATATACACCTTTTTACTGTTAAATGTTGTAATAAATTAATATAAAAATACAAGTATCAAATACATACAAGACATCCATTCTTTATAATATTCAGATAAATATTATTTTTTCAAACCGCTTTTGAATAATATACCCTTATTGAAAATAAATAAGTAAAAGGCTTATTTATCTTCCCTTTCTAATACAATTAGCTAAATTATAATTCTGCTTAGAGTCTGTTGTTATTGATCTGGTTTTTTCTTCCAATACTATAAAGCAGACAATATTAATAAACCACACTGAGAATCATAAACGAGAATAAATAAAATTTAAAGTAAAATAGAATGATAGATAAAGTTTATCAAATAAAACATTGTTTTATTTTATATATCTTCTAAACATACTCAAGTGTTATAATTTTTAGTTTTCGCTTCTATTCAACTTCTTTTGAAAACAAAAGGAAATCACTTCTCCCGTCATCCTCAAAAGAAAAAATGTGTAAAGGGTATCTTGATTGGCTAACAAAAATTCAGGCAGAACAATTCAGAAAAAATACAAAATATTGTAGCTGAAGGAGGTTTCGATCCTCCGACCTTTGGGTTATGGGCCCAACGCGCTTCCTCTGCGCTATTCAGCTCTGATATATTAATTACGATTATTAGTTTTAATATGAGCTTTAAAAATTAAAACAAGTTCACGCCGGACTTTTCTGAACTTGTCTGATATGTTTAGCATAGTTTAATATAATTTGCTGGACAATGACTAGTTTTCTTTTTCTTTTTCTGTTATAGGTAAGTATAAGAACATTAAGATATATTATAAAGGATTATAAATTTAAAAATATCATATAGCTTATAAGAAAACAAAGTATAAATGAGAAGTATAGTAAGCTTTTATTTTATTTTATTAAAAGAAAAAATAATATAATAGGGGTTTCACCAGCTTTGTATGTTGACTGTTGGATATAGTGGTTGTTGTAAATGAGTATTGGCTACTGCTGTAATTGAGAATAAGTCTGAAGGAAATAATATAAGGCCTCAGCTATTCCAGTCAAAGGTGTCTACCGATTACTTTATTATTTAACACACAGGTTTAGCATGCATGATAGTGATTATATTTCATATGATGATATCACCATAATATGGGATACATCAGTGAATTATTATAAGCATAATTATAACTCATAAACACATTTACTTTCGATGTTAATACTTCATTGGGACTACACACATTTATATAATTAATCATACATTAATTATCCCAAGATCACGTTGCTCTGATTAAGGCTCAGATAGGATCGATTACCTGACCCCAGTCATATAATTTTCCCAATCCAAAACAATATAAATAGCAGTAGTAGTTCAGTGTAGGAACCTGATCAAACTTTGATATAAAATCCTTTCTCAATAAACAAAACCTACACAAGTTCTCACGAATCTTCGTTCCTAATCTCAAATCTTCAATTCTTCCTCTTAAAAACTTCTTCAACTTCAACCACCACAACAATACGCTTGATTAGAGTACCCATAAATATAGTGCCTGTACCCAAATTCCTCACAAGTAAGTTAGACTTCTATAATTTGGTATCAAGATAACTACTTTTATATAGATTAATTATGTTTTATTTTTGACTTTGCTTCTATATGAACTTTGCCATCAATTGTATATAAAGTACAAAATTTATAAAATTTTGGCTAAGTCACAACATCTAAAGTATTGAACTATTTTTTTAGATGCTTGGATGCTCATTTTTCATTTTTTGAAGATTCATTATAGCCAATCATTTTCCGAATTAAACTACCGCTATATCCAACAGTCAACATTCAAAGCTGGTGAAACTCCCTAATATAGCTATTATTTATTAATATAAAGTTATATATTAATATTATTATAGATATAAAAGTGGTAGTTCTACCAAAAATAAATATATAACTGCTATTAATTTTCAAAAAACTACTATTTGTTTATCTTTTAATAAAATAGTAATATAATTAGTAGTAATTTATAAAAGTAATATAAAGTTTTTTATTTATATTTATATGATAGTCTTAATATTATAGAAAGCATTTATAAGTTGGAATAGCTGTTTTAGCTATTAAAGTATATATTTTATTTTGTATTAAAAAATAATGATATTTATTTAAATTAATTATCAATCAAATTTATAAATAAAATAGATGTATAATTTCTATAATTTTATTACATTTAAAAAACTTATAATAATATAGAATACATAGAATATATAAAAATGAAATATTAAAAAATAATAGTAAAATAAAAAGATTCTCTTTGTTTTTAAATGAAACAGAGTAAATTTTTTTTTTTTTTTTTAAAAAAAAACCATTAATAATATTCTTATATTATTATATTTTCTTTGAAAGTTATTTTATTATATGTAGATATACACTTGTTGTACTGAATTAATAAGTATTTTTTTTAACATTCATATTTTTATAAAAGTTAGTAAAAAAAATATAAAGGTCATATAAGCTATATCAAAATATTCAGAATATATAAAATACAATTATAATAAAAGTCTTTTGTTGTATACAGTTTGCAGTAGCTGAAAAAATACTTTTTTTTTCTACAATTTGCCAATAGACAGATTTGTTAACAATATTTTTTTGGTATAATTCAATTCAATTCAATTTAATTAGTACCTATTTAATATAATAGAAAATAAAGAGCTATTTTAGTATGGCAAAGGAAAAGCAAGAGAATGTATCAGTATTAAACACAGCAGAGCGACAAAAAGAGTGTAAAAAAAAAGAACAAATCGCAGTCATTTTTAAAAAAAAGTGGTAACTGTGCCTCTAATCGCGCTATACTGAGTCATATCTGCCATTTTATTAGCTTGTAAAACACGGGTAGTTATGCTACCAAAGTGGTAACATACTACCACTTTTTTTATCCAAGCTATAGTCGATATATAAATTGGAAAAATGCAAATAAGAAATGTACAATCAGACCTTTTCTGTGTTATTATAAACTTACATTTCTCTATAAAGTGTTTTTGCTTTAATAGCATTGGCTTAGCAGAGAAAATAGAAGATTATGACTTGGTCACAAACTTGATTAAGAGATTGCGAAAGAAAAAAAACCGATAGACGCTAATAAATATTGGAGAGTTAATGTTACTGTTAAGTCGTCTCTCCTTTCTAAGACACTAGGTCTATGTTTTAGACTGAAAATCCGAGTCGACAAAGGTTTCTAATAAATATCGGTTTTTATATCTAGATCAAACGTATATTTAGTTTATTAGAGATAATTCTAGATATACGCACTTGATATAACATATAGAATTAGGTTTATTCTACATATTATAGATAACAACAGGCTTATTGTCTTAAAGGCCGGTCTTTAAGTTAAAATCTTTGTCAATTAGAGAGCGAGAAAGAAGAACCGGTTTAGGGACTAGATAAAAAATAATACTACTTTTTTTTAAAATGTCATCGATTTTAAACACTCGCATAAAAATGTAAGCTAGAAAAAAACTAGATTTTATGTGTATTAGAATATAAAGTCTAATTCAATTAATTTTATAGTATAATACATACAGGTATAGGCCGTGTTCATATTCATAGTCATAGCTTGTACTTGTTGTATTTTATTGAAATTAAAGTCTATAAAATATAGAGTGAATACTACAATCTATTCCAAAGTATAAACGATGTTCCTAAACCCAAAATATGGTTATTTCTTTTTTCTGGCAAAGAAAATGATTTTCTTGTATCTTAATTTTAAAAAAAAATATGCGCAAAATTTTGTACTGGCGTCATACCGTTCATTTAGATTTGTATATATTCATATCACACACGTATATGACTTCTTTTTTTCTTTCTTTATAATTGTTCTACGTCAGGGTCAATAGATCTCCTTGTCGTTGTGCATTAAGAATGGCGCTCTTTTTCTTTTCTTTTATTTTTTTATGTGTATAAATATTTTAGCTTTAGCCTTGTGTGGGAAGTAGATAACCGGAGTTTGGTTTATTGACCAAGAAATGATATCAATGGATAGGAAAAGGTAAGTCTCATTGGAATGACGACAATTACTAGCATCTTTCAGTCCCCTATAAAAGTACATACAGGATACGATTGTTTGAAGCAGACACAAAAACCCCATACTCCTTCTACCACACTTTATTCAATCCAAAAACCCCAAACAATCAAACATGCTTCGTAACATCGGTGACGCTTTCTACAGAACCTTCGAGGGACCCAAGAACGGACAGGTAAGAAAGAAGAAAAAGAAAAGAAAACCATTTAAGTATCAATATTAATATTCTTATCAATATAATTGCCATTATATGCACAATAGGTTCAAATCGATGATGATTCAATCAACAAGGAGGCCAGCGTCCAAAAGGTTGGTACTGATGAAATGACCGAAAAGATCAAGGCCCAGGGAAACACTGGATCAGCTGGAACAATGTCTGACAAGGCACAGAAAGATACCGAGAATCGATCCGATCGCTTTGACACAAAGCAGCCCGTACAATAATAATCTCTCGCCAAACCAAACCAACAACCTTTCTTCCTTTCAATAACTCACCCTTACCCTTTCTTCTTTGTGTAAATACAATTAAAATATGTGTATATTAGTGCACATAAATTATCTTCAAAAGCATTTCGTTTAAAGAAATGTTTGTAAAATAATAATAATAAATAAACAAACTCCAAAAAACAAATGTCTGATAATCAAGTGTTAAAGCAATCATATCTACACTGAACTTTCTTAATGTTCTCTTAACGCTTTGTTTTACATACACACAGACACACACATACATACATGTATACATATATATATGAGCGTAAGTGTTCGTATGCGCACAATTAAAAGCTATTAGTTTCTTCTACTAAAGGATTTCTAAGGTGGTTAAGTTTGTTCTTGTAATGTATATATAAATGTATATAAGCCAACGTTCAAATCAATTGTTAACAGAAAAAAAAGCTCTTAGTGAAAAGGATATTTGTAAAAAATTAATTGTAATGTTAAGCTGTCGTGACTTTATTTAAGCTCTTGCTTATTTTCTCTCTTATTATTATTATTATTATTATTGTATACACTCACACTAATACTTACACATTTACATACACAATGATGAAACGAAAGTCTACAGCAAATTCTACTACAACCAGTAATAGTAGCAGTATACCCAATAAACGACCAGCGACTGAGATTACACCCAGATCTACTCCTAATCCAGAATGGACCAAAACATTCACTGCTGGTCGAGAAGCATTCAAAAATAAGCAATACAAAGAAGCGTGCGATTCTTTTACTCGTGCCCTTGATTTCGATTGCAACAGATTAGAGGTGCTTGATTGCCGTGGAGTAACCTATACACTTTTGAATGATCAGGATCTGGCAGCAACAGACTTTATGGCAATGATTAAAATTTCGCCTAATAGATCTAGAGGATACTTACGTCTTGGCAAGCAGCTCGTAGAGAGGAATATGCTTGACCAGGCTGTAAAGGTGTACGAGCGCGCCAGTGCCAAGGTTGATCAATCGGATACACACTACGAAACTTTAATGAAAGCACTTTTAAAGACACGAATTGTGCGCGATGATAAGAAAAATGCGCGTGATTTTATGAAAATATTACCCTTTGAAATTGTTTGTCAAATACTTTCCTATCTTCCATTCACTCAAAAAGTTCGTTGTATGCGTGTCTGTAAGACATGGCATGGATTTGGTTTAAATTGGTCCGGCATGTGGAGTGATTTGGATTTTGGTCGTCGACTGGTTCCCAGTGCCACGTTGGTAAAGTACTTTTCATACGCCACCGGAAGACATATAAGAAAGCTATCGATTAAAGACAAACAAAGCAAGATTGAAAAGGTTTTTAAGCTGCTTATTCACTATGATGCTCATTACATAGAGTCACTTTGTAAGTTTTGAGTGAATTAGTATTTATGAACCGAAATTTATTTATACTTATACTAATATTTTTTTTTGGGTTTGTCAGCACTTTCCGGGAGTGAGATTCCTGGTATTCATCTTTTACGGATGCTACGGCTCGTAGGGAAGAATCTTACTCACTTGCGGTTAGACTCGTGTCAGATGCACATTGAGGATCTATTCAATAATACGCTCAGTAATTGCCGTCACCTCACACATCTATCTTATTTTGGATACGATGAAAATGTCTCTGGAGAAATGCCAATATTTGACATACCATCTTCTCTGTCGCCTTTGAAGCACCTACAACTTGCATGCACTAAACCCGGAGACAACACGGGCGCACATATACATTCTATATTGAGGATGTTCAGCGACCTTGAAGTGTTTATTCTTTACGGAAGTGAAGATAATATCAACAGGACTCTTCATACAGTGCAGACGACATGTCCACATTTGAGTGTGTTTCAATTCAAACGTCGATGGGATAGACGGTTGCTTGCTTGGAGGGCGATAGACATGAACATGGCCACGGGAAAGGCCACAGGAAAAAAGACAGGAGGAATGAAAGAAATATCGCTCATTGGAGCACATGAGTTACGAGACAGTGGGATCATACCACTTATTCAAATACACACGGACACACTCGAGACTTTGGAAATTGCAGGGTGTGGTAATAATACAAACCAAGTGTTTTCAATGCTCATTTCTCCTGGTCTTCCACAACTCCGCAAACTCAACCTGAACAGCTGTCTTGCACTCGGTGAATCTGATTTGAGGGACTTGATACAAAAGTGTGTTCTATTGGAGGACTTAGAACTGGCGATGGTGTCTGCAGTGACTGATTCGGTACTTGAGTGTGTGGCAGTACACCCTGTTATCAACAAGATTGACATCTCCAGCTGTGTGAATGTGACAGGGTCGGGTGTACGGCAGATTGTGGACATTAAAGGGGGGGATGTGTTGAAGAAATTAAGAGTAGTGGATTGTAGGGGTGTTAGTTGGGATGAAATTGAATATGCTTCAACTGTAGTGAAACCAAATGTGCTTGAATACAGGCAAATAATCTCAAAATAAAATATGCAGGCATACATATAAATAAATAAATCTTAGTGACTAGTGTGGCATTGGATTCACTAGTACAACCATCTGTGAGCCAGAAAAAAAAACAAGCTTGAAAGGGCTTACCGATGACACAAATATTGTGCATATTCCAAGGAATGGGAAGCCTCAAGAATACTAACCAAATGACTCGAATATATATCCGGTTCTCTTATTTATACAGTATCAATAACCAAAAGATCAATCCTTGTATTCTACCGGCATTCTATTCTCAGAGACCAAAATAAATATTTTAAAAAAAGGAACAGCCCCAAAAGGCACATATTGTACAAATAATAATAATAGGTTTTTTTGGGGGGCTTTGGTGGTCAAGATAATAGATAAACTTGACAGGGTCTCTCTGCGCCACTAGCCTATGAACCGAATGGTGGCAATTCAAGTAGTCATTTGTGGCGTATCTACTAGTTATAGAACGGATACCGAAAATATACCAGACATCTTTCCGAAAATCTACATACACACATACATGTATATATATAACATATATACGTATATGTCTAAGCCTTGTTAAACAAACACACACAGGTACAACCATGTTAAAGTTTCTAGTAATTTAAACAATAGTCAATGAGTGAATGATAATCAGCAACAATAAAATAAATCGAGCCTATCTTCTTTTGGATAATACAATTCATAAAATAAAAGCATTGTTTCAATACAAGATGAATTCAACAACATTTAATACAAACATCCAAACGTCAAGAATTGCTACACAAGCCATACAATTCTTATTGTATTTTATTGTATTTTATATAATCTTTTCTACTAATCTGTCTTTCTTGCTTTTCCCACCATTTATTTATTACAGTCAAATATTTGCTTATACAGCAGAATGGTATATGGAATAGAATAGAAGCAGAATAAGCCTAATAATGATAATGATAATAATACTTGTGGTTAATTAATCATCCCTCTTCTTGTTATAGAAGCCACATACGCGTCTTCTCTCTCTCTTTTATTATTATTGCTTTTATCAGATCTTTTTTTGATCTAAGCAGAGTACAAAGTAACAAAAAGAGATAAACAATAGAAGCCATTGTCATATATATATATATATATATAGATATATAGATATATATACATGTTAATATGAAAATTGCCAACTATAGCACTGTGTTGAATTTATCTAATACTTTGATTCTCTGATATACCTTGTCGATTAAGATCTTGAGATATCATGGCTTAGGCCAATCGTAATAATAGTGAAGATATCCATTATGAAATCATTCAATTGATGCTCAGAGCAAGTTTTCTCGGCTTAATGAATCAACAAGTCTGTTACACTTACCTCCAGATAAAGTTCAGTACATTTTTTTCTGGCCGCTAATGGCTTTACAGAGAAGTTCTCTTTATGTATGTATATAAATAAATAAAAGAGAGTTTAGTGGCTGGGCCTGCTATTTCGGTTCAAAAGGTACAGGGAACACAAACTAGGCGTGACCAGGAGAGAGCATTGATGTTTGATCTTCAGAAAACAATTAGAATCTCAGCATATCCAACCATATCTCATTCCGCTACAGTATTTTTACTTGGTTTTCGGACTTTTTCAAAAAAAAAAAAAATCGGACCAAGTCAATAGGGAGGTTTGCGCAAATTTTGTAACAAAATCAAAAAGGAATTTTTTTCGCCTAAAAAAGAGTAGTGTGTTTCATACTTTTAAAAAAGATTTTGTAAAAAGGGCACCTTTTCCAAAAAAAATTGGAAGCCCAATTTGGGTTTTCCAGAGCACTTTTGGCCAATAATCTTCCATTATTTTAAACTGCTAAGCTAACGATATATTTAAAGGAAGATGCAGAAATAAAATATGTTAAAAATATACTTTTAAAGATGTAAATCTTATATTAACATGACTTCTTCTATGTCATTCTTTAAAATTTAATTATTTGAATTATATATATATATTACGCACTCTATTACAGATTCTGAAATTAATAATATAGCTTATGTCAATTGTTTGACCAAGCATTATCAAACTATTAACTCAACCATTAATACGAACCAATGTTTGTTGGTTTAGCTCCATTACATTTCCCGACCGTGACGTACACCCCGATATGAATATGAAGGTAAACCTTACAGACAGCCTGGCAGGACAGCCTGGACGGCCAGGATGGCCTGAAAGTATGCGATATCACTCACAATAAGGAGTTTAATGGCTACACATATTTTTTTGGGTCGGGATCAGAATTTGCAGCAATCTTACGGTAACCACGTTTCCTGGTGGGGTACGATATTTCTATCTAACCGGACTAATCAATTCTGACTATATGTCCGGAGACCGGCATCTTTATCTAATCCTTCAGGACAAAATGGTATGTCCTCAAAGAAATACAATATATTCATTGTACGTATTAGCTTTACTACTTTGTACCTACACTTCGTGTCCATTAATCTTTCGCCAGGCATCTAACTTTCATTATCTTAAAAACCACAGCCTGTATTTGAGCAATTTAATAATAAGATGCTGTCTCATACGAAAAACAAATTCCGTATATTCAATTAGTAGCCCTGAATATAGACTTGTCAACAAAGAAATAATAACTAATCAAAAATACACTATATCGGTAGCCAGTTATGCAAAGGACTATAAGGAGTTGTTGTCATTAGATTGTGACGCAATCTTGTTTGATATCTTACTATTTATTGATCTGCTTACGCGTATCATGTCTTTGTCTCTCTTTCACCTACATATTACCAGAGTTCGACAGCACCAGCTGGTAAGTAACCCCCACCCGCCTCTTATTTTTTCTGAAAAGTACAAAAGAATGTCTTTATTCAAATATTCTGTATCCTTAGGAACCAGATAGACTTATTCCGTGCCAGCAAAAAGGCCACGATTTGTAGTCCGGTAGAATAAAAATGTCGCCATCACCAAGAAATTCCGCCCCCCTAAACTTAGAGTACACGCTGTCCAGGCTGTCCTGCCAGGTTGTCCGTAAGGTTCCCCAAAATGAAGTTTCAGAAAATTGGTAAGACATTTCTTCTCATATTAGTACATTGGAAAAGAGATTGGTAAAACAAAATTGCACAAACCTCCCTAATAATATCAGAAAGTTATTCTAATACTTGCATTGGTATGAAAAAAAGAGTCAGCTAATATAGACTAGAAATATTAATATGGTTACCGAATAGATTTTTCACCTCCTTCGAATGGCAACGATCAAGACGATCAAAAGGAGAATATTGAAAACTACTAACATCTTCTCACTACAATGTTACCTTCCCAACCAGGTTATGATGTATTTGGCAAGGAGATATTACGTGCATATGAAATCAAGGACATTGTCATCAAATCTCTCGTTAGAAACGGCATATTGGGCGATGACTACACTCTGGGACCAACTGAACAGAGAGATGGCCGACACCTCGATATGCTTTACCTGCCTCTAGATAAATTTATAGAGAGCCTCGCTCCAGTAATTGTAGAGGTCCAAAAAAATCGACAAGGATTTTATTGGTCGAGTGATCCGCTACTCTTTGAATGTATTCGATGCCACAGGTTCATACCCCATCTCGTTGTCATATCCAACGCGGGTTTTTCCAGTAAGCGATATCGCAATACGACATTCAACAAAGAGGAAAATGAGCCTTTCTACACCCACCCTTGCCAATCATGGGCAAAGAGTACCAAATTTTATACCCCGGAGTCTATTGCCATTCACATGGACAAAGAACCTTTAGATAAAATGATTGCTCTGTGCCATGTTTTTTATGCAGGAAAAGAATATTATGCTTCTCAAAAAGTATAATGATACTTCCATACAAGTTATTTACAAGGTCGCCCTTGACATTTACTCCATTGACACAGACAAAATAGCAAAGCTGTTCGCAGATACACAGTCATTTTGCGATACCGTTGAGTGTCAATTTCAAAAGATTTTGAATGAAAACGATAGGAAACGACAATTAAAATATGCCAAAGATGTTGTACATTTTGTACGCCAATTCAAACGTAAATGCTTACCATCAACGGATGAATGTGCAGTCACCTCTATTGAAAGTATCTGCGAACAACAAGAAAGTGAAGACTTAATTTTTGTTAAGGAGAAGAGAAGAATCAATGCTGGACGCTTCAACTGGAACAATTGCTACAGCGAGAGCAGGACTGAAGGTCTTTTCCAACGATATAGTAGCCATACAACGCTACGAAAAGCATTTGAAAGAGAAACTCTATAATTCCCCATTTGACTAAGCTAATCTCTTTTTTTCTAACTAACGATTATGGTAATCAAACCTGTCTTCTTTTTTGATGACTTATATGAGCTTACATTATGTTTAAATATTTGGAGGACATGGGTATTTTTTCGAAATTTTTATCGTAAGCTTGTCAAAAAACAAAAATGACTTCGTCTTAAATAAAAATGATTTGTTCTGAAAATGAAATTTATTATGTCTAAAAATGAAAATGACTTTGTCCAAAATAAAATTGACTCGGTCCGATTTTTTTTTGAAAACGTCTGAAAATTAAGTAAAAACACTGTACAGACAATAAAAATCAAAAATCAAGACACTGCCCAACAATTTTCCAAGACAGCCTATACACCTTTTGATTTTAGGATTTTTTTTTTTAAAGAAAAAGGAACACCAATAAATAAATAAATAATTTTAATGTATCTTGTAATATAATGAAGTAGTAGCAATATTAATAGGAGATATGTATAGTAAAAGAAAGGGAGATAGATGATTATACAAAGCCAACTTCATTATAGTTGCCACTGAGAAAGTGGGCTCTGAACCAAGGTTTTGAGGCTCAGTGGGCTTGCGAACCACATATTTCCAAAAAAAAGGTCCACAATAGTGTGGCATTGCGTCGTAATATATCTTAGCCTTAAAGGCATCCTACCCTCCCTAGTCTCCTTTACTCCTCCTCTCCTCTCCACCTTTGTCACAAAAATAAATAAATTAGAATACAATCCAATAAATCTCCATGGCTACAAATACCCAAAGAGACAAATTCAATGTCAAATATGTATAGATATATGTATGTATATATATATATACACGTTTTTATATATCATTTTATATTTACATACTACATTATAATATAAACACACCCTTTAATATTTACTTTTATTCACAATACATAATAGTAAATTTGGAATCTTTGTGTGTCGTAACTTTTACCACCTTTTATATATTCAAACTGACAGCTTTTTAGTACAAATTTCCTTTTGGTGGTAGTACAAGAATAAAAGAAAGAGAGCAATTCAGATGAATGCATTATAATTATTTTATACATTTACAGAACTTAAGGTTCTTATTGTTGTTACAAGAGTCAAGTATTTTTTTTTATGTATCTATTTTACCAATTTTGCGGGCCAAGCAAGAATTGAAACACATACGCACGTATCACACATAACACTCACATATACACACATTTTTTTTTTTTTGGTTGTTGCAGAGCAAGTTAGTATTATCTTTATCCCACACTGCGTTAAAGTTTAGAGGCTTAGGGTGGTACTAATAATAATTGAAATCCAACAAAGCCCTTTACATAGCTTTGCATTTTTGCTTCCAGCTCCCCATGGTTTTGACATTCCTCTCTCTTCATCCTAATGTCATCTCGACTTCCATTCGAAATCCTTGCCACAATCGCAACCTACATCTCCCAGTCAGACAGACTTGCTTGCACAACCGTATGCAAACACTGGAAATCCTCCTTTCAAGTCTCTCTTTGGCGCACATTGGACATTAATGAAAATCGAATAGAAGCTATTTGCAACAACTCATCCTCGACAGGGCAGCCAATCTATTCGATCAATGGCAACCGTGTCCAGACCTTACGATTCAGGAAATCTGTCGAGGCAACAGACGACCAGCTACACACCGTACAGCAGACCTTTAAACAATTAAAACGCCTAGAGATCGAAGAACATGCGCTCAGCAAACACAATTTTGGACTAAAAGCTGATTGGAGTCTCTGGAGATCCCTGACAGCCCTCGACATGTACCTACCAGATCTGGACGACAAGATCAGAAAATACGAAATGTTCAAGATCCTGTCCTGTTTACCCTGTCTCACACGACTCGACATTGAGGCCAAACTCGAGGACACTCGCCCAAACTACACCTGGGAAGTCTTGGAAAATATTCACGCATATTTACCACGACTTGAATACCTACACACCAATCTACCCCTTGCCGCAATAACCAGTGCCGACATCAAGACAATCAACCATGTCACGCCTGCCAAAAACCTGAGTGTAATAAAGCTTCTGGATCACAACATGGATCTCGGATGGTTATTTTATTTTTCGCTCAAGTATCCCAAGGTGCGCGTTTTCGAGTCAAGCATGGTATTCAGTAAAATCAACCGGATTGAAGATTCACCGAGTGAAGAGGTCATGTCGATTATTATGGCCGCTTCGTTCCAATTCCCTCACCTAAAGTCAGTAGTCATCAGCCACGAAGCAGTGGTTGGCTCCCAGCACACGGTGTTTTGGAAACTGCTCCACCAGCTCACAAGTTCACTGCGGTCATTGGATTACAGCTTGGATCTGGCGAGTTTTGGAAACGGGCTTTTTTCAGGTTTCCCAAGAGAATCCGTGCGGTTTTCGTCAACGACACTCGAAAGGCTCAGTCTGATCATCAATGCAAAACCCCATGTCATGAGCATCCTGCCGCTCAATTTTGGAAGCTGTTCTCGTTTAGTTGATCTAACGACCGAGGTGTCAAAGGGAATTATCGAGATTGATGTTCTCCTGGACAGTTGTACATCCCTAAAATCGATCCACATGCGAGACGAATTGATAACCCTGAGTCCGAAAGCATATGCAACCTCGACACCACATGGCTTACAGAAGATGGAGATCATCAATTCAAAGGTCGACTCACACGTATTTAATTTCATTTCCTTGCGTTGCAGGCAATTAAGAGAGATGGCACTATGCTCTGTCAGAGTACCGGGATCTATTTCTCAAGAGACAGGGAATATGTGTATCGATATGTCCTACACTCACTTTGAGGTTCTAAAGCTTCATGATGTCACATTCTATTGGCTGAGCGGTGAACTTGAAGCCGTCAATGATCGTGACGATGGTGATGATCAGAATCAAGAGGAGTCATCTAGCGGCAGCAGTAATGGAAATAGTGGTGATAGCAATAGTAATACCATTATTGATATTAGTGGTGGTGATCGAAGCATATTACGCCCTTATGAAATTTATACTATAAATCTGATTGCTATTGAACGACTCAACTCTGTATTAAGGCCCAGACATCTTGGGGCACCAAAGCCACTCATACATGATGGCCAGGACCATGGAGTTTCGATCGACAAACGGGCGTGGTTCCATCACTACTGGGGAAATACCAACAAAGACCGACCAAGACAGGTGTGGATGCTAGGAAAACCTCAGGTGAAGCATGTCCAGGACTACTTTGAATCGTTTCAGACTTCCAGTGCGAATGATTATCTTTCAAATGAGAACCGATATCCGGTGGGCTTAGTTGTCAAGCGCTTCTGGAAACGCGACCTTCCACGAGGCTATGCCACACTGCGGTGCGGATACATCGGCAGATATGACATTGATGGTACACATTTTGATCATGATGTGGATGTCTTATAAACCTTTACTTTCATTTTCACTCTCACTTTTAGCTAACCATTTTTTTTTAAATTTTCTTTATGCATTGTATTTATTTTCGCTCTAATAACTCTCTTTCTATACTGTAATTTCTTCCCATTTATTTCATCATTTCCTCCTTATTCTTCTTATTTCCTCTCTCTCTCTCTCTCTCTCGCTTTACCTTAATATTTTCACTCCATACAACTCTTTATGCCTACATCTTTATACCCCCCACCACCCATAACCAACCATCTTTTGAACATGCAAATTCACTACATATTTATGCCCCTCACACAATTCTTCATTTTTAACTTTTTTATGAAAAATTTTTCACACTCTCCCTTTCACTTCTTGTTCTACTCTTTTTTTTTCTGTTAATATATAAGCATACATATATATTTGCGTTTATACTTGCGTGTATTTTTGATCTTAATTTTGATTTTATATTAAAAAAAAACATAATAAAAACAATTCATCAAAGCATCTTTTTTTTTCCTCTTTTTCTACTATCCCTAATGTTACTATGAACATTATTACTGAGTCAGATAGTGAGAAAGGTTAAGATTTATTGTACTAGTTAGGCTTATAAGATGGTGAACAATAAGGGTTTACAAAGATCAGGTACTACACACACATAAATCAGCCCTAAAACCATCCTTCTCTTTGTTTCTTTGTGCTGGCTATACTACCAATACATCAATATATGTAATATATACATGTGTACATGTGTACATGTGTACCTTATTGAGTTCTGTAGAAGCGATTTCATTCTGTGCACAATTTTTAAGGTTCAGAGGCTTAGTGTTACACTTGATAAAAAAAAATAAAGTTGGTGTCCACATTCAAACTCGTACACCTATTGGGACAATGACCAACAACAATAGCCATGTACTAAATTTCTAGCTCCTTTGCCCTTGCCTTTGCCCTTGCCTTTGCCCTTGTGGCATTTCCGCATATAAACATCTTTTCTTCTTTTTATTTTTATTTTTTTCTCTTATTCTTTGTATAGTCCCCGCCACAATTGCGGCTTATACCTTGAAATAGACAAAGTATAGGCTTTTCTTTTGTGTGTTTATCTATATCGAGATATATATATATATAGAAACAATAGATTTCAATAATAAAAACCCAAAAAAAAGCTGATCATTGAGGCTTTATGAAGCCCAGTTTTTACCAGCCAAAATAGAAAGCCAATAATAGCCAATCTTGTTTTAGACATCTATTGTTACTTTCGCTTTTACTATTGCTATTGCTATTGATGTCGCTATTTCTATTTTTATGTCAAGGGTATATATTTATAGCCACGTTTTGTATAAATGGCTTTGAGACAAGAATTAGAGGCAATAAAATAGTATTTGAATCAAACTAAACCTTGAAAATAATCCTTTCCTTCTATTTCCCTATTTATTTTGCTTATATTGATTGCTATTTTTATTCAATTGATTTTCACTCCAATATATATATATCCTAATAAAGTCTTTATGTGTCTACTAAATATCGGCTTGAGCTTTCTTTAAAAATCTTGTTAGTGGTATTCAAATATGAATCTTACGGGTGTCAGTAATTATGCTTTCAAGGATCTCTAATGACCTTTAGCTTAGGTGCTTTACTTTTTACCTTTGACTAATGCTCAAAATTGCCCAATTGGAGTTGAAGTCTAGTGAATAAAAAGCGAGAAGATATATATTTATATAATATTTATTATCTTGAACTTTGAAGACGTTTGCTTATACAATTGAAATTTGACGCAAGATATGCCAATAGCTCTATAATAACCTGTCAGACTCGAAAAGATCTGAGAAGGATTGGGCCTGAGAGAAATTATATATCTTATTAAGGATAATAAAGCATCTATTTATATGAAACAGATGCGGGCGAAGATGTATATTAGAAGATAATAAATATTATGCGGCAATATATATTTGCTTGTAGTAGATTTTTACTACCGAGAAGTAACGAATGTGGGGTGGAGAGACCACTTTAAGCTGTCCACACAAGTTATCATTCCATTCTCTTGTTACCTTGCATGGAACCATCGCAACATTCTCAAGCTGCTTTAAGATTTTATCATTTCTTTTCTGTATTCATTTGATTAAAGATATCGTAAGAGTTGCAACGTTGAGGTCACAATGCATCGCTTTGGATTGGTGTTTCAACAATCTCCAGTTTTACCAAGATCTTCCATTTTACTTTTGTACTTTATTAGATTTTTTTTAAAAGACAAATTTATGTGCCCATTACTCAGTCACACATCATAGTGATTGGTGATGCTTGGGGTGCATTTATTGCCTTCAAGGTGTATAAAGGAAGATTATGGAAATGAATGGAAATGGAAATTACAGAAAAGAAAAAGGGAACAATTAATGAAATGCTATGAGTGAGAAATACAGAAAGAAGGTTAGACGAGGTGTACTTGGTTGCAAGTATAAAGAAGGGTACGAGTAGATATAGTGTCATTCTCAGGAAACAAAAGGTACATTTTTAAATATAAAAGCCCACTAAGCTCTCCACACAGCCTGTAGAACAACTCCAGAAACCCACTAGCTAGAAAGAGAGGCATTGTCAATAGGAATTAGCGCATTAATAACAGTCTAAAGCTACACCAATTGGATAAAAAAAATAAATTAAGAAAATCATGTTTATATATATATATTGGGATAGCGAGAGAGATAGGGAAAGGAAATTAGAATGTAGCTTTCGCATGGTTTTGGATTGCTATAATTATTGACTAGAACCATTACAAGAATAGCATAAACAGCATCTGACTGATTCTTATCTATTTAATTATATGAGAATCCTCAAGTTAAAATCCAAAATTCAGTTGAGAAACTAACGAGTAAGGTTGCTGGTATTTATATATACTAACGTGGTAGACCGGCTGTCCCCATTGAGACAGTTTAAGAAGAAAGAACTATTTTTCTAAGTTTATTTAAATATTTGATACTAAAGCAAAAACAGAAATTAGCCAGGCAAAAATTGAAAACCTTGGTTCAAATAAAATAGCAATAATTACATTTGTGTTGCTTAGTTTCTTTATTCTTTATTTCATACACTGTATACTCATCTTCTGACATTTATGATAATAGGTCTTCCTAAAGTCTCTTATATGTTTCTTTTATATTGTCATCAATTTTAAGTATCCACTACCCACTTGCACTACCCGTTTGTCTAAATTTATGAAAGTCTTTAAAATTTTTCTTGTGTAAATTCAATTGCTATATGGTGTGCCATTTGATCCTTAACTTTAGCTATTTATCTACTGTTTATTTCAATTGGGTGCCAACTTACCATTGACTACAATATGTGCGAGAGTCAAAGGTTCAACTGATAGTTAAATGTTTACTTGTCTCTATTGTTCATCTCAATTTGAAACACAATCACACTGGGAGTTATCTGTGCAAGAGTAATTCATAAACTTGTTTTAAAGATATAGAGACTAAATATAAGTCATGTGCAGAGTATCTATCTTTCTCTTTAATAATATGTATGCTGATATAAAGAACTAAACTAGATAAATTTATGAGAGATAAATGTAACTTCTCAATTACCGTTTTCTTTTAAAAAGACTGTCTTTTGGCTAGAAGCAAGAAGTAAAGGAAAGGTTTAAAAATTGTATATTCATCGAAGAATCTGGCCTCAATATTAATATACAATCAAGTCAGAGTATAGTCAACCAAAGAAAAAGAAAGAAAGGAAAAAAAAAAACTAACAAAAGTACTGTCGCACTCAATTATTGTAATAATTTCATCAATTGGTACAATCAATTTAAAGTATAAGAGTTCAAGGTGGTAAGAAATGAAAAAAAGAACAACAACATTAGGTGCAGTTTTCAGACAAGGGAAGTTTAGGGAGAAACAGTTAGTGATTATTATTTAAGTTTCTTTTTTAAAAAAAGTTGCCTTTGCGTTTTAACTTTTTCTTTAATTTTTCTTTGAATCAAACAATAGCATATAGCAATGGTTAGAAAAAAATTCAAAAAATATACTCGTTACAAAGCTGACAATCCTGGGCATATTCGATCCACATTTTTAATATTATAAAAAGAAGACTATATTAGATAGTGAGGTCTTGAAAAAAATATATATATACTCTAAATCTGTTTATATTCCATCGAATTATTTACCAGATTTCAACTCCAATTGAGCAATTCTAGGAATCAGTCAAAGGTAAAATGTAAAGCACCATAAGCTAAAGGTGACTGGAGAGCCTTGAAGCCATATAATTGCCGACACTCATAAAGTTGGGATTGTATATTCAGTTACTGCAACCCGAATTTAGAACAATAAGAACAAACTCAGATAAATAGGATCCCGCCTTTTAGGGTCTCTATCTCGTCAAAGGGAGTTATATGTATCTTACAAAGAAGAGGCCGTTTAGGTATAGAAAGTAAGAATGGTATTCACAAAGGTCAAGTGAAATAAAGATGCAAATATTATCGACAATGTGTCAAAAAATACATAGAGAAAGGTCACTAAAGTCTTTTTTTTTGTGTGTGCGTATGTGGGATCATGAGAATAAGTAAGCAGTATTATGTCCTAATATCTTTTCTTTTCTTTATGGAGTACACACCCTTAATTAATTTTAAATTGTTATAAAAAGGAACAATAGCCCAAGATATTTAACTTCTAGGTAACCAAGTGAGTAAAACGAAAATAACTCCTTAATATTATAGACATAAGCACCAATTAATAATGTAAGGTTAGTTTTAAGAGTTGAGCTATGAACTACGGGAAAGAAAAGAGTTTAAGCAAGTCCCCAGCCATTACCCTTAATATAGCCACTCTAATACATCGCAATGTAACCTTCCTTTGTTGAATAAAAATTTTACTGGTGCCTTGGACTTTCGGTACATCATTCACCAAGAAAATTCAATATAATTGTACGATTACGGAGAGATTCACCCGTGTTTCTCAAGGTCGAGATACTGTGAGACCAAAAGAGAGCTAGAGGAAGAGGGAAGGTGCTTTGCCTCGACTGCAAAAAAAATTATAAAAATAAATAAATAGTAAAAAGATGAAAGAAAGAAAAACATTTATACATATAAAGTATTCCAAGTAATTGTATCCAGCCCCTCCACAGTTAAGTATCTTGGTCTTTATCAAATTTAATAAAGATTCTAGGGATGATTGTCTTTAAAGAAAGAAAGAAGAAGAAGAAGAATGTACAGACAAGTGAAAGAGTATTCTCAAAAGAGTAATGTCTTGGGCGTACATGTACATTTATATTATATTATAGTACAGTATATTCATTTAGTTGAGATGAAATTGTAACAAAGCCAAGATTTGTATTTCAATTTCAATACAAGAAAATGATAAAGAAGTATAGTTGACAGCAATATGTATTAAATGCTTTAAATATATACATAATTATATAAATTTTATTAATTTCAGGCCACTCTATATATTTCTTTCGTTACCGATTGTACCTGTCAATAATCAAGTATCAAATGCTAACTGAGTAATCGGTTTTCTCACGAATTGGTTTCCTGGACTTGGAAGTACAATTCTACACTAAAGTATATATATAAATAAAAAGCAAGTAGGAATGTAGGCAATTTCAAGTATCATGTGTTGGGCTGTAATGGTACCAAGTTAATGCTCTTTACCCACAGACATAGACTACAGAGTAAATTGATAAGTAAAGAAAATATATGTCTTGAGAGCTATTTAACATATCAAATATCTTTAGTGTATGTATATATATAATCTGACAAGCAATTTGTTGTTGACATTTATGATGCATAGAAACACATAGAATACAACTCTATTTTTATTTAATAAGAGTTTCAATCCCCCCTTTATCGATTTCTTTTTTTCTCTCTCTTTTTTCTCCTACCTTTCAGATCCAAATCATTATCTGAGTAGCGCAAGATACAACTAGTTGATCTTTGTATTTTTTTTTCTGCTTTGCTTTGCTTTGATATGTTTTACCGGGTTTATTGAATACCCATTTTTTTTTGGCTACCAAGACTATAAATCCAATTGACCATTAATACAATCACAATCATTAAATTCATACCATTCTCTCTTTATATATCTCATTTATTTGCGTTACATATTATATACGGTTAATATGGCCCGAGATTATCCTTATTGACTTGTTAAATAGGTGCATAAGTATGCTGCTGATATTTTATTGTGGAAAAACAATTAACAGGTGAAAGAAGGTTCAAAAAGTCTGGTATACATAAATCAACCTTGTATATATTTATTTAGGATATTCTTTTTACAGAAATAATAAAAAAAAATATACATAAAAAAGTGGATTTATCCTCAAAAGGAAATGCAAAATTGTATTTTTTTTATATCTATGATTTCTTTACTCTACTGTACTCTACTTTACTTTTACTTTATTTTATAATATCATATATACATATTATTCAGCATGGATTTGTTACTTGGACTTTTTTGTATTTTAAGAAAAACAACAATCTAAATGTAGAACTCATTAACGGAACGGATGGACTTTGCACCGATCTGAAATATACATATGTATGATCCCGACACTGCACACATACATATATACACCACACAAGCATTGGACACAATATAAATAAAAAGTAAAATAAATATACAACCTGGGCACCTTATAATAATAATAAAAAAATAATAGCTCGATAATTGTACCCGCAAAAGAAGTTCGTTTGTACGAGGATGCAAGAATTACAAATTCAAAATCTATTATATTTTTATATATATTGTTTTATTTTGTTCTAATACCTTCCAAAGTAGTATTCTTAAAGGAACACAAATTACCAGCATCTTGGTAATCAGGACAATTTTATTTTATTTTCGCACTCGGACATACTCCTCTTTCTCCGTAGTGATACAATCTACCTATCATTATCATCATTATCATCATTTTTATTTTTACTATGTAATTATTTCGTCGATTTTCTTCTATTATATTTCTATACTTTATTTCGCTTCAAAGTTTCGAGGCTTGGTGCGGAATTATCACTACAAAAAAATTAAAATAAAATAAAAAAAAAACTAAAAACTAAAAACTAAAAACTAAAAATTAAAAATTAAAAATTAAAATTTTACCCCTCCCTGCCCTTTACCCCTTCCCCACTCCTACCTACTCCCTTCTCTTCTCTTTATATTTTTCTTCCTCTTTATCTCTCTATCTTCACTTCTTTATTTCCAAAAATAAAATAAAACAAAAAATACATCTTTAATATTATTCTCTCAGTCATGCTCATGCTAGCCTCGGAATTACCATTTGAGATTCTCACTCTCATTGCAACTCATTTGTCTCAAAAAGACAAACTGTGCTGCATGTCAGTCTGCAGAGCATGGAACGTACCTTTTCGAGATGCCCTTTGGGATACAGTTGACATTAATCGGAAAGAGAGGCTCGAGGCAATTTGCAACCTCTCTACAGTCCAACAGAATATCTATCAAACTCAAGGAAATCGTGTCCAAGCATTGAGATTAAAAAGGCGCATTGAGACGACTGACCACCAGCTCTGCATTCTGCAAAGATTCTTTCAACAAATAAAGCGACTGAATATCGAATTGAATGCCCTGACTGTAAAAGATTTTGGCAGAATGTCAGATTGGAGTCTCTGGAGATCTTTGACAGATCTAAAGATGTACATTCCAAGACTAGACGATGGCCGAAGAAAAAAGGACTTGGTTGACATTTTGTCTTGTCTACCTCGCCTAGTACGATTAGACATTTCTGAACACTCGCGTTTCTCGGCACATAGATATACATGGGATACCCTAGAATCAATACATGCACACTTACCACGACTCAAATATCTTCAGCTCTCTCTCCCATTCGACCCAATACCCGCAAACGACATCAAACACATCAAATCAATCACACCCGCAACCAACATATCCACCGTCAGACTACTCGGCCACAACGTAAATCTCGGCTGGCTCTACTATTTCGCAGTAAAATATCCAAATGTACACACCCTCGAATCACGTTTACTTCAGAGAGAAGCAAGCTGGACCAGAGATATACCCGACAATGAGACCTTACGTCTCTTGTCATCCTTTCAACGCCCATTCCCCCATCTCAAGGCTGTCACAATCACCCAGGAAGCAACCCCTGGATTGCAGCTCGACCTTTTCTTGGAAATCCTCCAGCGCTTCTTTGGACACCTCAAGTCTATCAATTACAATCTCCACACCACGGGCGGCAGTAGCCTAGACAACGACCATCCACAAAGTATATCCGACAATCCGATCCTCCTCTCATCATCCGCACTCGAGAAATTAGTCCTCCAAGTCGGTCCAATATCAACCACACCCCAATTAAGATCTCCTCTGCGGCTTGGTGTCAATTCTCGTCTGGTGGAATTGGATCTAAACTTCTTTGATACCTCAATCCATCTCGATTCTGTTCTGAATGATTGTGTGTCCCTAAAAAGGATGAAGCTGAGATCAGGTGTGATCACACTGACAGATCATTTGGCCGATCGCCCATCGTCGTCGTCGTCGTCATCATCATCAGCATTGTTGTTTGCGCACGGCCTCGAATCTGTAGAGTTGTGCCGAGCAAAGGTTGATCCGAAAGTTTTCAACTACCTCTCCTTTCGCTGCAGATTCCTCAACGAGATGATCTTGAATGATGTGTCTATACCTGCGCTTATTTCAAAAGAAACCGGCAGTTTCTGCCTAGACATGTCATACACCCACTTCAAAAACCTAAAGCTCCACGGAGTAGAGTTCTACGCGGTTGACGGATCCAATTGGAATGAAGAACACCCCGACATTGACCAAAATATCTACATCCTCACCATTGATCGCACACACTCTAGTCCAATATACCCACACCAGCTTGATATCGACCGACATGAACCTTCAGACAACTATAGCAGCAACTATGATAACAACAATCAATACCAGAACCACTTGCCTGTTCAGAAACGACTATGGTTCCACCATTGTTGGGGAAATACAAAGGATGACCTAAAAAAGGAGGTGTGGGTCCTCGGGTACGCGGAAGCCCAATTTGCCGAAAAGTACTTTGAATTATTTTCGCCTGAAAAAAAATACATTCGCCGCACAGCCGAGGAAGCCGCCTTTCACAGCCAGTTGGTGGAAAAACGTTTCTGGAAAGACGATCTTTTACGAGGGCATATTACGTTAAGGTGTGGATACGTTGGCAAATATTCTATTGACTCTACACCATTTGACCATGATGGCTACATCACAAAATCTGGCGTCTATCTCTTTCTCTCGCTTTGTCTGTACATTCTTAGTATATTTCGTGACATTATATACTATCAATATATACAACCTTAATAACACACCACTACTACTGATACCACCACCACCACCACCACTATCACCATTATCATTCTACCAATCACCATGACTACCATTACCATGACTACCATCACCACGACTGCCATAACTATCACTATCACCATCAAGAAAGAGAGAGAGACAAGTTGATCCCAAAGACTTTTTTTTTTATGTCTTTCTTTATTTGATTTAACTTGATCAAGAAACAAAGTCAGCTATGTAGAAGAGATAAAAAAAAAGAGAGAGAGAGAAAGGAAGGAAGGAAGGAAGGAAGGAAGGAAGGAAGAACAAAAAGATCGTTCGTGTACTGAGTATTCTCAAGCCAGCGTTTAATCAAAATGAAAATGGTTCCCAGGACTGGCACTGTCACACACACACAGGCCTTTTGAGCTGTATATATATAAATACTTTTTTGTGCCTGTGCTTGTGTTTGTATCTGTGTTTGTGCATCTGTTGTCTTTGAATATATTCCCCAGAAATAAAACCAAATATGTGCACACAGTGGCCCTAAAATCTTTTTTTTATTTTTTATTTTTTATATATATTTTATTATGACACTTTATTTATTTTATATAAGCAAATGATTAAAAAATATATATAAAACAGATTAGCCGTTGAAGCCAAATAATAATACTTTTTTTTTGTTAATAATTTATCAAGTAAAATTGATTAATTGGCTTTGTATACTTGAGAGAAACATTTCTTAAGAATTGGAACAACAACAGCAACAACAGCAAAAAAAAAAACAGAAAGCTTGATGGTCTTATATATAAAAAAGGTTTTTGCTCACCTATATAAAATCAGGCTTAGCGACGTTAATACTCTGTATATATACATTGTTCTATGAATAATATCCAAGTTAAACTTTGAAAGCATAGACTACAAACTGTAGTGAAATATCAAAAAGATACTTTATTTCTAGTCGAAAGTGCAATAGCCATTTTCTCTCTCTCCCCCTTTTTAATAAACTGCTTAAACGGACTCGTTTTTGATCCCCTTTACTGTGTCTAATGGTAATATTTAATATTAAGCCACTCCTGGATTATATCACGTCACTCGAAGCCAGCCTATTTAACCACATAATACCATATATATATATACACTTGAGAGAGAAAGAGAAAGAAAAAAGAAGCTATTCAAAATATTCGGTTTTGCAAGTTACGGTAGGCTAGGATTACATAATTCTTGTAATATTTAACCAACTTGTTTTATTTGAAGACCCTCAAATGCTTTCCATGTATTTCTTCTTCTTTGGGCTGAAATAAATAATTAAATAGGGCGTACTGGAAAAGACCATGAAGAGTATTGCTTATCCACTTGAATGTTTGGTGTGCAAAATTGTACAGAAAATAGTTTATAGATAGATATTATATATTATATAAAGGATCTAAGGAATAAAGTTGATTCGTTGGAATCATCAGTGAAGTGGCCTGCAGTATGAACTGGATGATCAAGGGATTGCAAGAGATTTCTGAGCTGTATTAAACAGGATTGATTTGCCTTATTCTGGCAGTAGATTCTTCTGAGTTGTTATCTACTACCTGTACTGGGCTACTGTTTATATTATGGGCTATCGGGCTGTCTTCAACTGCTTGAACTGGCTCATTATTAGCATCAGAATCTACTGAAGTGTCATCTACTGAGCTGGTATCAACCATTTGGACAATCCCGCTATTGTCATTAGAATCGACTGGTGTGTCATCAACTTCTTGGAGAGGACTATTATTTGAAGTATGATCTACTGAACTGTTATCTTCTGCTTGGATGGTACTATCACTGGAAGTAAGAGCTACTGAAATGCCATCCACTGTCTTAACTGGATCATCGTTAAAAAAAGATTCTGCTGGAGCATCATCAACTGGTTGGTAAGGAATATTATCGGAAATATGAGATACTGAACTATCATCAACTGTATTAACTGGACCATCGCCGAGAGAAGATTTTACTTGGTCATCCGTAACTATCTGAATTGGAATACTGTTTGGAGAAGAGTCCACCGGACTAGAACCAGCTGAAACAGCTAAGCCAGCTGCACTTGTCCAGATCTGGCCCTTTCTCTGATCGGTGTGGCTAGCAGCATTAGAAGGAGAGTGTGTGTAAGAGGGCAAGTTTTCTGTGGGGTTGCTGTAGCCTGTAGACGAAGAGCTTGTTTCTGGAACCAGTAGCGTTTTATTTGGTTTTAGTAGTTCTACTGACGACGATGGTTCACTGGACGCTGGTATAACCACCGGTGTAGACAAGGTACTCGTCAATTGGTTGATTTGAGTATTAGAGCTTTTGGATCGGTTTTTATAAGATCCCACAAGGTGCTTGGCTGCGTAAAACAAACAACTGATAATAAAGCTTAGGGTCAACAGAGCTGCCACAAGTACATAAAAAGATACTTTGACCGAGTGGGCAATGAATGTTTCTGGTGTCGGCCAGCATATTGTGTATGGTCCCTGAGTTGTGCACAGATTACGAGGTACAAAAAGAGCGATGGCCAATTCTACACCTTTGAATCCAATTCTGAATCTCCTGATGTTGTGAGAATTGGCGTAGTCTGATGGATATTCCTGGTCAACCTGGTTGTTGCTTTTGAAAGTCAGGATGTCTTTGATCACCTCATTGTCGTCGTCATCACTGTTATTGTCCTTTGGGTTGTCGTCGCTGTTGTATTTTGTGGTTGGTGAAGTGGGAACGCTCCTGGCCGGAGTAATCACAGGTGATGAAGGCAAGTACACGGTTGCAAGTATTTGGCCGACTCTAGTTTTAGTTGGCTTGTTTATCACCAGAGTGTCTTGATGGCTTGTCTTGTCCTTGACAATGTATGTGATTGTGGCTACAGTTGCTTTTATGTCTACATACTCTGTGATTGTAAGAACTAGATGACTCGATGGGCTTGTGGTTGGCAGTGTATGTTGTTTAAAGGGGTTACTGTGCACGGTGGTATAGTGTATGTGCTGAACTGGTTCTGTGATTGTGGATGTAACTTCACTGATGTATGTTTCTGGTTGAGATGCTGGTGTTTTGTAGTATTTATTAGTAGAGTATGTTTCTTTACGTGTATACTTACGGTAGTCTTCTTTGACAGTATCAACTAGATCTAGTGGTGTAGTGTGGTGATCTTGAGAAAGCGAGATTTTTGTGGTTGTTGGGTTTGATCTAGCTTTTACTGAAGAGTGAGGGGACATAGTATAGGTGTTCTGGATGGTAGTATCCAGATAAACTTTGGTCTTCCAGCTTGGTGTAGAAGGAAATACTTCTTGGTACAGCCTGAGATTGTTGGATATAAGCATGAAGCTCAATAAAGTGAAAGTGATGGATAGGATAGGAATTATGACATGTAATGGCACCATCCTTTTGTTGATTTGAAACAAGAAAAGAAGTAAAAGGAAGAAAGAAAAGAGTTTTGCAGTATATATGTATTTATAGCTGTTGAAAACATTATCTATTTCATTCCTTTTTTTTATTATTATTTTGTTTATGATGCCAACAATGTCCAAATCCTTTGATTGGTCATTTTTTTTTACATGTGCAACAAATCATATAATTTTGGTCTATTAAAGACTTTCTGTTTTCTTTTTCGTTATTTCTACCAAATCACATTTGTCACAAATGCTATAAAGATGCGATATGTATATTACTTTTCAAGTGGAGTACTGACAACATAAATGGCCAAGATGATGCTGTGAACCTAGACAATTTGGAATAGTCCACTTGACAAAAACAATTGGCTTGTTTCTTCAGTTATCTAACGGGTAACATATATAGATATGAATTATCACAACTTTAGAGAAGTTGATCAAATAGTATTTTCGTATAAATGTGGTTTAGGTGGATTTAAAGTAAAGAGCTGGATTGTATGATGAAAGGTTAAAATTTGGCTGGAATCATGATGTATATAGATTTGAGTATCAATCTGGATATGGTATTTATTTATTTTTATTCGCATGCAAGCTTGGCATCAAATGAAGTCAGGGCAATAGCAAATGCTTGTAGTAAACAGAAAGGATATTTGTAATCCATTGTAAAATAGTCTCGTTCAACCCGCCCAAACTGCATAACTATATAATCCACTACAACAACAACAGTCAGTTTTCATTAGCCAATTATCAAGTAATTATATTTGCTTACAATCATTGTCATGTACAATCTGAAAATTCTTTACTGATGCCTGAGTTACTCGACCGTTGAAGTTTAGTACAAATGATTGGGTATCTAGTATGGGATTATTGACAAGTAGATCAATAGAGATAGAATGATGTTTAGCAAGACTTTTGTATAGACCTCCAATGGAAACCATTTATATTCTACCTTCATTCCATTGAGGACTCTTGTTATGCAAGATTAACAAATCACGGGCATTTCCATCTCGATATTTGCACAAAAGCGTTTCAGATTCCTAATAATTTTTTTGTTTTGTTTGAAAAAGAAAAGATCCACACGATAAGTAACATAAAACAAAAAGTACAATTCTAAAGATTTCTACTGAATTATCTGGAATTCTTTTACTTCAGTAGGTCTGAATTCAGGACGTTTTCCATCTCGTGTGAGTGTGTGGGTCAATATTGTCATCTTGCGAGGTCCTTTGAACCCAAGAATATTAGGATCCTATCAAATACATACATAGGTAAATAAATGAAATGAATGGTATGAGTCACTCACATAAAGAACTGCACCAAGTTCTTCACGAACAGGCAAGTCATTCTTTTCAGAACCATTGCTATTAAATGGGTTTCGACCATGGGAATAAATCACAAAGGTTGTTCCCAAGAAATTTGACCTGAGTATAATATATATTTAGAAATTGTCAGCCAAAAACCAAAACAATAATGATAATAATTGAACCATGATCATTATACTTTCTTTATTTCTTTTACCTCACTTTACCCAATACCACGGATTTAGGTACTCCAACCTCGCTAGTAGAAACATCCAAGTAATCTCCAGTAATCGTGTAATAGCTTGTCTGGGTCTTTCTTTTCTTTCGGGCTGTCAGAACATACTGCATCTCTCCAGTATCAACATTTTCAAGAAACAATTGATACTGAGGTGACAGTTTATCCAATCCATCTCGATAACGGCAGATACGACAAGTCAATCGTGTGTTTAATGCAGCAGGTCTATTTGCACCATAATTTTTATTGTATTTAGTCTTTTAGTTTTAGCTTAAATTTTTCTTTATTTTTATTTTCGGTTCATTACTAATTAGCTAGCCAAGACTAACTAACTAACCAGCTGAATGAATGAATTACTGAATGAATGGCATTAATGACTGAAATTTACCGAAAAGTAAGTTGATTTAGTTCTTTGAGAGAACTAATGGGTCGGCTCAAGGTAAAGTCGATAGGTGGCACAGGTCTCTCGACTCTGACTGTTGTGGGTTCTTGTAATGGTGCGATTTGAGCATCGTTGTTCTCCCGGTCATCGTTTGCATCGAATTCTGATAGTCCGAATGTACTCGTAGAAAGTTGGGGATGAGTGATTGGCATATTTGAACTGGATATCATTTGCTTTGAATTTAGACAAAAGAATGAAATAGAAAGAAAGAAAGAGTGAGAGGGAGAGTGAGGTATACACACAGCTATGTATATATTATATATTATATATTATATATGTGTGTATGTAAGAGAAGGAGAGAAAGGAAGAAAGGAAGAATAGAATATAAATGTGACGATGCTTTTGTGTAAAGACAAAAAAAACAGAGAGAGAGGATTGTAATTGATGATGTTTTACAATTGTTTATACGGCACATACACACTTATATATATCTACATAGATACCTTGGTGTTTATACGTATACTTAGATATATATATATATATAAAACTAGGAGACTTTACAAAACGGACTAGAATTCAAATGTCGGCTCCTTTAAACGTCAAAGAGTTTGTATAGATACACGCATTAAAAACCAAAAAATTGATCACTGTATAAATCCTATAATAAAGTATAATATTTTCCACACCTTATAAGAAAGCAGCAAGATTTTTTCTTTTCTTTTCATTTCATTAGATTACATTATAATGAAATTAATGACTGAAAATGGAAATGATAGCCATCATAAAAAAAATAAGTACAATTTCTGTAGGGTTTTCTTGAAAATCTTTACAACATTCCATACAGATGAAACAACAATAACAATAACAAATTTTGAAATTGATACGTACACAAACATATATTTTATATATTTTATATATAAATTGGATTTATTATGTATTAAGTAAAGGGTAATAAAAGTAAAAGTAAGATTAAAAAATTAAAAAAAAAAGTGTATATAGAATAATTAGCTCTAGAGAGAAAAGAACAAGAATATGGAGAGACAGACAAGTGTGAGGGTAAATGAATGTGCTGTAAAAGCCGAGATCCCGGCACTGAAATGTAAGAGGACCGGACTGGACTGGATAGTGAATGGCAAGAGGAGCTTTGTGTCTGCGTGCTCGGTGACAGTGAGATAGATGGTCTCGTTAAGACCACGGGGCACAACCCAATCGTATGTGCCATCGAGCGTGAAATTGAGGCGAACACCGGTCGAATTGCCCGAGACGATCTTTTCGTTTGTTGTGATATTCTGGATCAGCTGGGTGGCCGATGAATCGAGCCAGAGAGCAATGTCGACCGAGTAGTTTCCAGTTCCCATGTTTTGGTATTCGTAACGGATCTTCAAGGTCTGGGTGGCATTGATGGTCGCGTTGTGTTCAGGGAAGATGATCGTAGGCCCCAGCTGAGCAGACACACGGCTGCACATCAACAGTGAGATGGAGCAGATGACCAGAAATACAAAGCAAGAGGTCTTCATCGATAGGAGGTACTGAAAAATTCAAAAGAAAAAGCAATGGAAACCGATATATATATATAAAGATGAGTAAGAAAAGAAGAAGCCAAATAATTATAAAAGAAAAGAAAAACAAGCAAGAATATATATTTGTGTGTGTACGTACAAGTGAATGAGTATATGAATTAGTGGAATAGAGTGGAGTGGAGTAAAGGGCAGTAAAGGGTAGTAGAGTAAATATGTGCACAATGTATCAAAAAAAGTAATGTGAATGGCACAATTAATGTCGCACTATCCAGATATTTATATACTCTATTGCTCTATTTTCTAAAAATAAAGGGCTTGTACCTAGGTATCAAATGTTTTTGTGTGAATTTGTGTAGAAAGGGAACAACTGAACAAGAGGTTAATTGGCTCATGATTTATTAAATAATCTTGATGATTATACATGTAAGAGCACCACAATAACCAGTAACAATCTTGTATTGCATTTTTATTGTACCTTATTTCCTCCATTTGCTTGCCTATGTTATATAAATGACTTCTAAACCTACAAGAAACCACATAAATCAACCAAGGCCCAGACATCTAGTAAGAAGAAGAAAAATACTCGATCTGATTTGATCGAGAGCCGGAATATCCTAGTTACAGTATCACAGTAGCACACAAAGACAGAGGTACCCAACAAAGTACATTTTTTTTCAAAGCAGAAAAAATAAATAAAAAGTGGATCTTTGTGTACCAGAAAAGACGAGGTAGTCTATTGTAAGATATTTAAGCCAGAAAAACCTGGGGAGGGAATCCTTTGCACATACACACATACAAAAAGATAAAACTCGACAAGAAGTCTTTCCAGGATTACATTTAGATTCTCATGATTAACTTAATATTTTGTTGAATGATTTCGGTTCTTTGGTTATGGCTACTAGCGAATAGAGACATCACTTATTGATTCTGACCAGGTAGCACTAGTAGTCTCCTTCCAATTACCATTACTATTATTATTATTATAATAGATTGTGAGTAAATATAAGGAAGAGGAAGAAGAAGAAGAAGAAGGGCAGATATGTTTGTCTTTCTAAATAATATGTATATATTTTATATAGATTGATGTGTACAACCATGTTTATGTCACAAAAGAAATCCATCTAATTACAAGTGATATAATTATATACTTTTTTTTTAAAATAATAATAATAATAATAATATTGACAAGTGAATGGATCGCCTGTACCTGAAGGGGTTGTACACATCATTATCTTATCTTCTTCTATTTGCATAATATAGTGTATTAATACAAAATAATAGACAAAAATAAATGTAGATTATTAATCAAATCTCAACCAAAAGGTCCAAAAAAGCAAAGAAGTCTGTAATACACAGCTGTGAATATCATCTGTAAGACAAAATCAGCAGTACAAAAAAAATGGCTTGAGAAAATATCATGTAAAAAAATAAACGCCAATTATATAAAAGATGTATATTTTTGTTTATTATTATCATTTTGTATTAAAGAGGAGATTACAAAAGTTAATTTTGAATAGAGTCGATCTTAGATCTACCGTTGGCAGCCCACAATCCCCAGTAAGGCTCGACTCCATAGGAACCTCCGCTCTTCCACTGAGAATCAACAGACTCAAAGAAGTAGTACTTGAGGTTGACGTTCATCATGCCTCTCACAAAGGTCTCGAGATTAGAGACACTTGGGACAGCGCGTCCGTTTGCTTGACCAGCACTGGGCCAGCCAGTTTCGCCAATGTAGATTTCTTTGTTCTGAGACTTGGAAGCAAATGCGTTGTACTGCAACTTGAGATTGCTGGCACCTTCGGCTGCTGGCACTCCGCCAAAGAAAGGATGTATGTTGACGACCAGGATGTCAGATGCACTGATGAGTTCGGAGACGTATCCGGTAGCTGTGTCAGCAGTGCCAACCTTGAATCCACCGCAGGCACTCTTGACCTGCTTGATCTTGGAGGCCAATTGGCTAGCAGACATCACACTACGCTGCATGACTTCAGAGCCAACTGTGATGCCAACAATGGCAGAATGGGCGTTGCTAGACTTGGCAATGACTGAGCTCAAGGTGCTGATCTCGGTGTTGTCGCCCTCGGAGCCGTCGATCCACACACCAGCCATGACAGTCATTCCACCGCCAGTTGCATCAATGGCGTTCAGGACATGGGTCAGTTGGTCGCACTCTTGGGAATAGGTGCGGATATTGACGATACCGTTGCGTTTGAACTTTTGGACTGTGGTGAAAACTTGGGATGATGTCTGGCAAGATCCATCAGAGTTACGACCAGTGTAACTATAAAGTCAAACCAAAGGAATCGTGAGTTTCTTTTATTCTCTAGTAAACCTATCAAGACAATACTTACGTTACACCCCAAAGGGACCCGCCCGATGAGCGCTCTTGGATAGGGAGCGAGTTGACACACAAGAAAAGAGAAAAGAGAATGAAGGGAATGTGATACATAATGAGTGTGATATTGGGTGTAGTGAGGAGATGAACAAAATAAAATGAAATGAAAAAGAATAAGAAACTGATCCAGCAGTCTTTATTGTCTTTGTTTAATTGATGTATGAAATGAGTGGGTGGTTTTTTGAAAATTAAAAAGAAAGGAAAGAAAGGGCCCTCTTTATATAAGCATTTTATTTTCCAACTTCCACTACTACTGCCACTGCCACTTCCTCTTCTTCCTCTTCTTCTTATCTTTAATTATATATATATATATTAGTATTTCAACACAGGTACCGTAATCTGGGTTTCTTTAAAGGAGACCGAGTCCCCTGAAGATGTTGACTGTTGATTTGACAGGTCTCATATCATATTTTATTGCCTCTCAAAAGTGCTGCAAATAATCAAAAAAAAAAACTCAAAACTCAAAACTCAAAACTCAAAAAAAAAGAGAAACTAAGCGCCGATATCTGAGTCAAATGGTTCTTCTTTATATTTGAAGTTCTTGCGGAAAATGGTTAATACATGCTGATCAATTTTAACCTTTATTTATATATATATATATATATATATTTGGTAATGTAAAGAGACCTTGTATTGTATCTAAAAAAGAGCTCTATTGTACTATATTTCTATTAGCTTTGTTATTGTTTTCTGGCATAACAATTGAGTTAAATTGTATTTTTATTCTGCTTCTTGGAGTAGAGTATTTTCAACATTTTTTGTTTTTTTTTGTAGCTGAGTTGATGGTTATTTTATATTCATCTTTCTATCTTTTAAAACGATATATAAAGTCAGAGAGACAAATTGATTTTTAAAGGCACATAACGATAATGATAACCATGACACCTGAGCCAAGGCTTTCATTCTACATTCAATATATTATACAATTTGAATTCAATCCAATTGAAGTGAGTTGAAGTGAATTAAAGAGGTGCCCGAGATACAATATCTTTCTTTTAATAAACTAGTCTAGTGATCTACCCAAATTACAATTGATATCTTCTTGATCCTCCAATATCTAGCTACAATCACACAATTGCAATTATAGATATAAAGGTATAATTATAATTGCCTTTACACTAGAGTACATTCAATAGCCACGCCAAGAAATTCCGGGCTTTCTTTATTGATTTTGACTTTGTTTGACTTTTAGGTATTTTACAGACTAGATAATCTATGAAATACCCAATAACTTGGGTGAACTTTGAGGAGTCTGGTGTCTATACACGTGGCGGAGACCAGAGGTTCCTACCCCTTTCCCTCTCTCCCTCTCTCCCCTCCCCGCACCACAACCACCACCACCGCCACCGCCGAGTCTTTTTCGGCATCTAGTTTTTATGAGTCTGTGTACTGTTATGTGCATATTCTGTGCCTGAGAACTTTATCGGAGAGCCAAGCCATTGTATAATTTTTCTTTTTCTTTATATATATTTATATTTAAAGAATAGGTCTAGATCTGTCTATTTTATTTTATTTTATTTTATTTTATTTTATTTTATTTTATTTTATTTTATTTTATTTTATTCAATTCAATATATTCAACACTATAATTTGACTTCAAAAAATAATAATAGAAATAATACTAATACTAATACTAAAATATACAACAAACAATTTACATTTTCCACCTTGGATCCCCTCTACGCTTTTCAGATTCTCGGATCTCAAACATCACCTGAGCACCGACATACATACAAACCGAGGCAATCAACAGAAACATAAAGCCTTTATTTTTAAAATATACATTAGAAACAAGGAATTCAATTGAAATTTATATTCATACTTTTTTTTTCTTACCTTCACTTGTCTGAAATATGCCCGATACCATATCCTTCAATCCATCAAGACCAATACTGAACCCTACCAGATTGGCAGCCATCATCATCATGATATTAAAAACAGCACCCACACCACAAACGAATCGATAGTATGGTTTCTTTCCATACTACAAATCAAAATAAGAACAATTGATTGGTTAATAAATGACAATTATCATATATATATATATATATATATATATATATATACTTTTTTTTTTTTACCTTTTGGAAAGTAAATATACGTGTGGCAAGTAATTCAGGAAGCAAGAATAGACAAATCAGCCATCCCCATGCCAGCAATTTCATCTCAATGTCATGCCAGAGAGCAACAAATGTAAACACAACCCACATGTTGAACATCATGTACTTTGATCCACCCAAGGGCACAAATATGTACCTAATCGTCCATCGATTGAACGATCGGTGCCAGCTCTTCCAGAACCGCTGGGCCGAGAAATTGTTGGACATGCAGCGGATCATGTTCTCTTCGGGCCAGATTCCGTCCGCAAGAGCCCAGAGTCGGAAGAACCGCCAGGGAATCAAAAGTTTCATCCAGATGATAAGCAGATTAAAGTATCCAATCATGCTCAGCTCAAAAGGGGTATCTCCATCCCAAGCCATCGCCTTGCTGATCGCCACAACGTAGATGTAGTGCAGCGTGAGCTCCATAACCAGAATCACACAAACAAGTCTAAAGGCGTACAAAGCAACCACACGCGCAGTGATTTTTGATGAAGGGTATCTTAACTGTAATAATGAATATGAGTATGAATATATATATATATTCAGGGAATTAGTAGTTTAGTTGGTTGTAACTTGCCTGGGAAATAAAGTCGTTGAATGTGACGATTGGACCACAAAGGTAAAGTGGTAGGTAGAAAACAAAGGTAAGAAAATACATAAAGTTATAATCGGATGGAATACAAGGAGTCGTGATTCTCTCCTTGTCTGTAATTTCCCCTTCATCAGTTATATCGTCAATCTGAATGAAATTGAAAATGAAATATACATCAATAACCATGCAGTGCGTTAATTAATACCAAATAAAGATATCATTATAATTATGATTATGATTATAATTGTCTTACTTGATTGCTTGGTCTCGGTGCTTTGCATTGCCAGTAATAATCCATGTTGTAAGAAATAAGTCTCAGCATGACAAAGTTGAATAATATGTGCCATCGGGGCATAATACCAGAATGGCTATCCAGCCAAGCAAATTGTGGACCAAGAATAGACGCAAATTTGTAACCCTTGTACATATCATTGAGAAACAGAATTCCGAGATTAAAACACCAGGTCAACAGCGGATTCCACAACGATCCTCGAGTCAGACGGCCGATACCAAAGCTAGCAAACACAATAGCCAGGATCTTGATCAGGTTGGTGCCGTGAATAACCGAAATAGTCACCAGAGACGCAGGAAGAAAGAAATAGGCGCGATAAAGAATGGCAGAATTGTTACGTCTGGTGTTATAAGACATTGGGACCAGAAATGTAAAGAGGTGGCTGACCGACAGGTATACAAGAGCCAATATGGTAAGAGTCGGAAGGTTGTTGCGGAAACCAGCATATTGATTATCACTATTGTCCTATAGATAGAAAGATAGATAAATAACATTACTGAATCAATAAAAGCATATATAGTTAATTATTATTAAACAAATACCACTTTGCGACCAAAGATCCACCCATCCGATAACAGAGGCTCAAATCTTGTGTATTTTGGCTTGTTAGCTACATAAAGTTACAAATATATATTATAACCATGGAAACGGTACACAACGTTATAAATGTTTTTTTTTTTTTAAAAAAATTAGACAACAGATCATTCTTTTTATGTATATAAAACTCGGATTTTTTCTTCTTTTTCTTCTTTTTCTTTTTCAATTTTCTTTTTCAAATGTATTGTATATATATAAATGTTACCATCTCCAAGGCGATAACCAACATAGATCATATAAGGAACGACGACTGCAAAACATATGTAGTAAAAGTAGAATTCTATTATAATTATAATCATAAAAATAAAAATATTGATGGGTTAGATACATATATATTAACTGTTGGTTAACAGAGGGATTTAGTAATGAGTACAATTATTGCCTCGAGTATTCCAAAGAGAAGGTAATGTCGCGAGAGGTGCCTTTTTAATGGTGGATTTAGATGGTGGATTGTCATCCAAAGACAACATTGTAAACTCGTTGGTTGTCATAACGAAAGGAAAGGAAAGGAAAGGGATGAAGATGAGATGTGATGAGATGAGATGTGATGCGATGAGTTTTGTATTTTATTTTAATTTATTGTGTGTGTGTGTGTGTGTGTAATTTAAAGGAGTGAAGGAGTAAAGGTAATATAAGAAGATCTATTAGTATATTGATTATATATACATATTGGATTTGTTTGATTTTGATTTAATTTAATTTGATCTGATCTGATCTGATTTCCATACAATTTTATTATATATAATATAAATAAAATAAATTATAAAGGTTCTCAAGTTCTTTGTTCTCGGTAACCTTGGATTCAAATGGATGATTTCCTTTTTTGTGTAGAATGTGATTTTCATTTTCATTTTCATTTTATTGTTACATAAATTGATACAGCCTCCATTCACTCTTCAAGGCTTTCCTCTCTCTCTCTCTCTCTCTCTCAATATATATATATTTATATAATCATGATAATATCAAGCTCGCTTTGATTCATGTCATTTTTTTAACCATTGGGATAATAATATATATGTAATACTCACATAAGTGTATTAAATACAAATATCACCAAAAAAAAAACATGTAATATTTTTTCCTTGAACAATATTGAGCTTGAGTGGGTCTCACACAACCAATTATTCTTGCACAATGCGTGTAAGGTTCAGTCTTGTTTTGGTAATCGGGATGAAGGTGGAGATCTGTGCATTACTTTGATCTTGACTATGTATACCTAAAATCTGTCAAACTATGATGATAATTATTTTTACAAAAATATATAGCAATGATGAGCGTCTTATGCTTATATTCATTATTAGTGTTGCACAGCTTGTCAATATAACAGAAAATCCGTGAACTAAAACCGATAGAAAAATAGCAAGATGACAAATAAAACGTATAGTCAATACCACAAGCACGGTATTTTTTTTTGGAGTTTCTGAAAACCAGCTCATCATCTAATATACCCACTCTAGTTTGCTGACAAGAAATACAATTGGATCAACCTTCAACAAGAGAACAATTTCATGCTTGCGCCAAAAAAAAGGTACAGTCAAAATTTGATATAGTGATAGGAATGGGAGAAGATAGGCATCTCTAACTCTCGCATTCTAGCTCATTTAATTTCAATCAATAGCGAGCTTACTAAAGGCATAATTTATTTAAACAGATAGCTGTTATACTTTGAATAATCGTTTAATAAAAAAAAAAGAGATCATTTTGATCCAAATGAGCAAATCAAATCCTGAAATTCAGCTGTAAATCTAGATCGGTTAAGTCAACCTACTTTATATACATATGCAACCTGCTGGAGTACATTAAGAGTTATTATTTAAACGTTTTTTGATAGTGATTGGTCATATATTGAGCAAAATATCCCATTTTTTCACTCCAAAAAACAATTTATTAATAAGATTTTGGATATTTACACCAGATAAGCATATTTGATCCAAAAGTTCTCTCAGGGTATTCACCTAAAAAAATCGAGAATTTGTATTTTTTGCTACTAATAAAAGTTGTTCAACAAAGTGATCCATGGCTTTCAGTGCTTGTTTGACTAGAAACAGGCCAATATTCGTGGAGATATCGAGAGATGTAAAAATGGAAATTTCGATATTTACACCATTTAAGCATGTTTGATCGAAAAGTTTGCACAGGATATACGCCTAAAAAAATCAAATGGTTATGTTTGTTTTTATTAAGTAAAGTTGTTGACCAAATTGATCCATAATGCTTAGTGCTTGTTTGATCAGCAACAAACCAATATTGATGGAGATATCGATAGATGAAAAAATGGCAATATCGATATTTACACCTTTAAACGATGCTTTTAAATGGCGGACATTACAAGTGTCGTGTCCCACAAATTACTCTTATTGCGTGAGGACAGGTTCCGTGATTAATTAGTGGAAAATACTGTCAAGAGTGTATATAGTATTTGCATGTTAGAGCAGTACATTATGTATGCATTTTGTTTTTTAAAAAATAGATATTTATATAAATATATAAGCTCAATGGTATCTATGTATTTCTGGCAGACAACGTTAATGTTGTTTCCTGTATGTCCACACACGGATGCTACTACGGGCTCGAAACTTTAAGCGGAGACTACCACACAGTTCTGTCCCCCTTTTTTTCGATTAGTTCATTGTACAAAGTAAAATGTATTATTATTATTGCTATTATTTAAAAATACACTATATTGGTATGACACTGTTTATTTTAAACTTCAATAAGCACAATAATAAAAGAACCTCTTTGTGAGTTAAATATATCAAATAAAATCCTATTCAATTATTCCATAAAGAAAATACAAAGAAAATACAATAAAATTCTAAGTATATTTGTTCTTATTGCAAAAGATGTATTACACCAATCCCTTGATTATTAATATGAATAAGAGCAAAATGTTATTTAAGTATTCGGGGTCTTATCAAACTTTGCTATCTTTGGACAAAAATGTTACTTCAATAGAACAAAGAAAGTGTATAATAATTTTTTTAAAGAAAGAATCTATTCATTCAATACACACTACAAAGCCACACATTTAAGCATGTATATGTATATATGTATATATATATAAATATATAGTTAAATTTAGTATAAATACTGCTCCCACTTCACTTTTTATTCATTACTTTCTTGCTTTCTTACTTTATATTCAATTCACCAATAAAAAATATGTCCGATCCAAATAGCTCATCTGGATCTCCATATAGCCTGGTTACGTCCCCATGTATTCAGCGCGCGACTTCATCTAGCCAGTCTGATAGTCAGCTCAGTGAATTCATTGCCAGAAAAAGAAGAAAGGTAAATATCAATAAGTCTTGTTGAAATCATATAAATGTATAAAGTGAATGTAGAAATATTTTTTGTATTATAATAACTTACATTTATATCTTCATAAATGTAGGCACTATCCAAGATGGAGCATATATGTAGAAGGATGAGATCTTTGGCTAACTTTTTAGAAGGGATCGATTTCGAAGCATATGACAAGCAGCAAGAACTAAGGAAGCGTACAGGGTGTAGGGTTCGTCGATGCAGAGACCCAAAAAAATTCCAAGATGCCGGTCAATAGCTATGCCCAATGTACCGACTGGTTCTCATAGCAACCAAGAGGCGAATATGCTGAATCGAATCTACGCAGCTTCATTATGACGGTTGCTGAGAGATGGAGAGCCTTAAGCGCAGAGGAGAAACAGGTAAAGGCAGTCTTCTTATTAGCCATGTCTAATCATTCATAAAACATTTAACTTACCTACTTATTTGTTTGTGTATAGTGCCGTGTAACAGCGGTAGAGGCGGAAAGAGCTAGATATATTTGAGAAATAGAGGAATATGTGGTATACACACCACAATTGAGTGAAGAACAGACTCCATAACCAAACACTGGTTCCTTCTTGCTAATGAACCTGGCAAGTTAACAATCTCCGGAACTGTTACACACCAATGATACGTACACTGCATAATTAAACAGTGTAAACCAGCAATTACACAATATGCATTTGGATTACAAGAAAACTTAATAGTAATATATATAAGCAAGATTATTTTGTCTCTTTAATAAATAACACTCTCACAGTATCCACTTTTTCCATATATTGAGATACTAACGCCAAAATCAATCCCGAATACCTCAGAATATAACAGGAGTCGCTACTCTAACCATAAATATAGATTATATAGCTTACCTTATATATAATAAAAATAAACCTATTATTGACTGAAATATGAGAACATTGTTTTGGACTTCCTGCTTAAATGTTGAAACTTGTTCTTGTTTAAAGAATGCATATACATCTTTGATGAATAATAGAAGGTATATAGCTGTAGAAATGCCTTTGAATATTAAAACAAACATCTTAGCCATAGTAGAATCCCTTATACAAAACTACTGTATATTATTAAAAAGACCAGTGCTTTTCTACCTTGTAGCATAAAAGTACGCTTTCTATATTATTAGTATTAATACTACTGGTACAGCCAGTTTGGCCAGTACTGTTATTTAATCTTAATGCATTATTCTACATTTTATATAAATTATATTTTATAAGATCTACATTTATTTTTGCTCTGCTTTAAATTGTTAGAGTTCTTCTCTGATATAAGCCGGCGCACCTTTATTTCTTTCTTTTAAGACTCGTTACAAACCTCTCGTTTCTCTTGAGATTTATAACTCTATAGAATATCGTCAGAACTTCAGTACAATCATACTGCACTTCTTTATTAAACTCAAACCAATTCCAGAAAGAAATATTACAGACGAGTGTGGTGGTACCTAACACACACACACAGTTTTTTTTTAAAGAACGTCAATCGTCACTTGAACTATTTTAACGGAGTTGAGTTTCACGAGTTCCTTTTCGGTGAAGAGGACCAAAGTAAATGGAGTCTTCCATCTACTTTACGCATCTCTTGCATCCTTTCATCGCTGACGTGTGCCCCTTCAAAAAAAATTAAGGGGAAAGATGTGTGACTCTTTTCATATGCATGTGACTACTAGAGCTAAAGACGATGAAAAAAAAAGCAAAAAGTAAACAAAAAAGGACGCAAAAAACAGAAAAAGACGAGCGACAACGATGCGAAACCTTATTTACCATCAGAAACTACAATTCTGCTCATGCGAATAGCTCATTAGCTTATATATAACTCTCATCATGTCTTTGCAGAAATGAGTTTGTCAGAACATTGCGCATTAAAGATCAATTCCCTAGTTTTCTCATTCAGCCTGACGTCCAATGTTGATTTGCGCATCCTTTTAACAGCCACTCATGATAGAAAGCAAGAGTTTTTAGGGTAAAAACCAGAATGCACACGCGTTTAAAAATTGTTAAAGTCTTGAAAGTACTTGGTATATATATGTACAGTCGATATCTGATTGATTTCTTAGAAATATAAAAGAGTTTTGACTATTACAAGAATAATATCTTAATTCTTATATATGGTACTAAAAAGTGTGTATACTTTTTAATATTGAACAATACAAGATACAGAAAAACACAAGAGAAAGGTCTTTTGAAAGGTCTTTTAAAAAGGGTTGCTTTTATTTTATATGATTTAGTAAAGGCTTTTAGAAGGAAATCACGCTGTCAACATATCTATTTTACACGCTTGATAGCCATTTTCTTTCTTGAGCCTCGATCTCTCCAAGCTGTTTGAACGTCGGGGTTTATTATATTTTGCAGGAAAGCACTTTGGTTTAGGTTACCGTATGGAAATTATTCGCAGACCTTCAAAGCACAAAGATCCAAGAGAACACATATACACACTGAATGGATCTAATATTTCTGTAATAACATTCACAGATCTTCAGAATATAATTATTTAAAAGCATTTTAAAAATAAAAAGGGTTTGTGTATGCGATGGTCCGAATAAACAGGTCTATTTTTTATGAGCTTCGAGATTGTATTGTGTGTTCATTGAAGGTTATAATAGTGTTCGGATCGCTCAAAGGTTAGTTAAATTGGTTTATATGATATAAATGCACATTGAATATTATTGAATTTACCGGTGAAATGAAAAGTGTAATAAAAAAAAGGGCATTTTGATCAAAATGGCAAATCAAATCTTGAAATTCAGCTATAACTCTATATCGGTTAAGTCAAGCTACTTTTTATATATAAGCAACCTGGTGGAGTACATTATGATCCATCATTCAGATGTTGTTTGACATTGATTGCATAAATACCAGACAAAATATCTCATTTTTTCACTCTAAAAAAAACAATTTACTAATAAGATTTTGAATATTTACACCATATAAGCATATTTGATCCAAACGTTCTCTCAGGGTATTCACCTAAAAAAATCGGATATTTTTGTTTTTTTTTGCTACCAAGTAAAATTGTTGAGCAAATTGATCCATGATCTCTAGTGTTTATTTGACTAGCAACAGACCAATATTCGTGGAGATATCAAGAAATGTAAAAATGGCAATTTCGATATTTACACCATGAGACGATGTTTATTAAATCCTCGATAGTAAAGGTAGCTCACAAATCCTGAAAGTAATTTTGTTGAACAAAATTGCCCCATTAATTTGGCAGAACAAATGGACATTTAAGTATAGGGAATTACGTCAAGAGGTCCAAACGAATATAAAATTATTCCTTTAATTCTTTTGATTCAATTTTACTTTAGAAATAGAAACTAAATGTCTTCCACCTAAAGTGTTTTCCCAAAAAACCAATAAGTTGTTGGCCGTTATTGAGTGGCCTTATATGACTTTATACAAATAAAATAAATAAATAAGCCAGCACAGTGCACGAGACTATTAAAAAAGAAGGAAACATATATATCGTTATATTGATTCAATTAATTATGTACAAGAACATAAAACCAAGGGCTTGAGTATGGCTTGGTCTCTTGTGGTTTCTGTTCTTTTTCTCTAAAAAAAAAGGTATAATTTTATTCAATTTTACAAGCAAAGGATGATCTTTTGATTGATAGAGAAAGAGACTGCTAATGAAGAGAGTGTCTACAAGCTTCTTATAAATTCGTATTATATATATATTCAAATCATACTCTCGTGTTATCTTTACAGAATTAATACCAAAACCAAGGAGTCAAAGGAGAGGGGGTTAAATGGACATACACATACATTTCATATTGTAAAAAATAAGGGTAATTTATATAAAGTAGCTTTGGATTTGTAAAGCTTACATAAATTCAATGCTCAGCTATACAGACTGATGCAAACAATTGAGAACAATAGACATGTTTTAAGAGGTATTCAATAAGATAAATGTATTTATTGGTAGTTGAAACAAAAAGAACCACTGCAAAAGTGTTTGTGGCTCTTTTTTTTATTGTATTTTATTTTAAGAGTTTTTCTCTAGAGAGCTTTATATGTTGCGATAGTCTTTTTTTATAAGGATGTATGTACAAGGAAAATGGAATGCTTTTGTTTGATGAACTTGACTATTATACAATTTTTTGTGTTTTACAGGGTGTATATACAGGGTGTTGAAATCAAGATCGATTTAAGATGAGCGATAGGCAGCTGGACTAATGCGGACTGTGACTGAAGGATGATCAAAGATAAGTGAATCCAGGGCCATAGATTTTTCAGATACTGGGCAAGATTTTGAAAAGTGCTCGTCATCAGAAAGGTCAGAAAGATAGGAGTCATTAGAGATCGTCGATGAAGATGAGATCAAAGAAGGTGCGGCTGTAGTTTGGACTTTTTTGCAGCTAAAAGCTTTCTTGACTGAAGCGAGCCCTTTGATACATTGTCCCATTGATGATGTAAATGTGGAGACACGGCTAGCTGTGTTGGTAGTTGAGGATTGGCGGCGCTGGCACTTTGAGATGATACGCTTTTGGATAGAGAGGATCTGCATTGTAGAGTGTGGGTTATGAGGTGTAAAGGTAAAGAAAGGCTTGGTAGGTAAGATGTGGTTGAGAGAATATGTAATAAAAAGGAAAGAAGTGCAAAAATGTCAAACCTTTATATACTATTTCAAAAGGCCCGTGCTCTTTGGGTATCAGTGGAGATTTACATGCTTCTTCTTCACTTTATTGCCATTTTTAGGACAAAGACAAGGGGCCATCGTATCTGATGTTTGGCATCTATCGGAAAATACAGCCAAAAATCCTGATCCACAAAACCACAGCCAAAAATAATAATCAATGATCCATGATCTGTAATCCATAATTTCCCCCTATCGAGAATCGAAAATCAAAGACACACTTGTCTCCTGTATTAATTGATTCACGTCACCTTAATTATTCTCTATGAAGATCTTGATTTATAGGTTCCGAGTCTTTGGTATCTGCCAAGCTTACTACTTTATATGTAAATTAAATATTAATATAAAAATATCTATTACCAGGCCGGCATGCACAATACAACCGTTTTCTCTCT